TAAAATTCGAGTCTGAACTGTAAGCATGAACTAATGACATGAACCGCGAGCATGAGCTCAGAACCTGAAAATTATTTTATCATCATTGAGCGATAAATTTGACAATAATGGATCAATGTGTTAGCATGCTTTATCGAGATACGAAGCACGAAACTACGGTTTTTTCATTTCGGAGCATTGTACTTGACTCACTAAGAAATAGAGAAATACCAGCCACAAAAACTCGAGGAAAAGCAAAAACACAGAACGATAAGTACACGAAGAAGGAAAACGAAACTTACTGCTGCAATGACGCGGGAAACGAAGCTCATCACCGTTACGTAGCGTAACCCAACCTCACAAGGTAACGAAGAAGATTGAATGTGAAAGCAAAAAAGCAGAAACAAAGGAACTATATTTGCATATAGCGCGAAATAAGAGCGTGCAAATTTCACATCACTGAAAGGGGGGTTACGTCACCGAAAAAACAACAACGGAAATATGATCATAACTGTAACGTCTTGAATTACATCTGTTTAAAGCAAATCCTGGTCACTGTACGTGTAACTAATTTTCATTTCCATGATTTGCAAATGTTAGGAGTACCACTTAAAATGCCCAGCCCTCAATAAAAATATAGAAATAAAAATTAAACAAATCCTATAAGATCTAAGCGCTTGCTAATTATATACCTCCTCGTTAGTGTTTTTTTGTTAGGTTTGTTAGTGTTTTTTTGTTAGGTTTGTTAGCGTTTTTCTTTGTCAGTTACACCTTTTTCGCACGTTTCTCATGATACCGAAAGTTACTTCGCCTCGCGCTTAATCACTTTTCAAGTCAGTGTACCTAAAGTCGCCCTGGAAACCACGCCACTGAATGAAAATGTGGAATTGTTCACATTCCGCAGGGTTTTGTTGAGTCAGAATTAAAACCTATTTGTTGAATGACGAAAGCGGAGTTTTTATCCATATATTGAGGTCTTCAAAGCGTCGAGCCTTCAATGAATCATATGAAAGTTAAAATTTGGTCGAAATCGGTGTTTCCTCAGTGAAATTTAGTTTTGATCAATGACACTGAGCCAGGTTTAATACATTTTGATGTCGAAGCGAACTGTAAAAAGGCATAAACGCGGAATTTAGCGGGTATTCAGATTGGTGGAATTGTGAGGGACAACAGGAAACGCGAGCAAAGAGCTGTGCTGATGTTTGCCGGGATATTTATATGGATATGTCGAGAACGAAACAGTGAAATGAATAACTGGTGAGTAGTATAGAATATCTTTTCACGAACTAAAGTAACACCCCGAATACTAGAAGGACTTTTTGCCTTTTGTAAGCCTTCAGTCTTTTTCCAGAAGCTTTTCACCTAAATCAAGGGTGAGTTGAATACAGAACGCGCGACAAGCGCAGTCATTTGTACTCGATAGCTTATACCTGGGCGTCTGATTTGGTTCGGTCTCTCCTTGAAGTATAATGTTTCAAAGGGAAATTGTCTCAGGTTGTAAAACGTAAATGTTAGGCTCGTGTCTACCAGAAAAGATAAAGAGTAAAGCGAAAGAATTCCAACCGAGATCCTGCAAAATCGAACGCTCATTCCAATTTGACTGTAGAGGTAAAGAAGGAAGAGGAGGACCCACTGGAAAATCTACGAAGTCGACTGAATTATGCAAAAGTATAGACGCGAATCTATTGCAAAACATCGTCAACGCAGAATGCGGACCCTCTTGAAGTTTTCCTTCAGTATTTTGAATTGGTGAAGCCGTCAGCTTTTGGTAATTTTCGATCTACTGTAACATCTAAAAGGACTCCCAGTCAGCCTAAAGTGAATCCATTACCGTATTTGGTTGAATTTGAATCACGGGAACAGCGGAGACCTCGAAAGAGGCAGATCTATGTAGAGGCAGCAGTAGACGGCCCCCATTTTGTTTACACTGGAAAAAAACTAACAGCTCAGATGAAATTCTTCACTTACATTCCGCTAGGTAAGTTTTGTGGTGAAGACTGCACTTTTTTTGAATGGGGTTTCTAAGCAAAGTCGTATGGAGGTTTCTTGTGTTTCCAGTGACTCAGTTGTGTGGCTTAGTTCGGGGACTTTAGGCCATCCAGCAAAGTACGTTTTTTCTACAAGCGTATAAAATTAGCATTTTCTATTTGCAAAAATACTACAACGTAACTTCATGATTGGTTATGTTTTGAAAGAGGCAATCGGCAATCAGTGTTGATAGGCCCTTTGTTTTAATGTCGTTATATTCTGGATCACGACACATTTTGAATTCATTCGTTTTTGTTTTAGTTGTAACAAACAAACATTAACTACATTTTTTGTTAGACGGGACCATTCATAGAAATAAAAAGTTGTCTCTCTGGAACGGAAATAATGTATAATATATCTTGGTGTCTTCATCGTTTCAAATTATCTTTGACTCAACACACTGCATTTTAATTTCACTTAAATTAGCAAATTTTTCGGCATTTTGTCCAGATTGAAAAACTGCTTGTGCTGTGGGATTGCTGCAGTGGGGGCCAAGCTGCCAATCAAATTAAGAGAAAGTTTTGATTTTTCAATAACGTGCTCTCCGCACAAAATTTTTCAAACCCTTTACATTCCATCTTGTTCAACTTGTCAAATATTTTTCCTTTTCATCTTAATTGTTCAAAAACAATCTGCATTTTTATGCATGACTTCTTCAACAATGTAACACCTCCCCAGCATCTAAAAATTATTTAGATATTCTTCAGAAAACACACCATTTCAGAGTCCAGAGCAAAACATAAAATAAATTCCCTTTAAAAACTTGATGCAAAGATTTGGAATGGTCTTACCATATGTCTTCGTTCTTTACCTAAATAAAAATTTAAAACAGTGTTACGAAATCAGCTATTAGACATTTTGATGCAAGAGGATACTTATGCTGGCTTCCGTACTTTGATTGATAAATTTAGAAAATTATGATCTTTTTAGTTTCATTTATGTGGCGTGTTGCTAAGGAAACTAAATTTTGTTGTTGTTGTTATTGTTGGTCGATCCAAGGGGCTTTAACAACAATGTAAAAGAGCGCGGAAAAGAAAGCACCTTTTGGTAGTGTGCGATGCGACCAAAAAGGCTACTGTGCGTGAGAAAGAGGGCGGACATGGGAAAACAGAAACAAATTAATCGACAGTCAGCACCGCAAAACGGCACAGAAGGAAGATACCGATAACAATCTATTTACACTCACATGTCACCCTCACAACCACGCAGTGAAATCTATCATTCTCAGAAACTTTAAATTACCTCAAAATAATTCAGAGACAGGTACTTTCTTCTACAATTTATAAAATTTAATTCAAACGTGACAAAAATACAGGTAACTTTTTGGTCAGAAATTCTTCACAAATTAGTGACCAACCTGGAGCTATCAAATGCGCTCGCGCACGATGCAAAACCTGTCTTTTCATTCATAGCATGGAGAAAATTTCGGGACCCAGCGACTTATCAAGATTACTGATCACTTTACGCATACCTCCGCCAATGTTCACTTCTTGAGAAACAAGAAGACGACTAAGTGACCGATTCCGAGAACACCTTCGCTACGTAGAAAGGAAGGGCAAGGACGCATCCAAACCAGTCGCTAAACACTTTAATCTCCCTATTCTTTCTTTGGAGCATATGGCAGTCTTCGGCCTCTCTTTACAACTAGGTAATTCGGAAAGCCTGGAGCATAAATTCATCTTTCAAATCGGCTCTCTTAATCCCAACGGTATCAACGAACGCTTTTCATTCAACTTATCTATTCTTGTTTTTCTCGTCACTATGTTCCCACCAACAGCGCAGCTCCATCTTCTGCATACAAACATACACATCCCAAAATTCATCCATTTATTTTGAGGAAAGCCTCACGCTCGAAACGTCAGCCTTGAAACTCTACGCTGGCTAATTAACATTATCAACTCGGTTGACGAAACCAAATCAACCCGTATTAAGCTGTATTCAAGCCATTTCCATGAGTGACAGTTTAATACGGGTTCGACTGTCTTGTGTCTCCTAAAGGGAACACGTTTAAACGCTGTTAACCTTTACAATCGTAGAGAGTTCCTAAAAATGACGTTCAGAGCGTTAGCCCATCGTCCATATAACGCTGGATGGTTAGATGTGTACAACTAGATGGTTAGAAATCAATATATAACAACAAAGTGTCTACAAAGAGTGTTAGTATGTGAGAGCGAAGTTCGAAGGTAAGGCAAGTATTAAAGTGGCTTTGCATTACTCGTCATGATTAGTCGTGCGTTAGTGAACACGGATAGGAATTTGCATGTTGATTGAGACTTGTTATGGCTTCCCTGTGAAATTGCGTGTTGGTCCTAACAAATCATGTTTTCGACAGGAAATGAATACGTTCTGTGGCAAGGAAATTAGTCGAAAGATTTGGGGGCTAATGGTAAAGGTGGTAGGAGGTGAACTTCCAATGTGGCGGAACCACCATAAACCTGACCAACGTACGTATTTCGTAAAAAGTACTACAAATCGTGCGTCGTTGCGCCCAGCGTTTCATGGTGTCCTTTCACAGTCAAGCCTTTCACTCGGAGAAAACAAAAAGTCAACGCTTTCGAAAGGAGAGGATTTAAAAACGGGTAGATTGATTCAAGGGCGAACTGGCTAAGGCGGAGGTCCGACGGTGGTTAAGCGAACTTGCAATAGGGCGACACCACCAGTTACCGTTCAAAATGTAATGCCAAATTCATGTACAATTGTTATGACTCAATAACGAAAGCATTTAGTTGATCAACCAAAATTGTAAATGCAGAAGGACAGCTCTAGACAATTTAAAACAAATTGCGTGTTTTCGATTCTGATCTTCAAGGCCAATTAAAGGACAGGATATCACGCATGTTTATAACTAAAAGAATAAAAATTGGAAAGGGGTGTTTTTTCCTGTGTGTAAGTGGTTGAAGGGATAAAAAACGCGCACGCATGTAAGCGGGACATACAACAGCATGCAAGTAAGAAAACTCAAGATCACGCCACGAAGAAAAACGATCAAACCATTTACATATCCGGTACATTTTTATTAAACATTAACTCCCCCATCATATAAGGTTAAGAATTTGTGAGATAGTTGATAATTTGACCCAGTCCTTCCCCTGTAATTGATTAACGGCGACGTCTTCGGCCGACACTCTGTTGGTTGATGTCCACAACTTGACCTTTTTCGTTAATCTCTTCCATTCCGCTTTTGTCTTGCTCAGAAACACACTTGAACTGTCGACAGCGACACGCTCTAATCTCGAAAAAGTTTGTCGATCGCACTTCATTGTTAGGGCAGTCCAGAGTCGCAGTCCAGAGTTTTCCCACTGAAGGCTGGCAACATGCGCAGAACGAATCCAAGCCGGTCTCACCATACGTTGAAGTGGACGTGGACTCGCACCTTCCGCGGCATGTGTTGTGCTGATACTTAATCCTGGACGTGCAGTTTTCCTTTGTCTTGATGTAATCAAATTTTCCCTTGTTTAGTAAACAATTGCCACTGCTAGGACCCGGTTCTATGAAAAATAGTAAGGACAAATTATTGTTAATTATTAATTGCTAGCTTAAACAAGTTTCACAGGCTGACTCAGTAGAGAGCAATTCGACAGCGGTGCACAAGCACTAGCCGGATCCCCGTGTTGCGATTCTAAAATACTTAACTCTCACAATACCTTTGTTTAGACAGAGATACAAAATGGTTTCGGCGGCCTGTCAGGGAATTATAACTAAATATGGGGGAGGGGGTTAACTGACACTCCGTTGAGGGAGGGGGAAAAGGAATACGGGCTACTCCTATACCAACTGAAACCGGAATCAGCTTGTGGGAGGGAAAAAAGGAATATTCGTGACCAGCTGAAACCAGAATTAGCTAGGGGGAAGTTGGGTCACTGGACTTCCAAGCTCAATTTTTCCCAAACTAATCTAATTACTGATACATCTGCTAACCGAAGATCTTAATCGCGAAAATTAGCAATAAGTTACTTTGTGAAAATATTGCAATGTGTTGCACTGGAGTTTTCATATTTATCACAAATTAAAGAGGCGTCTCGTTTAGATCACTATTCTTTTAGCTTTGTATAACTTAAATTGTAAGCATCTAGGACCCACTGTTTACGAGAACTATTAACAATACTGATAACAATCACCTTTACATCCTCTCACCAAAAATGAAAGATGAAATCGGAGTTGCGAGCAGGTGGTGTTTTGAAAGGATTGCCGAATCAGTGTAGATATCTCAATCAGCAAATTAATTTGACTTCTTTGCTAAATTCTTTCGTTTTACAGAGCTTTCTAAGTCTGCTTCACCCAGTCCTTCTTTTTTTGTGCGTGAGTGTATGTGGTGTTTCTTTTTGGCCACATCAATCTCGACCTTTTCAGATCACCTTAGATATGCAAAGAACCTAAGGTCCCGAGTGGCGTATCGTAACATGCTCACTACTTCCGTGAGAGGTCGACTCAAACAAACTGCGAGAGGATAGATTAAGTGAGGTGATATACTTCCCTCTCGAGATGCATATCATAATGAGCCTGTACTTTTGGTATTTTCCGCTCTGATTTCCACAGTCAACTTACCACATGGAGGACAACACTCTTTGTCATTGGCAGGAGGTCGAATAGATCCCTACAAGAGAAGGAAATACCTAGCTCAGTAAAAACATTCAAAGCATGGCAATGATGAGGGTTAAGAATTGCATTGAGATTGAAAATGGTAACCAACCGTTCTTATTTTTTTTGTTGTTCGTTTGTTTGTTTGTTTTTTGTGTTTCTTACCAGCCAAATATCGATGCAACAATTACATGAAATAAACTATATAAAAAATATCTAGGGGGCACCTTTCAAATCCCTCCGAAATCTTGAATTTTTTACGGCTTCTTTTCCTGCAGTTTTTAAAATTGAAGTTCACCAGCGTGGATCATTTTCTTTACTTGTAATATATTGGTGTCTAACCATGAGCATGTCGATAAGGACTCCTGTCCTTGGTTTGGATAAAGGAAAGTTATCACTAGACAACAAAATAGATATAAATATAGCCTGAGCTCAGATGCTCACCGTTGGACATTTGTCGCAAATTATATGCTCTGTTTTTATCTGTGCACTTTGGTTAAGAGGGTAGCATGGGTTAACAGTAAGTTCGCACTTAAGCTTCAGGCAGCTCCCGTCTGTCCAGGTAGTGTTGGGCTACAACAACACAAAAAATATCAACATTACGATGCCTTGGAAGAGAGCGACATATTTCAAAAATTATCTAGGAGAACAATAAATAAAGATCAGGAAAAGCAAGGGTATACTCTCATCATCCTGAAAGTGTTGCTCGCCAAATACCCTTCTACCCCTTTCAGTATTGTAAAATAACAGAAAACCAGGTGTATCATTGTAGTAAAATTGTAAGAGTATTAGGGATAACATTGGTGGAGGCTACTCGATAAGATTATGCCCTCCTTGGTAATGTGTCGACATTTTTGCCGCCGATTGAAGTCATACTCTCTGTTTGTGACGGTATAGAAGCCATTTTACTCACCGCGTGATATTCCGTCTCATTTTTGCTGTTAATGTAGAAGCATGATGGACAGATTGACGCTGTGGGAATAAAAAGAAATTGGAGACTAAATTTAATACACAGAAACAAAATATTATAAAGGTTCTGCATCAGGTATTTATTTTTGTCAGAAGCATCTCAGCGGGCCGGGATCTCAAATCATCGAATCTGATTGGTTAATCATGTGCTCGTAACGGTCCAGCTTTTTTAAAATGTAGATTACGGCCCGTAATTTTAATCCCAGCCATTCTCAACAAAGTGGAATAGAGAAAACCGGAAGGAAAAGTTAATATATTATTTACCGGTCTGATTCGGTCCCTAAGGGGAAAATCTGCACCGTTGGACTTAAGCACAGTTTTTCCAATACACACCACCCGCCAGGTAAATAACGTTTTCTAATCCATACGAATTTAAATTTAAAACCGCGCAAATTTTTGTAAAATTTACGCAAAATTGCAAAATCATACTCAGTTTTCCTCGAGCAAGGAAAGATTAAGCTCATATTCCATGCTTGCTTTTTTCTCAGATTTTTTATCCAGTGAGAATTTTCAGAAATTGTAGGAAATTTACAACTTTTAATAAGGACTACATTTTTCGAGGAAAATGTAACTCAACCATTGCTTTGTGTAATTATGACAGTACCCATAATAACGATGAAGAGGTATTTTCTTCAACAGAGAGGAATCAACACTGACACTCAACAAAATCGCAATGTAAGAAATCTAACAAAAGGTAAGTACACGCGGGGCATATCTCAATTCGAGTCTGCTGAGTATAAAAAGAATAGTTACTATTGACACTTACAGACACTAAACGATGTTGAAACAGAGGAGGACAGCGATGGACTGATTGAGCTCGACAGACTCGTTGAAGCCGATGAAGAAACAGATGTCGTGAAGGTTGGCGTCGTTGTTGTCACCAAACTGGTGAAGCTAAAATACAAGCATGCCTCTTCAACAAAATTTTCAATGTACGCGTTTTAAATTCTTTTCCCCAAAAAGAAAACTATGAGACTACATGGGTAAGAAGGCCAGTACATCACAACAAGACCTAACATGCAGTTGAAAACTATCATCCTTGGAAAAAGCCTTACTACGCTTCATTCGCTTCCGTGCTGGCTCAGCTGGTTTTCAACTTTTTTCTTATCTCTCTCCCCATCCCCCCCCAAAAGTAAGAAAAAAACATAGAAAACTATATTCACGTAGGTAATTGTGCGATTACTACATTCTTTGACCAAGAAGACTTGTTTTCAACGATATTTGAAACTTATTCTAAGCGACTCACCGAGACAAGGTTGTTGATGTTGAAGTAGATACTGATGTAGACGCACTCGTTGATACTGATGTGCTGACACTGATACTGCTGCTGACACTTGTTGATGTTGATGTGGAAGTGCTGATGCTAAGTGACGTTGAGGCACTTGTTGACTTACTTGAACTCAATGAAGTCGATCTTGAAATCGATTTCGAGGTTGAAGTTGATATACTTGTAGATACTGAAGTTGAAGTACTTGTGCTGGCACTTGATATTGTCGTGGACACTGACGTTGTTGGAGTGCTCACACTAGTTGAGGTCGACGTAGACACGCTAGTACTAATTGACGTCGAAGTGCTCGTGCTAGCACTGGAATATGTCGAGAACACTGTGGTTGTTGGAGTGCTGACACTTGTTGATGTTGACTTGGTTGTACTTGTACTTGCCGATTTTGAGGTACTTGTTGACTTACTCGAACTCAGTGAAGTCGATGGTGAAACAGATGTAGAGGTGGATGTAGACACACTCGTAGACACTGACGTCGAAGTACTTGTACTGGCACTTGACAACGTCTTAGAAACCGATGTTGTCAGTATACTCACACTAGTTGACGTTGAGGTAGACACACTGGTGGATATTGATGATGAGGTACTTGTGCTGGCACTTGAATATGTCGAGAATATTGTTGTTGTTGGTGTACTGACACTTGTAGATGTTGACGCGGAGGTGCTTGTGCTAACAGAAGTTGAAATACTAGTTGATGTTGAGGCAGAGGTTGAGGTTGATTTCGACTTACTTGTTGACGTTGAGGTAGACACACTGGTGGACACTGAAGTGGAATAACTCTTGCTGCCACTGGAATATGTCGTGGAAGCAGATGTGGTGGGTGTGCTTAAACTTGTTGAGGTTGAAGTGGACACACTGGTGCTCATTGACGTTGAGGTGCTAGTGCTGGCACTGGAATATGTCGAGAACACTGTGGTTGTTGGAGTGCTGACACTTGTTGATGTTGACTTGGTTGTACTGATACTAGCCGATGTTGAGGTACTTGTTGACTTACTTGAACTCAGTGAAGTCGATGTTGAAACAGATGTAGAAGTGGATATAGACACACTCGTAGACACTGACGTCGAAGTACTTGTGCTGGCACTTGACAATGTCTTAGAAACCGATGTTGTCGGTATACTCACACTAGTTGACGTTGAGGTAGACACACTGGTGGATATTGATGATGAGGTACTTGTGCTGGCACTTGAATATGTCGAGAATATTGTTGTTGTTGGTGTACTGACACTTGTAGATGTTGACGTGGAGGTGCTTGTGCTAACAGAAGTTGAAATACTAGTTGATGTTGAGGCAGAGATTGAGGTTGATTTCGACTTACTTGTTGACGTTGAGGTAGACACACTGGTGGACACTGAAGTGGAATAACTCTTGCTGCCACTGGAATATGTCGTGGAAGCAGATGTGGTGGGTGTGCTTAAACTTGTTGAGGTCGAAGTGGACACACTGGTGCTAATTGACGTTGAGGTGCTAGTGCTGGCACTGGAATAGGTCGAGAATACTGTGGTTGTTGGAGTGCTGACACTTGTTGATGTTGACTTGGTTGTACTGGTACTAGCCGATGTTGATGTACTAGTCGACTTACTCGAACTCAGTGAAGTCGATGGTGAAACAGATGTAGAGGTGGATGTAGACACACTCGTAGACACTGATGTCGAAGTACTTGTGCTGGCACTTGACAATGTCTTAGAAACCGATGTTGTCGGTATACTCACACTAGTTGACGTTGAGGTAGACACACTGGTGGATATTGATGATGAGGTACTTGTGCTGGCACTTGAATATGTCGAGAATATTGTTGTTGTTGGTATACTGACACTTGTAGATGTTGACGTGGAGGTGCTTGTGCTAACAGAAGTTGAAATACTAGTTGATGTTGAGGCAGAGATTGAGGTTGATTTCGACTTACTTGTTGACGTTGAGGTAGACACACTGGTGGACACTGAAGTGGAATAACTCTTGCTGCCACTGGAATATGTCGTGGAAGCAGATGTGGTGGGTGTGCTTAAACTTGTTGAGGTCGAAGTGGACACACTGGTGCTAATTGACGTTGAGGTGCTAGTGCTGGCACTGGAATAGGTCGAGAACACTGTGGTTGTTGGGGTGCTGACACTTGTTGATGTTGACTTGGTTGTACTTGTACTTGCCGATGTTGAGGTACTTGTTGACTTACTCGAACTCAGTGAAGTCGATGGTGAAACAGATGTAGAGGTGGATGTGGACACACTCGTAGACACTGACGCCGAAGTACTTGTGCTGGCACTTGACAATGTCTTAGAAACCGATGTTGTCGGTATACTCACACTAGTTGACGTTGAGGTAGACACACTGATGGATATTGATGATGAGGTACTTGTGCTGGCACTTGAATATGTCGAGAATATTGTTGTTGTTGGTGTACTGACACTTGTAGATGTTGACGTGGAGGTGCTTGTGCTAACAGAAGTTGAAATACTAGTTGATGTTGAGGCAGAGGTTGAGGTTGATTTCGACTTACTTGTTGACGTTGAGGTAGACACACTGGTGGACACTGAAGTGGAATAACTCTTGCTGCCACTGGAATATGTCGTGGAAGCAGATGTGGTGGGTGTGCTTAAACTTGTTGAGGTCGAAGTGGACACACTTGTGCTAATTGACGTTGAGGTGCTAGTGCTGGCACTGGAATAGGTCGAGAACACTGTGGTTGTTGGAGTGCTGACACTTGTTGATGTTGACTTGGTTGTACTTGTACTTGCCGATGTTGAGGTACTTGTTGACTTACTCAAACTCAGTGAAGTCGATGGTGAAACAAATGTAGAGGTGGATGTAGACACACTCGTAGACACTGATGTCGAAGTACTTGTGCTGGCACTTGACAATGTCTTAGAAACCGATGTTGTCGGTATACTCACACTAGTTGACGTTGAGGTAGACACACTGGTGGATATTGATGATGAGGTACTTGTGCTGGCACTTGAATATGTCGAGAATATTGTTGTTGTTGGTGTACTGACACTTGTAGATGTTGACGTGGAGGTGCTTGTGCTAACAGAAGTTGAAATACTAGTTGATGTTGAGGCAGAGATTGAGGTTGATTTCGACTTACTTGTTGACGTTGAGGTAGACACACTGGTGGACACTGAAGTGGAATAACTCTTGCTGCCACTGGAATATGTCGTGGAAGCAGATGTGGTGGGTGTGCTTAAACTTGTTGAGGTCGAAGTGGACACACTGGTGCTAATTGACGTTGAGGTGCTAGTGCTGGCACTGGAATATGTCGAGAACACTGTGGTTGTTGGAGTGCTGACACTTGTTGATGTTGACTTGGCTGTACTTGTACTAGCCGATGTTGAGGTACTTGTTGACTTACTCGAACTTAATGAAGCCGATGGTGAAACAGATGTAGAGGTGGATGTAGACACACTCGTAGACACTGAAGTTGAGATACTTGTGCTTGCGCTTGAAAGAGTTTTGGAAACTGACGTTGTTGGAGTGCTCACACTAGTTGAGGTTGAAGTAGACACACTTGTGGATACGGATGTTGAAGTACTTGTGCTTGCACTGGAATATGTCTTTGAAACTGATGTCGTTGGAGTGCTCCCAGTTGCTGAGGTCGAAGTGGACACACTTGTGGACGCTGATGTTGAGGTGCTTGTACTGACACTTGTTGACTTACTAGAACTTTTAGAGGTTGATACACTGTTAAGAAAGCATCCAAAGTACAGAAATCTTAACGAAAAGACCTAGCATTTATTGCATCGTTAAATGTAATTGCTATCATATTAAACACCTAATGTATTCTACTTCAACATCAAATCAATGCCTTGAACTTCCATCTGATTTTTCAGAACTCCATTAATTCCTGATTCATGTCAGCCACTACGTTTATTTCTAGGAACAATGCATGGTTGATAAATAAAGGAAACAAGACATCTGTTGTGAATAGTTCTTTGTTTCGCATATTCAGTACGATTTTATCGTTTTAGATTAAAAATTTCGAGCATCAGCGTGAGAAACCATATCTACCATATGTGGTTCGGATTGAATAAGTGAGGGGCTGTGAGGAGTGAAGTGATTTTACGAGTGAAGGGCTGGATTTCGTTTTGGTGCTTTCGGCATTCACTTTTGCTTTTTTGGAAAATGTACCTATTTGGATACAGTAAGGTATGAAGCATCGCAAAATTTAGGTTGTAAACCACAAAGCAACCAAGAGCTGTTGTTTAAGGTTAAGTGATTAAGCAAGCTGATGGATACAAATCAAGATTCAAGAATCTGTCTGGTAAAGATAACTGTTTTCAATGCTTCCCCACCACTTCCTTTCCTTAGTCCCATTCCTTTGGCTTACAATAAAACTGCTTCCCCTCCCCTCCTCAATCATCCTCCCAACAGCTAGCCAAGTATCGTAAAATCCCCTCTTTCATCTCTAACTGCACTCCATGCGTGAAGGTTGGAGTGGATGGGTTCATGCTCCCTCACCATCCCTAACTATTCCCTCACCAACCTTCACAATTGAAAGGTAAAAGTAAATGCAACAACCTTGATGTGGATGACCGTGTCGGCGGCTTCAAACTTGGTGGCTTTCTACTCGATGTAGGTATAGAATACTGTGTCCCTGTACTTCTTGTTAGTGCACTAGATGGGAAAACAGTGCCTGTAGTCTTCTCAGAAACTAGTTGATATGACGAGGACATCGAGCTAACCAAGTGGAACAAAACAATTCACCAGTGACCACTTTGACATCACACTTCGTATTTCAGGAAAATCCCCCCTTTCCTAATCCCAAATCCCTGACATTTATAACACAGCATAATTATGATGGTTACATCTGCTATTAGTATGTAATGGTAACAGGACTAAATGGAGTCCAATTCAGTCTGTAACCATGCAAGTGATTAACAAGATTGGATGACCGCGAAGCGGGAGTCCCATTTGTTAATCACTACTGCCATTTTGAACAACTTAGTAACAAGGTTGGAAACCAAACCGTGTGAATCTTTAAACAGCTTCACCTTCTGTTTTCAATTAGTTCAACCTTCCAGTGCAGCCATGTAAGCTGAAGTCAGTAATGTTACAGATTAGCGGCCAATGTGACAAGCACTATTCTTCAGGGTGTAATCCTTTTCGAATCTAAACAAATTTGCAGACATATTTCTAATGGTGACGTTACTCTTTAGAATCTCAAAACGCAGTCAGTGTCATAATTTTATTTTTAAATCTTCTGCAAATTTCTTCTTTTACCGTCCAGATCATCCTAAATTGCACAGCACCATTGCCACAACCATCATCACTGCTACCATTATTATCATCAACATCATCATCATCGTCTCAATCTACATCATCAACGGCAATTTGACCTCAATGGCATTTCTCATCCTTGAAGCAGAATCACATCCCAATGCATTCAAGTATAAATGTAACTGCGTTCAATAACAAATTTTGCCATCTGATTAGCTATAACAATCGCCATCTATGCACACCATGAACTTGCCAGGTAGTTAAGTTTATAAGGACTACTAGATTTATACAAGTACAATTGGATTATTTGCCACCGCTTTCTCAGCCTTACAACTGCTTCAGGCTTCGCCATACTCCCCATCACGTGATGCCCATCTCAATCTCAAGCTAATTGCAAAACACTTTCCAAGGACAATGTATCATAACCCTTTACATCAACCCCAGCACCTATCCAAAAGTGCAAGATGATCTCTTCGAGAAAAGGGTGACCTTTTGGAGTCACCTTTCAGCGTTCACATTCTTCAATGTGTTTTTTTTCCTGCATAGATGGCTTCCAATATATTACAAATGATTTTCTGTTTCTTCAACTTCCGTGCTCAATCATTAACGTATGACAAAATTGAAAATGAGATTGAAAAAGGTCATAACTATTATCGTCGTCATAATCATGGAAGTGTCCTCGAGGAATATCAATGCACAGCAGAAATAAGATCTTTTTGCTGTAAGACGCTTGCTAATCTAAAAGTGAATATGTTATTCTTTATATTCAAGTACATTTCCTTCTTGGGAAAACGAAAAAACACTACCACGATAAGGAAGCGCAACCCTTTTTCAAAGACGTTACGATGTTCTCGGTGAAGGAAAAAGGAAACAGGTGATATGACCTAAGCACAATTCTAGAATATGTATGTTATTTTTTCCCCTAGGTTAACAGGCAATATACCAGGCAAATCGCCTTTGATAAAAAACATCCAACCTTAAAGATAATGAAGCAAGAATAGCACACACGCACCTGGTGCTAGAAGATATGAAAGTGGACACACTTGTTGACTTCGACGTACTTGTACTGGTGGATGTCAATGTGCTTGTTGGGGTCGTCTTTGATATGCTAGTGCTAACTGATATTGATGTACTCTTTGAAACACTTGTTGACTTACTAACACTTCTTGAGGTTGAAGTCGATGTTGAAACAGATGTAGAGGTGGACGTAGACACACTCGTAGATACTGATGTCGAGGTACTTGTGCTGGTACTCGACAATGTCTTAGAAACCGATGTCGTTGGTGTACTCACACTAGTTGAGGTTGAGGTATACACACTAGTGGATATTGATGTTGACGCACTGGTGCTGACACTTGAGTACGTCGAGAAAATTGTTGTAGTTGGTGTACTGACACTTGCCGATGTTGACGTGGAGGTGCTTCTGCTAACAGAAGTTGAAACACTACTTGATATTGAAGCAGAGCTCGAAGTTGAGGTAGACACACTGGTGGACACTGATGTTGAACTGCTTGCACTGGAAAATGTCGTAGACACCGATGTTGTTGGAGTGCTCACACTCGTTGAGGTTGAAGTGGACACACTGGTGGATATTGATGTTGAGGTACTTGTACTGGCACTGGAATACGTAGAGAAAACTGTGGTTGTTGGTGTACTAACACTTGTTGAGGTTGATATGGAAGTGCTTGTGCTTAGTGATGTTGATACACTTTTTGATTTACTTGAACTGGGTGAAGTCGATGTTGAAACAGATGTAGAAGTGGACGTAGACACACTGGTGGTCACTGACTTCGAAGTACTCGTGCTTGCACTTGAAAATGTCTTGGAAACCGATGTCGTTGGTGTACTCACACTAGTTGACGTTGAGGTGGACATACTGGTGGATATTGATGTCGAGGTGCTTGTGCTGGCACTTGAGTATGTAGAGAATACTGTTGTGGTTGGTGTACTGACACTTGTAGATGTTGATGAAGAGGTGCTTGTACTAACAGAAGTTGACACACTAGTTGATGTTGAGGCAGAGGATGAGATCGATTTTGACTTACTTGTTGTTGAGGATGCTGAAGTTGAATAACTTTTGCTGCCACTCGAATAAGTGGAAACTGACGTTGTTGGTGTGCTTACACTAGTTGAGGTTGAAGACGACACACTAGTGGATATTGATGTTGAGGTACTTGTGCTGGCACTGGAGTATGTCGAGAAAACTGTTGTTGTTGGAGTGCTAAAACTTGTTGAGGTAGAGGTGCTTGAGCTAATGGAAGTTGAAACACTGGTTGATTTTGAAGCAGAGGTTGATGTAGACACACTGGTGGATATTGACGTTGAAGTACTTGTGCTGGCACTTGACAAAGGGGAGGATACCGATGTTGTAGCTCTACTCACACTTGTTGAGGTTGAGGTAGACACACTAGTGGATACAGATGTTGAGGTACTTGTGCTGGCACTGGAATATGTTGAGAAAACTGTGGTTGTTGGAGTACTGACACTAGTTGATGTCGATTGTGATGTGGATGCACTGGTGCTATGTGATGTTGATATGCTCGTCGATGTTGAAGTTGATACACTGGTGGATACTGAAGTTGAATAACTTTTGCTGCCACTTGAATATGTCGTTGAAAGTGATGTGGTTGGATTGCTCACACTAGTCGAGGTTGAGGTAGACACACTGGTGGATACTGATTTTGAGGTACTTGTGCTGACACTGGAATATGTTGAGAAAACTGTGGTTGTCGGTGTACTGACACTCTTTGAGGTTGAGGTGGATGTACTGGTACTCGCTGATGTCGTCACACTTGTTGACTTACTTGAACTCAAAGATGTTGATCGCGATGTTGATGTAGACGTGCTTGATTTAACAAAATTAATTTAAAAGAAAATTGAGATGCATCATTGAGGTTAATACATGACAATTGTAGGTTTTTCTGGAATGTGCCTAGAAGAGTAATTTTAGCAGCATTTGTAGCCTGACCTAGCTGTGAGCTCATTGCCTTTTAGTGACAGTAAGAGTATTTTGTTTGAGGGAAAGCAACTGAACTTATTGCACCAAGAAAGCAGGAGTAAATTGCTCCTTTGAAGCACCATTATATAGGTATACTAAACACATCCCACCCTAGTTTTGATTCCTCTCATGCCATCTGATTCTCCTTCTTCATCAAAAAAACCGTGATCTGTCTCTGTAGAATTCACTTGACTTTAAAGAAAAGGGTCTATGATACCTATAGAGAGCCATTTTTCTAATTTAAATCCCGAATAAGTTTAGTAAAAACAAAACTTTTGTTGCGTGTTTTCACTTGTCTTCAATCTCGATAAAAATTCCAATTCTTAATCTAATTACCTAGAAGATGAGACACTTGATGTAGAGGATCTCGTCGGAGGCTTCAAACTCGGCGGCTTCCTACTTGATGTAGGTATTGAATACTGTACATTAGAGGACCGACTGTATGCAGATGACGGGAAAAACGTGACTGCCGTCTTCTCAGAAACTGATTGATATGACGATGATGAAACTGTAGTGGACCTTGAAGTAGGAATGCTGAAAGACGATACATACCTTATCTTAAAACATTGCCAAAAACTCTTATCCAACACCACCACCATCGTCATCATCATAATTCTCCCCCTTGTTGTCAACACCATCATTATCATCAAAAACAGCACCAGCAGCAGCACCAGCACTTAGATCATATTTTCATTTTAGACTTAATGCCCAAACATGATGCGTGTACCTCATTGAAATTGTGTAAACTTGATTATCACTCCCCCCACAAACACGACTATTTCATTTTTGTCGATACTGCATAGCTGCAGTATCGTTTATATATCTTTGATTTGTGCAGGCTTTCATTCACTTATAGCTAATACCATCCTTCTTTCATTGCAGTCTCTGTAACATGGAACCATACTAACCAATTGCAAGCTAATCCACCACCATCATAAGGAACAACGACACCCGACGCACCACTCATACCACTAGCTTTTTGTTCCACTGTTGCACCATTTTACCAAATTAGGGCGACAGGGCGTGAAAGAATAGAACGCAGAAAAAAAATGGCCGCTTTTGACGATCCAAAGCTTTGATTTGTTTACCTCACTTAGGTTGACTTTTTCAGCAAAGAGCTTTGTATCAAAACATATTTATGTTTCTCACGTGCCTCGTGCGATTATTAAGATTGTCTGACAATGCTTTGAGATGGTCCCAAAATTAGAAAATGAGGTAATAGTGGAAAAAGGAAATTCCTAATTCGATTATTTAGCAGATCGCAAAATACACCTTTGAAATAAGGTGTACAAATTCATCAGCTGAAACATTCAGCTACAATTACATGGCTACTACAGTTTCAGTTGTTACCAAACTGAACTACCAACAGCGAAATTTCAGAGAACTTTGCTTAGTTAAAAACCCATGACTACAAATGTGTTCGAATGAGTGAAGTTTCAAAAATATTTCTGATAAGCATCACAGTACAAAAACCAACGTGAAACATACTCAGGGGACTGTTTTCCTTTAGTATCATTCCAGCTGTACAAGCCTCCTAAACTACTAATTAAAAACAAAAGCAGACGAAAACTAACCTTACGCTTGTGGAAGTGGATACACTTGTTGTGGTTAATGTCGACGTACTGGAGCTCAAACTTGTACTAGTTGAGGTTGACGTTGATATACTTAATAGTAAAACAAAAATTACGGTAAACAACTGAACAAAATGTTTGACACTAACTTTTCTGAACATTAAGAAGAATTGATTATCACCTGAGAAGCAACTATTCTCACTCGGTACAAACTAAACTATGTTCGTAATAGTGTGGTCAGATCGATTGGGTGAGTGTAGTCCTGAGGAGGACTGCTGTCGTTAGTAAAGGCCTTAATGAAGTCCTGAGCAGACTGTAGCTTATCTTTGTTTGTCGATGAGTAGTCCATTTTTTCGTGATTGATAGTCTTGTCCATGAAAACGGTAATTCATCCTTTGTTGGCTAGTAGTATGACTATGTTTTACTCGTGTTTCTGCGTGTGTTGTTCGTCTTTAGCCAAACTGCTGTCATGTAGTGATGTTGATTGTGTAGTGGAAGCAATTCTGCTTCTGATGTTATCCTTGATCGATTCAGATACCTTTCGTTGCCGAGACAGAGCCGCCTCAACGCTGCATGCAATAGCCTTGGTTGGGATCTGTTTTGGTGTTGCTGAGCGTTCAGTCCGTGTAACAGTGGCAAGTTTCAGTTTTGTCTTAGGGATGGGAAAAATGTCCCTGAACCAGTTTTCGTCCAGTCTCCTTCGTTTCTGTTCTTTATTGCAGTCGTTTCAGTTTCTGCTGGTGTCCAGTGCCGACAATAATAAAAGAAAACCAATTGCTTGAAACACCAGATCGTCGCATGCATGGCCGAATTATACTTAGTCATGCCTCGAGTTTTGATATATTAAAATCAGTGCTAGTGTTAGGGTTAGAACTGGAAGAAAAATAATAGAAGTGTCACGACAACCTTATGTTCCAGAAATGACTTGCCACCCCATAATTACCTTGCAACCCCTTTCTTCCGCCAATGCTGAACAAGAAAGAGCCGAGCATAGGAGAAACGATATTTTTTCAGGGTAATCTTCTTTCAGCATTACTTATTTTGAAGAGTTTTAGCTTAACCGGGCAAAAGACAATTTTGCAACATTAACAGTGGTAGGCTAAATACTTTCTGAGAAATCTGGTCCAGGTGTCAGTTCAAAGTTCGCTGATTTCTCCACGAGGGCAATCAAGAAGCTAGAGTTTCTCCCGGTTACGCTTCTAGTGACTCTTAACCATCTCTTCTACTCTACAGGCTTCCATAAACTAACCTTCTGCTGATAGAGGTGGTGGTAGATGCACTTGTTGGAGTTGAAGTCAAGGCACTCGAGCTTAAGCTTGTACCAATCGAGATTGAAGTTGAAACACTAAAAGTAAAATACAATAAGAATGCAATTACACAACTTTGAACATTCATCAAAGGGAGTTCTTGCACTTCTTTGTAAATCCTTCCTAATCTCCAAAGCTGGAGATAAAAGTCCAGATTGGAAAAGGAAACCCTTAATTATCCCAGCAACACTTTAACTTTTAAGTTCTCTGAGTAATCAACATAACAGTTCTACATGGACCTACAGCCTCGTTATTATAAAAGATGACTCTTGCGGGAACCTAAAAGGAAAGTACTGCTTTTTCCCATATAAAATTCAGCCAAGCACGAGCTCGTTTTTGTATGGGAACTGATCCAACCGGGCTTCAAGATAGTGACCTTCCCAAGGGGAATGATGCCCAATTGAATATTCATCAAAGGGAGTCCCTGCACTTCTTCGTAAATCCTTCCTAATCACCAAAGCTGGAAATAAAAGTCCGGATTGGGAAAAGAGATGCTTAATTATCCTAGCAACATTTTAACTGTTAAGTTCTCTGAGTAATCAACATAACAGTTCTACATGGACCTACGGCCTCATTAGATGACTCTTGTGAGAACCTAAAAGGAAAGAACTGCTTTTTCCCAAATAAAATTCAGCCAAACACGAGCTCATATTTGTGTCGGAACTGATCCAACCACGCTTAAAGATAGTGACCTTCTCAAGGGTGCAAGCTCCTATGACAATGAACTTCTAGATTAACATTTTCAACACATTATAATGATCATATTATGATTAAAATGAACTTCCAGGTCAAAGAGCAACGCTCTATATTTTTGAAGTTTTAATTTCAGGAACAGCAAAGCATAATGTTTCCGACATTTTCTTTCCCCTAAATAATTTCTTTAAGAAGAACCTTCCAGCCCCCCCCCCCCTCCCCAGGTAACACGTAGTAAAAAGTAATATTAATCCCTAAAAAAAGTTTTAAAAAACCCAAAATATTTCCATTACCATACCTTGTGGATGCTGACGTTGACTTAGACGTGCTTGTGCTCAACGATGTGGACACACTTCTTGAGGTCGAAATAGACAAACTGGTGCTAATTGACTTTGAGTAACTTGAACTGCCACTAGAATAAGTCGAAGAAACCGACGTTGTTGGTGTGCTGACACTAGCTGACGTGGAAGTAGACAAGCTGGTGGACACTGATGCTGATGTACTAGTACTAGCACTTGACAAAGTAGAAGAAATTGAAGTTGTTGGTGTACTCACACTTGTTCCTGTTGATGTAGACACACTGGTGGATACTGATGTTGAAGTACTTGTGCTGGCACTTGACAATGTCGTGGACACTGACGTTGTTGGTGTACTCACACTGGTTGACGTAGATGTAGACACACTAGTCGACACTGATGTTGAAGTACTAGTACTGGCACTTGACAAAGTAGTAGAAATTGACGTTGTTGGTGTGCTCACACTTGTTGATATTGATGTGGACACGCTGGTGGACACTGATGTTGAAGTACTTGTACTGGCACTTGACAATGTAGTGGAAATTGACGTCGTTGGTGCGCTTACACTTGTTGAGGTTGAAGTAGACACACTAGTAGATACTGATGTTGATGTACTTGTACTCGCACTTGACAAGGTCTTGGACACCGATGTTGTTGGCGTACTTACACTAGTTGACATTGATGTAGATACACTGGTGGATACTGATGTTGAAGTACTTGTGCTTGCACTTGAGAACGTCGAGAAAACTGTCGTGGTTGGTGTACTAACACTTGCCGATGTTGATGTTGAGGTGCTTGCGCTAATAGACGTTGAAGCACTAGTTGATGTTGAAGCAGAGATTGAAGCTGATTTCGATTTACTTGTTGATGCTGAAGTGGACACACTGGAAGATATTGACGTTGAAGTACTTGTGCTGGCACTTGACAATGTCGTGGACACTGACGTGGTTGGTGTACTCACACTAGTTGAGGTGGATGTAGACACGCTAGTCGACACTGATGTTGAAGTACTAGTACTGGCACTTGAAAAAGTAGTAGATATTGACTTTGTTGGTGTGCTTACACTTGTTGATGTTGACACGCTAGTGGATACTGATGTTGAAGTACTTTTGCTGGCACTTGACAATGTCGTGGAAACTGATGTTGTTGGTGTACTCACACTAGTTGACGTTGATGTAGATACACTGGTGGATACTGATGTTGATGTACTTGTACTTGCACTTGAGAATTTAGTGAAAATTGACGTTGTTGGTGTGCTTACACTTGTTGAAGTTGAAGTAGACGCACTGGTAGATACTGATGTTGATGTACTTGTACTCGAACTTGACAAGGTCTTGGACACCGACGTTGTAGGTGTACTCACACTAGTTGACGTTGATGTAGATACACTGGTGGATACTGATGTTGAAGTACTTGTGCTCGCACTTGAGTATGTCGAGAAAACTGTCGTAGTTGGTGTGCTTACACTTGCTGATGTCGATGTCGAGGTGCTTGTGCTATGGGACGTTGAAGCACTATGTGATGTTGAAGCAGAGGTTGAAGTTGATTTCGACTTACTTGTTGATGCTGAAGTAGACACACTGGAAGATATTGACGTTGAAGTACTTGTGCTGGCACTTGACAATGTCGTGGACGCTGACGTGGTTGGTGTACTCACACTAGTTGAGGTGGATGTAGACACGCTAGTCGACACTGATGTTGAAGTACTAGTGCTGGCACTTGACAAAGTAGAAGAAATTGACGTTGTTGGTGTGCTCACACTTGTTGATGTTGATGAGGACACGCTTGTGGATAATGATGTTGAAGTACTTGTGCTGGCACTTGACAGTGTCGTGGAAACTGACGTGGTTGGCGTACTCACACTAGTTGACGTTGATGTAGATACACTGGTGGATACTGATGTTGATGTACTTAAACTCGCACTTGACAATGTTGTAGAAGTCGACGTTGTTGGTGTGCTCACACTTGTTGATGTTGATGTAGACACGCTGGTGGATACTGATGTTGATGTACTTGTGCTCGCACTTGACAAGGTCTTGGACACCGATGTTGTTGGCGTACTTACACTAGTTGACGTTGATGTAGATGCACTGGTGGATACTGAAGTACTTGTGCTCGCACTTGAGTATGTCGAGAAAACTGTCGTAGTTGGTGTACTAACACTTTTTGATGCTGAGGTGCTTGTGCTAAGGGACGTTGAAGCACTTGTTGATGTTGAAGCAGAGGTTGAAGTTGATTTCGACTTACTTGTTGATGCTGAAGTAGACACACTGGAAGATATTGACGTTGAAGTACTTGTGCTGGCACTTGAAAATGTGGTGGAAACAGACGTTGTTGGTGTACTCACACTAGTTGAGGTGGATGTAGACACACTAGTCGACACTGATGTGGAAGTACTTGTACTGGCACTTGACAATGTGGTGGAAATTGACGTTGTTGGTGTACTCACACTAGTTGAAGTGGAAGTAGACACACTGGTGGACACTGATGTTGAAGTACTTTTCGACACCGATATTGACGTACTTACGCTGGCACTTGAATAGGTTGAGTATACTGTGGTTGTTGGAGTACTTAGACTTGATGATGCTGAAGTCGACTTGGATGTACTGGCAGTAACTGATGTGGAAAAGCTCGTTGATGTCGACGTTGATAAACTTGTGGATATTGAAGTTGAATAACTTTTGCTGCCACTTGAGTATGTCGTTGAGACTGATGTTGTTGGAGTGCTCACACTTGATGAGGTGGAAGTAGACACACTGGTGGATACTGATGTTGAGGTACTTGTGCTGGCACTGGAATATGTGGAGAACACAGTGGTTGTTGGGGTACTGACACTAGTTGATGTCGATTTTGATGTAGATGTACTTGTGCTACGTGATTTCGATAAGCTAGTTGATGTTGAAGACACAGAGGTGGATACTGAAGTTGAATAACTTTTGCTGCCACTTGAATATGTCGTGGAAACCGATGTGGTTGGACTGCTTACACTAGTTGAGGTTGAAGTCGATACACTGGTGGACACTGATGTTGAGGTACTTGTGCTGGCACTGGAATACGTCGAGAAAACTGTGGTTGTTGGTGTGCTGACGCTCTTTAAGGTTGAGGTGGATGTACTGGTACTCGCTGATGTCGTTACGCTCGTCGACTTACTTGAACTCAAAGATGTTGATTTTGATGTTGATGTAGATGTGCTTGAGTTAACAAAATTAATTTAAAAGAAAATTGAGATGCATCATTGAAGTTAATACATGTCAATTGTGTGTTTTTTTCTGGAATGTGCCTTGAAGAGTAATTTTACGCAGCATTTGTAGCTTGACCTAGCTGTAAGCTCATCGCCTTTTAGAGGCAGTAAAAGTATTTCGTTTGAGGGAGTAAGGAGTAAATGGCTCCTCCGAAGTACCATTACATGGGTATACTAAACACCTCCCACCCAATTTTCGATTCCTTCCATGCCATCTGATTCTCCTTCTTCATCAAAAAAACCGTGATCTGTGTCTGTAGAATTCACTTGACTAAAAGAAAAGGGTCTATGGCACCTGTAAAGAACCATTTTAAATCCCGAAGAAGTTTAGTAAAAACAAAACTTTTGTTGCGTGTTTTCACTTGTCTTCAGTCCCTTAATAAAAATTCCAGTTCTTAATCTAATTACCTAGAAGATGAGACACTTGATGTAGAGGATCTCGTCGGAGGCTTCAAACTCGGCGGCTTCCTACTTGATGTAGGTATTGAATACTGTACATTAGAGGACCGACTGTACGCAGATGACGGGAAAAAAGTGACTGCAGTTTTCTCAGAAACCGATTGATATGACGATGCTGACACTGTAGTGGACCTTGAAGTAGAAATGCTGAAAGATGATATATACCATATTTAAAAACTTTGCTAACCTGAATTGCTACTAACAGCAATTTGAAGGATCGCAAGCACCTCTCATCCTTCTCAAACTTTCATAAACTAACCTTGTGCTGGTAGAGGTGGGAATGGATGCACTTGTTGTAGTTGATATCGACGCACTCGAACTCAAGCTTGTACTAATTGAGATTGAAGTTGAAACACTGAAAATAATAAACAACAGGAATATAGTTACACAAGGGCTCATCACGCTCAATATCGAAGAGCCTTGCACTTCAACCTAAAAGAATCCCTGCAGTCCCTCATAAATATCTAGTTATCGCCAAAAATTGAGTTAAATGTAGAAGAAAAACGCTTCCCAGCGCTTAGAAAGGAAAAAAAAAGGATTTGTTAGCCCACCAACGCTGTAAATACTACTTTCTCTTTCTAATCAATGTAACAGCTCTACTAAGACCTATGGCCTAGTTAGAGAGAAAGATGAGTCATGCACGAACATAAAATGTAAGTACTGCTTCTCTCCATATTACATTTATTGAAACACGAGTTCTCATTTGTGTGTGGGGAACTTAATCAAGCGGGCTCAAAGATGGTGATCTTTTTTTTTAGGCACATAATGCACTATTTCTGAGACAAACACGTTCACCTTCTCAAACTGATGCAAAGAAACTGTTATTCACAAGATATCAAGAATTGTGAGCAAACCTTGCATTTAAATTAGCGCAACATGAGCTCAAGCTCTTATGGCCACGATTGTACGACAAATATTAATTTTTGAGATATCTATCTTGTTGTAAAATTAACATTTACGAACAAATCTCATGATTACTTTATTGCTAAATAATAGTAATAATAATACGCTGTATTTTAAGAGTGTAGCACGAAATAGTTACGGAAACTAGTAAAACTCGTGGCCCTCTATCTAAAAAATTGCAATTACGACAACATATTCCGAATATACAAAATCAAAGTACAAAATAAATAAAACTAAGCAAATACAGAAGTTCTGCATTCATATAAATAAGTATAAAAGCTAATGATATGGCTAAGGAAATATATACAAAATACGACTAAACTATGAAATGGTGTAGTTCTTGCTTCTCTTTGAAGAAGGATACCAATGATAATGCATTTCTAAGATCAAGGCTTAAGCCATTCCAAAGTTGACAAGTAGCAGCTGCGAATGTCTTACCGACTTCGGTCAGCCGATTAGATTTTGGGCAAATAAAGTTTATATTACTACATCTAGTTACACAACTATGTTGCTGACTGTTGATTCCTAAGTAGTCTTAAATATATAAGGGAACTCTTCCCTTAATACGTTTGTATGCAACACAACATTTAGCTATTTTTCCTTCTTCATAAAAAGGAAGCTACTGCAGACTATTAAAAAACGTAATACGAGACGCCTAGTAATAGGCATCGGAAATCACCCTCACTCCTCTAATTTTGTAGCTGAAAAACACAAAGATAATTTCCAGAGACAAGGATATTATGCTGTTTTTGCACAGTTTTCTTTTGAGAGACACACCAAAGCACGACCTTTTCTACATTTGTTACACAATGAGTTTAAAAAAATGTCCCCCTAGAATTTCTTCGTACTATATCACATTCAATACTTCACCAAAATCTCTAACAAGTTTCTATAAAATTATCTAAGAGGAAGAAAAAAACACATTTTATCCCTTTAAAATAACACACCACATACGACATTTACAAAAAGATACCTGGTGGATGCTGAGGTCGATGTCGACGTGCTACTGCTCAGTGATCTCGACACACTGGTGGATACTGATGTTGATGTACTCGTACTGACACTTGAAAAAGTGGTAGACAATGACGTAGATGGTGTACTCACACTAGTTGATGTTGACGTAGACACGCTGGTGGACACTGATGTTGAAATACTTGTGCTGGCACTTGACAATATAGTCGAAATTGACGTTGTTGGTGTGCTTACGCTTGTTGAAGTTGGTATAGACACACTTGTGGACACTGATGTTGATGTGCTTGTACTCGCACTTGACAAGGTCTTAGACACCGATGTTGTTGGTGTACTCACACTAGTTGATGTTGATGTAGATACACTGGTGGATACTGATGTTGAAGTACTTGTGCTCGCACTTGAGTATGTCGAGAAAACTGTCGTAGTTGGTGTACTAACACTTGCTGATCTTGATGTTGAGGTGCTTGTGCTAAGAGACGTTGAAGCACTAGTTGATGTTGAAGAAGAGGTTGAAGTTGATTTCGACCCACTGGTTGATGCTGAAGTGGACACACTGGAAGATATTGACGTTGAAGTACTTATGCTGGCACTTGAAAATGTCGTGGACACTGACGTTGTTGGTGTGCTCACACTTGTCGATGTTGATGTGGACACGCTGGTAGATACTGATGTTGAGGTACTTGTGCTGGCACTCGAAAATGTCGTCGACACTGACGTTGTTGGTGTGCTCACACTTGTCGATGTTAACGTGGACACGCTGGTAGATACTGATGTTGAGGTACTTGTGCTGGCACTTGACAATGTCGTGGACACTGACGTTGGCGTACTCACACTAGTTGAGGTGTATGTAGACACGCTAGTCGACACTGATGTTATAGTACTTGTGCTAGCACTTGACAATGTAGTGGAAGCTGACATGGTTGGCGTACTCACACTAGTTGATGTTGATGTAGATACACTGGTGGATACTGATGTTGAAATACTTGTACTTGTACTTGACAATGTAGTACTTGTGCTCGCACTTGAGTACGTCGAGAAAACTGTCGTAGTTGGTGTACTGACACTTGTTGATGCTGAGGTGCTAGTGCTAAGGGACGTTGAAGCACTTGTTGATGTTGAAGCAGAGGTTGAAGCTGATTTCGACTTACTTGTTGATGCTGAAGTGGATACACTGGAAGATATTGACGTTGAAGTACTTGTGCTGGCACTTGACAATGTGGTGGAAACTGACGTTGTTGGTGTACTCACACTAGTTGAGGTGGATGTAGACACACTAGTCGACACTGATGTGGAAGTACTTGTACTGGCACTTGACAATGTGGTGGAAATTGAAGTTGTTGGTGTACTTACACTAGTTGACATTGATGTTGATACACTGGTGGATACCGATGCTGAAGTACTCTTACTCCCACTAGACAATGTAGTGGAAACTGACGTTGTTGGCGTACTTACACTAGTTAAAGTAGAAGTAGACACACTGGCGGACACTGATATTGAGGTACTTGTCGACACTGATATTGACGTACTTACGCTGGCACTTGAATAGGTTGAGAATACTGTGGTTGTTGGAGTACTTAGACTTGATGATGTTGATGAGGACACGCTTGTGGATAATGATGTTGAAGTACTTGTGCTGGCACTTGACAGTGTCGTGGAAACTGACGTGGTTGGCGTACTCACACTAGTTGACGTTGATGTAGATACACTGGTGGATACTGATGTTGATGTACTTAAACTCGCACTTGACAATGTTGTAGAAGTCGACGTTGTTGGTGTGCTCACACTTGTTGATGTTGATGTAGACACGCTGGTGGATACTGATGTTGATGTACTTGTGCTCGCACTTGACAAGGTCTTGGACACCGATGTTGTTGGCGTACTTACACTAGTTGACGTTGATGTAGATGCACTGGTGGATACTGAAGTACTTGTGCTCGCACTTGAGTATGTCGAGAAAACTGTCGTAGTTGGTGTACTAACACTTTTTGATGCTGAGGTGCTTGTGCTAAGGGACGTTGAAGCACTTGTTGATGTTGAAGCAGAGGTTGAAGTTGATTTCGACTTACTTGTTGATGCTGAAGTAGACACACTGGAAGATATTGACGTTGAAGTACTTGTGCTGGCACTTGAAAATGTGGTGGAAACAGACGTTGTTGGTGTACTCACACTAGTTGAGGTGGATGTAGACACACTAGTCGACACTGATGTGGAAGTACTTGTACTGGCACTTGACAATGTGGTGGAAATTGACGTTGTTGGTGTACTCACACTAGTTGAAGTGGAAGTAGACACACTGGTGGACACTGATGTTGAAGTACTTTTCGACACCGATATTGACGTACTTACGCTGGCACTTGAATAGGTTGAGTATACTGTGGTTGTTGGAGTACTTAGACTTGATGATGCTGAAGTCGACTTGGATGTACTGGCAGTAACTGATGTGGAAAAGCTCGTTGATGTCGACGTTGATAAACTTGTGGATATTGAAGTTGAATAACTTTTGCTGCCACTTGAGTATGTCGTTGAGACTGATGTTGTTGGAGTGCTCACACTTGATGAGGTGGAAGTAGACGCACTAGTGGATACTGATGTTGAGGTACTTGTGCTGGCACTGGAATATGTGGAGAACACAGTGGTTGTTGGGGTACTGACACTAGTTGATGTCGATTTTGATGTAGATGTACTTGTGCTACGTGATCTCGATAAGCTAGTTGACGTTGAAGTAGACACAGAGGTGGATACTGAAGTTGAATAACTTTTTCTGCCACTTGAATATGTCGTGGAAACCGATGTGGTTGGACTGCTTACACTAGTTGAGGTTGAAGTCGATACACTGGTGGACACTGATGTTGAGGTACTTGTGCTGGCACTGGAATACGTCGAGAAAACTGTGGTTGTTGGTGTGCTAACACTCTTTGAGGTTGAGGTTGATGTACTGCTACTCGCTGATGTCGTCACACTTGTTGACTTACTTGAACTCAAAGATGTTGATTTTGATGTTGATGGAGACGTGCTTGAGTTAACAAAATTAATTTAAAAGGAAATTGAGATGCATGATTGAAGTTAATACATATCAATTGCGGGTTTTTTCTCTGGGATGTCTTGAGAGAAGTAACCTTATGCAGCTTTTGTAACCTGACCAACTGTAAGCTCTGAAGTACCATTATATTGGTATACTTAAATCAGTCCACCCTAGTTTTGATTCCTCCCATGCCATCTGATTCTCCTTCTTTATCAAAAAAACCGTGATCTGTCTTTGTAGAATTCACTTGACTAAAGAAAAGGGTCTATGACACTTGCAAAGAGCCATTTTTCTAATTTAAATCCCGAAGAAGTTTAGTAAAAACAAAACTTTTGTTGCGTGTTTTCACTTGTCTTCAATCTCTTTAAAAAAAATTCCACTTCTTAATCTAATTACCTGGAAGATGAGACACTTGATGTAGAGGATCTCGTCGGAGGTTTTAAACTCGGCGGCTTCCTACTTGATGTAGGTATTGAATACTGTACATTAGAGGACCGACTGTACGCAGACGACGGGAAAAAAGTGACTGCAGTCTTCTCAGAAACGGATTGATATGACGACACTGACACTGTAGTGGACCGTGAGGTAGAAACGCTGAAAGATATATACCATATTTTTAAACTTTGCCGACTTGAATTGCTAATAACAGCAATTTGAAGGATCGTAAGCACCTCTCATTCTTCCCAAACCTTCATAAACTAACCTTGTGCTGGTAGAGGTCAAGCTCGTACTAATCGAGATTGAAGTTGAAACACTGAAAATAATAAAGAATAGGAATTTAGTTACACAAGGCCTTATTTGCACAAACACGATACAAACACGCTCAGCCTCTCAAACTGATGAAAAAAACCATTTAATCATTACATATCAAGAATTGTGAGCAAACACCTCGTTTAAATTAGCGCAACAAGAGCTCAAGCTCTTATGACCACAAACGTACAAAACAAAATTTTAATATTTAAGAAACCCATCTCGTAATATAAACATTAACAAACAAATCTCATGATCACTTTTTTGTCAAAGATAATTTCCTGAGACAGGGATAGTGCTCTGTTAAAAAGCGTAACGCTAGACGCCTGGTTATTAGTGTCGGAAATTACCCCCACTCCTCTTTTTTGTAGCTTAATGACGCCAAGATAAATCCCAGGGACAAGGATTTCCTCGTAATATGTTACATTCAATACTTGACCAAAATCCCTAACAAGTTTCTATAAAAGTATCCGAAGGGCACAAAAAAAAACGGTTCATCCTTTTACAACAACACACCACATAAAAAGTTTCCAATAAAATACCTAGTGGATGCCGAAGTCGACGTGGACGTGCTAGTGCTCAGTGATCTCGACACACTGGTGGATACTGATGTTGATCTACTTGCGCTGGCACTCGACAAAGTAGTAGAAACTGACGTTGTAGGTGTGCTCACACTTGTTGATGTTGATGTGGACACGCTGGTGGATACTGATGTTGAAGTACTTGTGCTAGCACTTGACAATGTAGTGGAAACAGATGTTGTTGGTGTACTCACACTAGTTGTGGTGGATGTTGAAATGCTTGTGCTAACAGAGGTCGAAACACTAGTTGATGTTGAGGCAGAGGTTGAGATTGATGTCGACTTACTTGTTGACGTCGAGGTAGACACACTAGTAGACACTGATGTTGAAGTACCTGTGCTGGCACTTGACAATGGAATGGAAACTGACGTTGTTGGTGTACTCACACTTGTGGAAGTGGATGTAGACACACTACTAGACACTGATGTTGAAGTACTTGTGCTGGCACTTGACAATGTAGTGGAAACAGATGTTGTTGGTGTACTCACACTAGTTGTGGTGGATGTAGACACACTAGTCGACGGTGATGTTGAGGTACTTGTGCTGGCACTTGATAATGTAGTGGAAATTGACGTAGTTGGTGTACTCACACTAGTCGACGTTGATGTTGATACACTGGTGGACACTGAGGTTAAAGTACTTGTGCTGGCACTTGAGTATGTCGAGAAAACTGTTGTAGTTGGTGTACTAATACTTGCCGATGTTGATGTTGAAATGCTTGTGCTAACAGAGGTCGAAACACTAGTTGATGTTGAGGCAGAGGTTGAGATTGATGTCGACTTACTTGTTGACGTCGAGGTAGACACACTAGTAGACACTGATGTTGAAGTACTTGTGCTGGCACTTGACAATGGAATGGAAACTGACGTTGTTGGTGTACTCACACTTGTGGAAGTGGATGTAGACACACTACTAGACACTGATGTTGAAGTACTTGTGCTGGCACTTGACAATGTAGTGGAAATAGATGTTGTTGGTGTACTCACACTAGTTGTGGTGGATGTAGACACACTAGTCGACAGTGATGTTGAGGTACTTGTGCTGGCACTTGATAGTGTAGTGGAAACTGACGTAGTTGGTGTACTCACACTAGTCGACGTTGATGTTGATACACTGGTAGACAGTGAGGTTGACGTACTTGTACTGGCACTTGAGTATGTCGAAAAAACTGTTGTAGTTGGTGTACTAATACTTGCCGATGGTGATGTTGAAATGCTTGTGCTAACAGAGGTCGAAACACTAGTTGATGTTGAGGCAGAGGTTGAGATTGATGTCGACTTACTTGTTGACGTCGAGGTAGACACACTAGTAGACACTGATGTTGAAGTACCTGTGCTGGCACTTGACAATGAAGTGGAAACTGACGTTGCTGGTGTACTCAAACTTGTGGAAGTGGATGTAGACACACTACTAGACACTGATGTTGAAGTACTTGTGCTGGCACTTGACAATGTAGTGGAAACAGATGTTGTTGGTGTACTCACACTAGTTGTGGTGGATGTAGACACACTAGTCGACGGTGATGTTGAGGTACTTGTGCTGGCACTTGATAATGTAGTGGAAACTGACGTAGTTGGTGTACTCACACTAGTCGACGTTGATGTTGATACACTGGTGGACACTGAGGTTGACGTACTTGTGCTGGCACTTGAGTATGTCGAGAAAACTGTTGTAGTTGGTGTACTAATACTTGCCGATGTTGATGTTGAAATGCTTGTGCTAACAGAGGTCGAAACACTAGTTGATGTTGAGGCAGAGGTTGAGATTGATGTCGACTTACTTGTTGACGTCGAGGTAGACACACTAGTAGACACTGATGTTGAAGTACTTGTGCTGGCACTTGACAATGGAATGGAAACTGACGTTGTTGGTGTACTCACACTTGTGGAAGTGGATGTAGACACACTACTAGACACTGATGTTGAAGTACTTGTGCTGGCACTTGACAATGTAGTGGAAACAGATGTTGTTGGTGTACTCACACTAGTTGTGGTGGATGTAGACACACTAGTCGACAGTGATGTTGAGGTACTTGTGCTGGCACTTGATAATGTAGTGGAAACTGACGTAGTTGGTGTACTCACACTAGTCGACGTTGATGTTGATACACTGGTGGACACTGAGGTTGAAGTACTTGTGCTGGCACTTGAGTATGTCGAGAAAACTGTTGTAGTTGGTGTACTAATACTTGCCGATGTTGATGTTGAAATGCTTGTGCTAACAGAGGTCGAAACACTAGTTGATGTTGAGGCAGAGGTTGAGATTGATGTCGACTTACTTGTTGACGTCGAGGTAGACACACTAGTAGACACTGATGTTGAAGTACTTGTGCTGGCACTTGACAATGGAATGGAAACTGACGTTGTTGGTGTACTCACACTTGTGGAAGTGGATGTAGACACACTACTAGACACTGATGTTGAAGTACTTGTGCTGGCACTTGACAATGTAGTGGAAACAGATGTTGTTGGTGTACTCACGCTAGTTGTGGTGGATGTAGACACACTAGTCGACGGTGATGTTGAGGTACTTGTGCTGGCACTTGATAGTGTAGTGGAAACGGACGTAGTTGGTGTACTCACACTAGTCGACGTTGATGTTGATACACTGGTAGACAGTGAGGTTGACGTACTTGTACTGGCACTTGAGTATGTCGAGAAAACTGTTGTAGTTGGTGTACTAATACTTGCCGATGTTGATGTTGAAATGCTTGTGCTAACAGAGGTCGAAACACTAGTTGATGTTGAGGCAGAGGTTGAGATTGATGTCGACTTACTTGTTGACGTCGAGGTAGACACACTAGTAGACACTGATGTTGAAGTACTTGTGCTGGCACTTGACAATGGAATGGAAACTGACGTTGTTGGTGTACTCACACTTGTGGAAGTGGATGTAGACACACTACTAGACACTGATGTTGAAGTACTTGTGCTGGCACTTGACAATGTAGTGGAAACAGATGTTGTTGGTGTACTCACGCTAGTTGTGGTGGATGTAGACACACTAGTCGACGGTGATGTTGAGGTACTTGTGCTGGCACTTGATAGTGTAGTGGAAACGGACGTAGTTGGTGTACTCACACTAGTCGACGTTGATGTTGATACACTGGTAGACAGTGAGGTTGACGTACTTGTACTGGCACTTGAGTATGTCGAGAAAACTGTTGTAGTTGGTGTACTAATACTTGCCGATGTTGATGTTGAAATGCTTGTGCTAACAGAGGTCGAAACACTAGTTGATGTTGAGGCAGAGGTTGAGATTGATGTCGACTTACTTGTTGACGTCGAGGTAGACACACTAGTAGACACTGATGTTGAAGTACTTGTGCTGGCACTTGACAATGGAATGGAAACTGACGTTGTTGGTGTACTCACACTTGTGGAAGTGGATGTAGACACACTACTAGACACCGATGTTGAAGTACTTGTGCTGGCACTTGACAATGTAGTGGAAACAGATGTTGTTGGTGTACTCACACTAGTTGTGGTGGATGTAGACACACTAGTCGACGGTGATGTTGAGGTACTTGTGCTGGCACTTGATAGTGTAGTGGAAACTGACGTGAATGGTGTACTCACACTAGTCGACGTTGATGTTGATACACTGGTAGACAGTGAGGTTGACGTACTTGTACTGGCACTTGAGTATGTCGAGAAAACTGTTGTAGTTGGTGTACTAATACTTGCCGATGTTGATGTTGAAGTGCTTGTGCTGACAGAAGTCGAAACACTAGTTGATGTTGAGGCAGAGGTTGAGGTTGATGTCGACTTACTTGTTGACGTCGAGGTAGACGCACTAGTAGACACTGATGTTGAAGTACTTAGGCTGCCACTTGAATATGTCGTAGACACTGACGTTGTTGGTGTGCTTATACTTGTTGAGGTTGAAGTGGACACAGTGGTGGATACCGATGTTGAAGTACTTGTGCTGGCACTTGACAATGTAGTGGAAACTGAAGTTGATGGTGTACTTACACTAGTTGATGTTGAAGTAGACACACTAGTGGACATTGAAGTTGAAGTACTTAGACTTTTTGAAGTGGAGGTAGACTCACTGGTGGACACTGATGCTGAAGTACTTGTGCTAGCACTTAATGACGTGGTGGAAACTGACGTTGTTGGTGTACTAGTGCTTGTTGATGATGACGTTGTAATAGACGTGCTGGTGCTAACTGATGTAGATACGCTTGTTGAGGTTGAGGTTGACACACTGCTGGATAGTGATGACGAAGTACTGACACTTGTTGAGGTTGATGTGGAAGTACTTGTACTTAATGAAGTTGATACACTTGTGGAAACACTAGTCGACCTGCTTGAACTTCTAGAGGTTGAGCTTGAGCTTGAACTTATTGAGGTGCTTGTTGAAGTTGATATAGATTTACTGTTGAGTTAAAAGGTATTGAAATTAGAACGACAAGTAAAACTTAGTCAGTGAAAGTACCATTTAACGATATGGTCTGCGCTTTGAATCTTTTTTAATTCGCTTTATGCTTTTCGAAGTTTTTTACGTCATTTAATTTGTTTATACTTAACAAAAACCTTTAAGAGTGTGCTTCATACTTTCCGGCTGGATTTATCTAAGTAGGGATGAAACAAGTGATTTGCGAGATGTACATAACGCAGATTGACTTCAAGCCAAGAGGAGTAACGAGGAGATTCCTCACAGCGCAACTTTTCTGAAATAGTCAAAAAGTGCGTTTTCCGACCATGCGATCAATCGCACGAATAGTCTAAATAGTTAAACTACAATTTTTTGCATCTTAGAGACGTTTCTTCATCGATCTAAGGCCTCGATTTCCCCTTTATTTCATAAACAATCCTTTTCCTCCCCGATGAATGTTGGTGGTTCTTTCCTCCTCTCCCCCTATCCTCCATCCCTCTGCCCTCTATCCCCAACCCCACCCTTCCTCTCCAAAGCTGACGGTAATGCTAATAACCTGGAAGATGAGACACTTGATGTAGAAGATGTCGTCGGAGGCTTCAAACTCGGCGGCTTCCTACTTGATGTAGGTATTGAATACTGTTCATTAGAGGACAAACTGTACGCAGACGAGGGGAACACAGTGGCTGTTGTTTTCTCTGAAAATCGTTGATATGACGAGCGTGGGGGAAATATCGCCTCGGACGTTGACTCGGTCGAAGACACATTAAAAACTGATTTTGATACACTTGCGCCGTAGGATGATTGACCTTGAGTGTATAGCGGTGAACTAAGAGATCGAAAGAGGGAATTCATATCTACATTCCCATTAACTGTTTGAGCTTAACTTCATAAATGAAAATTATTTTTAAAAAAAACTTCTGCATCTCACTTCTTTCTCCTATCATCTACAACAAACTAACTTAGTAATAGAGTAGCAAAGCTTGCTCTTCCTCGCCACCATAACTACAAAGTGAAATATTACTACTACAGCTCCCATCATCAGCATCATTTTCACCATCAACTTCAATAGTCATCACCTTCATTTTAATCTTTGCTAGCATCAAACTTATCACCATCGTCACCGCCATCATTATCAAAACGACCTTATCGTGACGTTAACATAACAAACTGGATCGCATAACCTGAATATCCGTAAAATGGAAACTGATCAACACAACTGACTAAAACTAATTGAGTCTTACAGCCTGCAACACTAACCGAAAATTTACCAATCAAATACGCAGTCAGCTCCCACGAGCGCAACTCATAACAGTCGACAATAAACATATCTTCAAGTGACATTGTTCGAAACGTCAGTCAATGTAACCAACAACAGCTCATTTACAATCTTCCTTCTTCCGTATTACCACACTGAAATATTACTCCTGCGTTCATTACCGTTTCCTAAATTTAATCTCTTATTTTGCCACCACCGCCACCGATAAACAACAACAACTTGGTCAGCAATTCCCCCTTTATGATCACCTGCTGTATCTGTGACTAAGTATGATCTGTTTCCCGTTTTGATCTGTTTACCGCACAATGAAGGTTGAAAAGAAATCGAAAGGAGATTCCCGTCAGCTCAACTGAACACAGCGGTCAAACGTAGGGCATGCGCATATGCATTAGTTTTGGTTAGCCGAGTGCGAATTGCCTATGCACATTTAAAAGAATAAACAAAAGGAGCCAGCCCCACCACGCAAAATTAACGTTAAAAAAATTGAAACGCAAAATATCACTGAAATGATGTGAAGCTAAATTCACAGGAAAATTAAGATTGAACGCAAAGTTTGTTCAATTAGGAATATTCTGCTGAGTTGTTAAGAACTGTCAGTAACCGTCTTGTGTGGTTGTTATTAACTTCAGGAGTTAACTTGGTTCCGTTAGCATGAAGGTGTTGGACCGCCTTTTCATCGTTTAAACATTTGCACGTGCACAAACCTTTGACCGCTGTGCTGCTAAACTGACATTAGTCAGCCCGGGGCAGTGGATAAATTTGCATATCGAGGAATGCTACGCAATGAAAAAGGTGTCGATCTGTTTCTGGTTTTAATCCTGGTAAAATACCCTACATAAAGCCTCCTTTTTGGGGATAATTGATATTTAGCCATAATAATATGTGTTGTGCCTACGGAATTTCCGTAGTTTCTGCAGAGAGTTCAAGCCTATTCTACAGCTCGGTGATTTTCCCACTCTCCAAGACAACAACGGTATTCGTCGCGAACTTCAAGACGTTTTTTTCCGAAATACAAAATAAATTTAAATAAAACATATCTTTAATATTTAAAAAATTTATTTGCCTCATGCCAGCTAGAGGGCAAAAATCATTCAAAATCATTAAAAGTATCTTCAATTGATATTTTTTCAACGTATTGTAAGATGTACTTTCATGTAAATCGTTCATTCAAAGGGTACCACAATAAACTTTAGATAACTATTCATACCTGGACAAGCTAGTAGATATCGACGTAGATATACTGGTTGGGGTAGACTTCGAGGTCAACGTTGACGTACTATGCATTAAAGAAAAATTACAACAATGTCAGAAGTTAAGCACTGACTTCTAATACTAACTAAATTCGCTCTATGCGGTTCATAAAACGTTCAGATTTAACGCAATACATGCACCATGAACAGTTAGGCTCAGCAAAATCCATCAAGCGTTTAGATTCCTCTCATTACAGTCTTCAATATACGATTACAACTTGCAACGAGTGTTCAGAAAACACCCGTTAATCAAAACAGGTTACAAAAGGTGACGTGAAATGTAACTTTACGAGGCTGACTGGCGGAACTAATGTCATTAAGGCACAGAAACAGGGATTTATTTCTGCATAGCTACCTGTCTTACGTTTTGCCAGAATTGGTAAACAAAGCAATTGATGTTAGAGGTACTATTTAAAATCATGCATGTAATCCAAAAACCAAAAGCAACAGACTGTTAAAAATTAATAGGAATGCAACTTCTCTGACTATTATCAAAAGTTTACATACTTGACAATGACATTTATTTTTCGCTAGTTTCTTGGTTTGAGTTGAAACGTTAAACTAAGCGGCGTCAAATAAAAAAAGCTATAAAAAGATTGACTTTGGAGGGATTAATGAAATATTCACCTTAAGCTGCTAGGAATACCAGTTGAGACCAATGTTGATACACTCGTTGACACCGATGAAGTAGTGCTCACACTGGTTGAGGCAGAGGTAGACACACTGGTGGACACTGATGTAGAAGTACTTGTGCTTGTACTTGAGGATGTTGAGGTAGATGTGCTTGCACTCGAGGAACTTGAAATGCTTTGAATAAGTAATTAAAAAAGGTGGAAAAAGTTGCAGATGAGTACTATTTATTCTTCCCTTCTGAATTTTACATTTTCTCCTCTGTTGTTCCTTTTGTTTTTTAAGTAATTATGTAATGTGCCAAACATTTAGATGTTTTTAGTGATGCCCAATGCACGGGGCAGGTTAGCTTCTAACGCCTTCTTGTTATAGATATAATAATTTTCTACAGTTTTATAGGAAAAGCCTAGATGCTAATTTGAGTGAGTGTAAGCGCCACAGGTAGCCCAGGTTGAGGCATTTCTCACAAACAGAATACATACCAAACTGTTAGAGGACAAGACCCCTTACAAAGGACAAGTCTAACGAATTTGTACATTTCTTTACAGACTTCCATTCACTGAAATTCGACTGCCTATCAAAAAATTAACTTGGTTTTACAGAAGTTAATGAAACTAAGAGGGACTGGAACTCTGTTTCGAAATGAATGCAATAACTTCTTAAAATTATGACTAGAGTAGCATAACAGTCCATGACAATTGTGTTCACCATCACACACCTGATGCTGCTTGTACTTGACACACTTGATGTGGAGAGCGTGACAGTGGATGAGCCAACGCAAGGCCTCTCGCACTCGCTTGTCTGATTAACACATTTCTTGCCATCGAAGAACGTTCCATTGGGACATGAACACCCTTCCACACGGGGTCCTCGGCAGCACCTTGCCCCCAGTTTTTCGCAATCCTTTGGAGTCTGCTCGCAAGTTGAAGGTAAACTAATGTTGGCAAGGTAACCACCAGTATTTTCACAGGGACGACAACATGGTAGTTCTGGAAATATATATAGATGTAATAGTATGATAATAAGACTAGGAACTATGCTGAAGTTAAATAGAACAACAACAAGTCTTCAATATTGTGCCTATCATTCTAAAGTCTACATTTTTCAATAAATATTAACATAATAACTGCTCTTGATGTGCTGGATCATTGGGGAAAATTCACTCATTTCCATTTCTCTGTTTTTAACCTTCTTGAATGTTATCTATTTCGTTCCCCTTCTCCTGGATTTATTTACTCTTTGACCCCTTAGAGTGACAACTTCACCTTACAATATCTCCCCAAAATCACAGGTTAAGGTCACCAGAATAAAGGAAATGATCATCAACTAGTGAAGCTCTTGATTGTGAAACAAACTCTCCTTTTGAATACATTAAGAAATATGTAGAGGAGAGTAGGGGCAATATGCACACCGATGTTAGGTTGTAAAGGATTAAAAATGCTGCACGTAAGCTCTATAAACTCACCGCAAAAGCCTTCACGACGCCACGTGATTGAGATGCCCATCTGATTACAGGCTCGAACGTAAGTTGCTATCGCTGAACAGAAGCATGCGCAATCCCCTCCTTTGTTGCAGAGGCAAGACTCGTGCTTACAGGCCTGGAAGTAAGGCTCAGGGTCCACAGTATCGTGGCATGCTTTGAAGTTGGCATTTCTCTTGATCTCGTTGCAACCTTAAAAAACAAAGCGATGCTCTTTGTAGATCTATTTTCACAATTTTTAAACGAGAAGTAGGACGCGTTTGACATAATTTGTTAAGTCAATACATAGCCCGGTCCCCGATTTAGTTCTCTGTGACACGGTTGTTGAGCATCGTACCGTGAGGGCCGTGGATATGACGTTCGATTCTTTGTCAGGCAAAGATTTCATTTCATCCCTTTGTCCCACCTTCATGAAAAATAAACACCCTCTGTAAGTACTAAGCGCTTTCTAATTTTATTTCGTATTTTTTACGCGCTTTTCCTTTTCCACACCTCTTTGTTCATGTTTTTTGTTGAGCTTCTTAGCGTGTTTCTTCGTCAGTTACACCTTTTCGCACGTTTCTCATACCGCACGTTATTTGGCAGTCTTGTATTAAAGCCATTTCCTTTTACGCATAATGAATTTTCGAGACAGTTTACCTGAAGTCGCGCCTGGCGAGGTTCTCTATTATAGAAGTCGATTTTGCAGTTATATTGGGCGTGATCAATGTAAGTATTTCTTTTTATCGTTTCGCTTTGTTTTCATTCGCCTTTTGTTTATAGCTTGTTTATCTTAATTAGTTAACTTGCTCTTATTTATGTTTTTAGTTTCAACCCACCACTACTACTGCAAACTAATAAAACGAGCTAGTGACATCCATAGTTTAATGCTTAGTTCATTTAAAGACAATTTAAGTCAGGAAAACAGTATGGGTACTCTTTGGAATCTAAAAACGAGCCAGAAGTTAATTTATGCATTTGCTTTCCAATGGAAGATGGAAAATTATATTGTTTCCGAATCTTATTTCTTCGTGAAAAGACTTAAGCTCAATTCTGGCGCTCGCTACCGAAACAAATTCAAATGCTGATATTACTAATTACCTTTCTCGGCCCAGCCTTGGCGAGATGGATTTGACAAACAAGGATCAAGAGACACTGGACGGGGGCAGTCATCGTCATCTTTCCAATCATAACCAAACTCAACGTCATCATTTGCCGTGACATTATCGCGAAGCCGCAGGTCATCCTGAACGAGTCCGTTGAAGTTGCCACACAGACCAGAAAGCTTGCCAGCCTTCCTATAGGCTGGATTGGGCGTAATGTATACCCGGGAACCTTGGTCAAATCGAACCTATAGAGACAGTTTTTAGATATCTTTAGTTTAAGAATTTTCTGTAATCAAAGACCCTATCTCCCCATAAGACTCTTCCGACTTTGCTGTTGTCACCACAATGCAAGGAATTCGTCACTTACGAACCTTTAGCTCAGATGGGAGAAGAGTCTATCGAAGGAAGCTTCTATAAATTTCTAACAAGTTACACATTCTTTAAAAATGGACACATGTAGAATGACATGTTGAAGGTAAATTATAGAAACTTAGCCCGGACGAAGGAAGAAAATGGAGTAGAGCACAAATACCGTGGAAGAGGATTACAGGGAGTAAGCGCCAGGAGATGAGATAGCAATGGGGAAAAGCCGTATCTCAGATGTTTGGAAATAACTAGAAGAAATAAAAACTTATTTCGTTAAGTGTCTTACATGTTCTTAACGCATGAAAAGGAAGAGTGTACGTGAGTTTTAGCTTTGAAAAACACTCAAAAAAGGCATATAATTTTCGTTCAGCTCAAATTCAGACAACAGAGGAGTGGGAGGAAGACTAACGGAAATTGAGAAATTGAAAGGAACTGCGAGATATTCGTTTCAATTTTATCACCATAACACGATCAAACCAATTGAGAGAATCCAAGACTCCAAACTTCCCGCCAACAAAACGAGCAGAGAATCACCTTCTTGCGAAAAAATCATCCTCTTACCTCAAATTTAACGAAGAAAGGGTTATTTTTCTCGTAAATACGAGCGATAAGGAACAACCCCACGTGAAAAATCTCTACATTAGGAAGGTCTGACATCATCCGGCACGGCTCGGGATATTGTCCGGGTTTGTAAGTTTTTGTATTCGGATTTTGAATAATGCTAAATTCCTTTTGGAACAACTCCACAGTTGCTCCTCCCTCTAATTTAATTTCAACTCGTTTGCACATCTGCAACTCCAGTGAATCCCTACAAGAAGTAAACAACACTTAAGTCATCTTAGGTTTTGAATAAGAGATCAATTCGATTGTCATTGAATGTCAAAAACCTAACACAGAGTGGTCAAAACAGCCATTCAGATCAAAGGCAAACATGACAAAAGACCAATGAGAATTCTTATTAAAGATACAGGCAAATTGCTTAAAACGCGGGAAAATGCGGGTGACCAAGCTACGATTGGCTTTACTTTTGCATCTGATTCGTTGATGCATGACGTAAATTTTCTGGACCAATCACAAAACAATGTGAAATAAACTTCACTAATCCGGGACTGCTTTCGATAATTGATTGAGAATTGGTTTTAGGATCTAACCTGATTGCCTAATTCTTTCGCTCCTTTCTGGCCCCTTATGGCTGAGTGCATCAAGATTTAACTAGCACGATACGACTAAGAGTTTGGGCCTCCCTATGAACGAGATGTTTGTCCATCACAGTCAACCTCTTGTTCCCTCCCACCCCCCATTAATGATTGCTGGTAAAATATTCTTACTCCTGGGTGGAGTGAGGCAGTATGAGAGTAGAATATCATGCCACCATCTTGGTCTGGGAAACGCACCTAAATATTGTGTATTACACAACAGCGAATAAGATAATAGGACGGAAGATATCACAATGAGTGAATGAGGGCCGAAAGGCCATACCTGCATGGTTCGTTTTTGACAGAGATTTCGACAGTATCTTCTTTCATCATGGTAAACTTGCAGCTCTCCTGATGAAACTTGATCCATCTTCCATCAAATGATCGATAATGATCCTGACCCGTTGCGGCGCACTCGTATTCCGGCGACGGATTGATCATGTTGTCAGAGATCCATTCACGAGCGCCGTTGCAAGTTCTAGTGAGTTTAAAAAAATCAAGAAATTAACGCGTTAATAGTCTCATTATCCAGAAACTAGAACATAAGCGCACAAAACACTAAGCTGCATTTAAGAAACTCCGTCGTGGTCTGTGATTTCCGATAATTCCTGGCTAACTTGGTTTCACTTCCTTTAGTCTTAACGCGTTGGTAATTGTCCACCCTAGAAGCCAGTTATGTTGAGGTTGTGTTCTATTGAAAAGTAATTCCCTGGGCTGCTAATGAATGATTAAAAACCGTCATAGCAGGACTCATAATGCGAGGGATTCTTACTTAACAAAACACAAGCATCACAGCGGAGCAGCCACAAAGTCACATTGCTGGCGAAAGGAGCTTATCTGTTACATGCATAATATCCAATTATCTCTTACACTATGATATTCAATAATATGCTACAGAAAAAACGTTATAAAAGAAAATTTATCATATCATAGTTGTTTTGCATTAACCTTAAGTTACTCGCGGGAATGACAAGTGCAAAAGTAGGTGTCAAAAGGGAAACTGTTTAGTGTACAAGGCTGGCTGCAAAACCTTTTTTTACGATGCCCCCTCCCCACGAGAAAAATCTAGTTATTAATACCTTTTGATAAAAGTTTCTTTGCTACGTCAGTTTTAATCCTTTTTCATCTATTTTTGAATAAGATAACAATACAAGACAAAGAAAACTTAAGATAACACAACTTTGAAATACTTAAACAGAGAACGTTTCAAACACTTCAAAGTTGTATTCTTTTTCGTTTTTATAGTACACATACTTTGAGCAATCAACTGGGTTGGTTTCACCCTTCTGGTAAATTTTGTTGTTGTGTTTACAGCCACACTGATTCTTTTCCACACATGTTCCGTTCTCAAGGAGCAGTTGATCACCAGGACAGAAACATCCCCGCTTACACCGGGACTGTCGTGAGATGTCACTCATCAGGTAATTGTCGCATGTAAGACCGCAGTCTGAGTACACCTTTCCTTCCTTAGCGCACATTTCTACGAAAAAAAAATTGAAAAAATTGCGATTATTCAAATAGGGGTCGAAATAGAGATACTTTAAAAATGTTAAAACAGTAGCTTATAGTAAGTAATTATTGGTTGAGGTGGAGCATTGAGCCGAAGGCTGAGGCAGATAACACAGGCAGAATTATGTCAAGAAAGATGATCGTGGTTAAAAAGGCAATTAAAGTAGCTATGAAGACAAAAAGATATAGTTTAATTACAACTCGGTGTAAAGCGAAATATGTTTTTTCGTCTTATGAGCGCGGGACAGAGAGAAAATTTTGAGTCCCCGAGAAAGAGTCCAACCTCAACCTTAGACCCCCCATGTATGTTGAATTAAACGAATGCGTGTGAAAAATTTAGCCACAAGTTTTAAAAATTTGAAGTACTTACTATCACAGTCGTCATCTGTACACTCCCACTGTCCACCTCCTTTGCAAGTGCTAACAGCAAAAAGATATTAAAAATACAGATCAAGTATTACGTCCTAAAATCTTTGCCTATTGATTTATCACTACTTTATCTTATACTAGCTTCCAAAGCGCCTGCGCAGGCTACTCGTCTTTGATGGGAAGCTAGTCCATCATATGTGCTGGTATCCAGGCCCTTCCCAACACAGAATTCCCTCAGGTTTCTCTGACAGTTTGCAAATACTCATGCCCACTCCTGGGTGAAGTAAGACCCGATGAATGTTAGATGTCCTATCTTAAAAAAACAGTATGACCCAGCCAGGACGCAAGCCCGAACCTTTGAATACGGATTAAAATGCAAAAACCAAAGGGGCAACGAATCTCCTTCATAAAAAAGAATCATATTGATCTATTCACTTTTGAAACGATAAGTGCGCTGAACACAGCTTTTCAAGTAAAATTTGCAAACACAAAATTCCGACTCTGAACTTTTAACTTCATCATGCTGAGAAAGTAACGCGGTGATCGCACTCCTCTACTTCCTTCCTGCAAATCTTGGACATTTCACAGTACTCAGATGACTTCATTGGCGTACAAACGTTAACCTTGAAACTAAAACAATAACAATTAAACGTACCAAGTGTTGCATCGGACAAATCGTGTGGCTCCCTTCTCGTACTCTTTCCCTTCAAAGTAACAAGGACATTCCTCCTTTAGCACGCATTTATTGCTCCTCAGAACCTGATCCTCATTTTTACAGTAGCAAGCTTCTACGCAGCCACGTCTGGAAAAAATTGCAAACGTCAGGGTAGCTTACATTAGGAGTGTACGACGGTTATAGAGGTTCGAGGGTTTCCAACAAACGTCTGACACAGTGGAAATTAATGGGTGATTATAGTATTTTCTGTAAGAAGCGTCCGGGCGCACATTCGAAATTTCGGGTAAAAGGAGGGATTGGAGGAGGTTATTGGAAGGAGGGAGCCTAATCGAGGGGGCGCGTATTAAGAAACTTTTGTTACAGCTGTAGTTGCGGCTTAAAAAGTTATAAATATAGTTGAAAGTGAGGGAGGAGGGGGCGCCTGTTTAATATATTGACCTAGGAGGGGGTTCTTATAACTGTGTCAGTATGTGTTGAGGGACAAAGTGACATACTACGAGTCCTTTAGCAAGGTACTTTTATTACTTCATCATATTAGTTACTTCAACGTCTTAAGTTTCCCATCGGGTTGAAAGAGTTAGTAGAAGTGTACAAATGACATTACCTCCTGCAATCTCCGTCTTGGTCGGGATTTAGATCCTCGCAAGTCTGAGGACAAGCTAATGAGCCGTTGTTATGTCTATGACATTGCTCAAGCTTCATGTCTGCACCGCACTGGTAATCTAGAACATAATTTCGTGCTTTGTTTAGTAGATAAACAAAATTTGTGGTGCAAAGAAATTTGTAAGGTAAGGGTTGACAGGTACAGCAAGAACTCAGACATATAAAAGAAGTGTTTAACTCTTTTGGGAACATGATATTGAGTGGGATTTTCTCATGATCTAATATATCAAAGAAAACTAAAGTAGAATTCCAATTTTTTAACCTCTTAGGAGAGAAAAATTGCGGTTTAATTTTGTGGAGGGAGAAAAAAGTTCGGAGTAAAGCAACTGTGTTTGAGTACGGGAAGCAATTCCAGTTTTGGTTGTTAATATCTGCAGTCTGGAGAAAACCGGGGTTCGATAAATTGGGAGTCTACTGAGTATACATGTGTACCTGTGCATCTGGATACGGCGTTTATCCGTCGTCTCTTGAGCGTTTTCGTTGCTCATTTTAGAGAAATATGTTGTGCTTTTTCCATTAAGTTTGGTTATTTGAAATACACCGAGAACTCTAGATTTCGTGTGACATGTATCCTATAAAACCCACCTTCCGCGCAGCTGGAAACTAAGTTTCTCCATCCGTTCAAATCAATCCCCTTGTCCGCACAGGCCTTTGCATACCCTGCTATGACTTTACACAGGCATCCCTTGCATCGACATCCATCTTGAACACACTTTTCATAGTACTCCAGCACACTCACCTCGCTGTGACAGGCAGCGAACGGAAGGGAAGTATCTTTTAATTTGAAACACTGATCAAGAGTCCACTGTTTGTTTTGTTGATAAATATTGCAGTAGTTAATCGAGCTTACCACGCTCTCTGTCTCGCATTTTTCATCGGAGAGATCTGGGATCAGCCATTCCTTGGCGAATTCGTCGATGGACACTATGTCGTCATTACTGCGCATGTGGAAGTCATCCTCTTTCATATCATTGAATGTACCACAAAGACCACATGTTTGGTCTTTTAGCGTCGAGTTCACGGTCAAGTAAATGTTGTAGCCAGTCCAGTGGATAGAAAATGCCACTCCATTCTTTAAGATAAACATGAAATTGAAAAAGCGAATGAAAAGGAAGACAATACGACACTTGTTTTCTTGAAGCGTGATCAACCCCGTTTGTTTTCCCGTTAAATATGATTTACATTCAGAACTTGTGATGGCAATGGCCCAAGTTTGCATATGAAAAGGAAACAATATTTTATATCATCCCCTTAATCTCACGTAATAGAATTTTGCAAAGAGGGAAGTGGGACCTGAAGGACTTGATCTCTCAGGATCCATGACCAAACGAAATCATTGAGACGCGGACATTCTCTTCGAGCAATTTGGATAAGTTTAAAACTTTTGCTTGTTTCCTGAAGCCCAGCTCATCGATACCTACCCCAAGGTTGACACGAACAAAAATGTTTCGGTCACCAAGAAATTCGACATCCATCTTCTCGGCGGAGTAATCCGTTTTGACACTCGTCACGCTGCCACTTTGAGTCTCGATGGAAGCAGTCGGCTTACTGGTACCATCCTCGACGTCCAAAATTAAGAAAGGTTGGCCAGTGACATTCACTAGCACTTCCCGTTTACAATTTGCGTACATTGCTGTGCAGTTCCTGTTACGAATGGTAATGGAGTAACCCCGGCCTACTCCATTAGGCATGTGACACTGCTCTGACATTACATACGAGCATTCCTTCAAATGCATGGTGTACGTCTTGCCGTCAAAAGTTGTGACGTGAGGGTCGCCAATGACGGAGCAAGTTCCTAAGAGGCAAAAAAATTCATTTTTCACATTCGTGCAATGGGAGAGAACGCTGTCGAAAACAGTCCACGTAAAAGAGGTCTCCACCGGCTGATGTTGGGGGTTGAATAAAGTTAGGCTTTTGCCTAGTCCCTCTTCTGAATCTTGCACTGGGAACTGCAATCATGCTTGAGAGTCGCGATCAGTTAAGTTTTAAGAAGCTATGTGATGATCTGTGCATCAGAAAAATTTGACCCCAATTTCGGAAATTGAAATATTTGTTAATCTTCTGAAAACTTACATGTCCTTGTCCCTTCTATGTTTTGGTTTTGCTTTTTTTGGGGAGGGGAGTTTTGCCTTTATTCGTTTCTTTGTTTTTCGCACACAAAAAAAAAGGCTTTTGAGATCTGAATTTGGAGACTGCGAGTAGCTGACATTGCAGCTAAACTAGTGGAACTCTATTGCATATTCATTTTCATACTTGAATCCACTTAAGCAGCAGTTCTGCTTTCCTTCGCATATCATGTAGTTGTAAATAAATGCAGAGTGCGTTATTGTTCACAAAACCTGTAGCACCATATTTAACTGTTTTTTCAATCTAACGAACCTAGGTCCAAATATAAAATCGCGACTTAATTAAAAAGATTCTCTTCAATCGGCCCATTAGTCATTCATTTATTTAGTAAATCGCTTACTGTATTTATTTTTCAATTCATGTTTTTTTAACGGAGGCAGCACTTTGCTACATGACACCAAAGGTTTACAAATTACATGGTTCCTCTTAGGAACAGGAATTTTCTGAGTAGTTTACCTTCAAGCGGCTTGTAAATTCAGCCGCTATTTGAAAGGCCCTAATACGGATGTATGAAATGAGTTTGAATAGTACAGTGGGGAAAAAATAAATAAATTTTAAAAGATCTTAATCAATTATTCAGCAAATGGGAAAACAAGCTTACAGATGAACCACTGAGCTAAATTCATGTAAGACCTACCTGGACAGGGCTTCTTTGAACACAACCACTCTCCACCGTTACAAGTACTAAAAATAGACAGTTTAAATTCATCAATTTTGTGAATCAATTTGATGGCCCAAGCTGTAATTGTTTCCAGGTAACAATGTTTGGAATACAAAATTGTTGATGGGCCAAAGTTATGGGATCTAGGCCTTAGCAAAAAATTTCCGTAACAAATGAGGATAACTTCCGAAAACAACTTCCGAAAAAAAACAAAACAAAAAAACAAAGACAAATTTGATAAACGGCTCGATTACCATTTATCCAAATGCTATTTGTATCAAATCGCTACTTAACAATTTTTTCCCGATACTCAAGAACTTTTTTTGTTTATTCCTTGTTTCTTTCAGGTTATTTACAGTTAAAGGCCGTTTGATGTCTCTTGTGTACTATTTGAAGACTTCTTCATCGATCGACATCATCACTATTCACCAAAGTGGAGGTGGCTACAGAGCGACACTGAGATGACTAGTTGTTCTAGAATATATTAAAAGTGAAATGATATAGCACAAAAAGATGATTTCAACTCATTTATTCCTACAACGATTACAAAATTTTCGGGCAAGTTACTTGGAGCTGAATAGCAAAGGATATTCGGAGTTTGAGTAGCCAATCAGAGCGCACCTTAAACGCTATCTACCGTTTTATTTTATACTAATATGAAGGGTCAAAGAAGTGATGTTCGGGCCTTGCCAAGCCTGCTTCATAATAGGTAAACCTACAGTTGTGCATCCATTTATACTTAGCTGAAACAAGCTAATTACTGTGACAGAAAGCTGAGAGCGTCAGATTCAATTCACGAGCAAAAGATCAAACAAATTCAAGAGAATCTACCCTGATAATAATCGCGAGCAATTTCACTTGTCAGAGACTCACCATGTTTCACATGGTTCCACTCTTTGCGCTCCATTAGGGTAGACTACTTTTCGATACATACAGGAGCACTTGCTTTTTTCAACACAAACATTGCCGTCCAGCCACTTTCCTTCAGGGCAATGACATCCGTCAGTGCAGGGCGAATTACAACCGGCATTTTTGCTGTTGAGATTTCGGCAATTCAGTGGGCACGACGATCCACATTCATTGTACACGAATCCAGCTGGGCACGTGATTGCTATGGAAAAACCGAGATTCTTTCTTCAGGAATAAGCTTTTACAACTTTCAAGGGTCTTGCAAACTTGAATTTAATAAATTATTTGCATTCACTTTGGCAGGAGAAGGATTTTTCGAGAGCTGTCTCGATAACAAACGGGTTTTCAAGGAGACTTCGCAGGAACTAAGACACGACATCTTAAAAAAAATTAGCCTTTTTTAGCGGGCGCCGATATTTTGATCAGTTTTACCTTTTTTATCCCTCGCATCTTTGTTCGTAAGTGGTTCCTCCTTGCCCACTTTACGTTTTCTATCTTGCCGAACGAATAGTCTCCATGTTACAAGGCGCCAAATACTACTATAAAAATATAGCGTGAGCGCTCAGTAAATTTTTTCGATTCTATCGCACCCAAGCGATAATTGTTTTAACCCTTTACCTCCCGTGGGTGACCAAGAAAGACAATTATGGGATTACTAATTGATCCCAAACCAAATTCTCCAAACTAACATGATGATAATCGTTTGGCAGACAGTAAGGAGAGTTACAAATGAGATCTTGGGAGTTAAAGGGTTAAACAATAAAATACGATCGTGATCGTCACACAAATTACGAAAATCTCTCGTCAGCTTTTCTCCTTACACAGTCACTATTCTGCGAGAAGAAACTGTGTACTACAAATTATTTGAACCCACTAGTGTAGTCAGACGTCACAAAAAGCAAAACCAGTTTTCAGGACGATACGATCATAAGATTTTACTACCCTAATCTAACCATACTACCATTCCCATAGCGTTTTTCTGTTGTTTAAATTAAGTTCCAGTCACCTTTCACTGTAGTTTTTAGTTGCATTCCCGAAGTAGATTTCAATATTTTTAGGGGGGTCGTTTTGCTCTGACCAATAAGATCGTTTACTTACGACAACTATTCGGCGTCCTCCATCCTTTGACCGACGTACGGTGGAACCATGCGCAAACACGGGCGTAGAGGGCGAACGAGTCGCATTTCGCTTCGTCCCAGAATTGCTTGCTAGTTTCGTACAAGTCCGACATGCACACTCCCATAAAAGGCCGGTAATCGGTAGAATTATGGCACGGCCCGAAAGGGCCGAACATGTCCCCCAACAAACTACACTTTTCCTCGATTTCGCGTATGTCACTGGCTGTTCTATTGGGGGGCTTGCTATTCTGACTGTTACCGCAACTGACGTCCTGTTTGAAGCTGTCCGCGAAGTCTTTGATATCCTCTTTCCCCCTTACATTGCCTTCGATGTCAGTAAAGTCGTTCGTACTGTTCGCGTCAAAAAGACCGCACAGACCCACCAACTTATGCTCCTTAGAGTGCTTATAGCTATCCGGAACTTTGATAATGACATCTTGTACACCGTCCCACAGAATGTTGATGTGATCTTGCGATTTCACCAAAACATAACGACCGCTCTGTAAAAGGAAAAAAAAGGAGGCTGTTTCAGCAACAGAGCGAAAATTAAGTACAAGGGCAACTTACTGCAGTAAGAATGACTTTTTGAAAAAAAATCTAAATATGCTCTTGAAGCTGAAAAGACTGTAATAAAAAAAAAAGTTGGTTAACGCATTCACTTTTATATCAAAGCGGCCATCACTCTAGGTGAACCCTGTGACAGAAATCACCGAAATTGGAAACTCTAGTTTGTGACAATCTTCAGTAAATCACGCAATCACGATCAAAACCAGAATCGACACATACATAGCGAGGAAAACGAAAAAACATTAGCATCATTCGTACTACAACAAACATTAACAACCACAATCCTTTTTCGACTGTACCCACCTTTTTGACATAAGGCCACGAATCCGTATATGGAAGATGAACCGGTTTATCATTGACTTTCACGATAAACGTAGTGTTGGTCTTAGCTCCAAGGTATACTTTCGCACCATCTAAAATCAACTCCAGAGATTTCTGACAAGGATAAATCATTTCGCAACCCGAATTCCCGTTCAGGACCACCTTAAACTCCTCGGGATTTTCTTTGTCCAAGACAAGCATTTGTGAACAATTTTCCTGAAAGAATCTGTAGGGCGTGTTATCAAACGTGTTGAAATGATCTCTCCCAGTGACAAAGCAAGTTCCAGTTGCTGAAAAAATATGGACATAGAAATCATGAGAGCTATTAAAGACATACCTGTTATTCAACAAACGGAATGTCATGGTGTTACAAGTATTAACCAAGTTTCTTTATTTTTATGGACTAAGGTGTAGTCGACGTTCCAAAAAAACCCCACAATGAAACATACCAATAATCATTACTTGGAAATCGTATTCATTCAATATGATGAGAGAAACTGTTGGGTTAGCTACGAACGTCGATAAGAAACCTCCGAGAGAACGGAATGCATAAAAAAGCGCTTTGAAGAATTAAAAAATAGCTCACGGCCAACAGTCCCTGAGCAATAGGAGTTGGTGATAAGTCTTGCGAGAACAAAGCGAAAATTGTAGCTAGGGGTTTAAAAGAATTTTCCCGAAGGCGGCCACAATTGGGGTAATAGGTGGCCGTGCCGGGAAAGTGGCCACGAGGCGGACTCCAAACACGAGAGCCTGCTGCTAAACAGACTGTGCTGAGAGGTTTTATAGGTGGCACCCATAACTTACTATTCATTGAAATCGTACCCTACGGGTAGGTAAAAGGCAGGTAGGTACCTGGCAGTTCACTTCTACTTTAAAACCCGTGTTATGACCCTGAAAGCATTGGGGCAATTTGCGTAGCTGGAAATAATCATCTGGGTGGTGACAGCAAATCAGAACTTTGCACTCAACAAATGAAGACAAAAGTACAAGGGCCGAAAGCCCATAAGGTAATCACAGGTGCACCAGAGTGTGATAGAATTTAAACTTGTAAATAATGGTGCCTTCTATTAGTTATCAAAGACTGTAAACAAATTTGAATAAGTGGCATTGGTGCAGAAGGTTTACCATTTGGTGGAATGACTCACATCATGTCAAGCCACTGAAACGTAGTTTGAATTACTGAAGCGTGTGACAAAATTAATCCCAGCAATAGCCTAAGCATCTTTGCCATTTAGCAGTTGAAACTTACAGAAATTACGTTTAGGATAATTACTCAAAAAAGGTAAACTTACTGTTTATGAATGGCAATTTTGAAGCAGTGCCTGAAGAGATAAATTATAAAATATTGTAAGAAAAATATGAGCAATGGCACAAGAACTGATGGTTAAAAGCAAATATAAAGTAAAACAGTGGAGCAAAAACAAGAAAATGCAACAACCGCATGCGCAAACAAACTTTAACAGCAACATCTAGCGCAAACATATAGACAGAGGAAATGGAGGGAATATACAAACGATTTCAATCACATAAGGGGTAAATACAATGATGTGAGACAGAAGAATACACGTTTATTTGCAGTGTCTCTACTGCTGGCGGAGTCATTCGAACACGATCAACCACTCACATTACATAAAACAGACAAGGATTCCAAATAAATTTATTCCTTTGACTAAAGACTTTAAAAGTTTCAATAATTTTCTTCGTATTTTTGAAACGAAAATTAATGATGAAAAGAGGTGAGAATCATATGTAGAACTACTCACGGATGCATTTGTCCTCACAGCTCTTCATGCTACCAAAGTTATTCGCATTTCCTAGACAGCCAAGTGTCGAGAAATTCTTGCACGTATTAGACTCAGCGTCGTAGTAAACCGACTGGTTTCCACGCGGAATTCTGCTTTTTGAATATCCCGAACTCTCAGGATCCCAAATCTTTCTACATACCTCATCTGTTTCGTCGGGAACTGCCAAAAAAAGGAAAGGAATGAATATTTATAACCTTGGTAACTACCCTTTATAAGAGCCTTTTTTTCCGATTTAGGATTTTCGGGTACGTGCGCACAGTACATTATGGTTGACTAAGATCCTTTAAGTGTGTTCCGAGAATTAAGTTAGATAGCATCACTGACTTTTTCACTCCTTATGTCGATGGGAAGCAATCATACAACTTACGGCAGTATTTCTCGCATTCAATTTGATTGAATAATGTCTTTAATGAAGGGCACTGATTATTGACTTCCTCAAGGTATTTCAAACACGCTTTTTGGGTTGCAGCATCGGTCTTCCAGCCCAGAGCATCTGCGTCACTCAAGGCAAAAGTTTCGGCGAGAAAGTAGGAGCTTGCACCTTCGTCTACGTCCATCTCACAGGGATTCACTATAAGAAATTAACAAAAGACAACTTAAAGATTTAAAGATTCAAAACTGTAGTAAAAAATAGTGCAATGTTATATAAAGCTGAATTGAGGATCGAACTTTAACCAGGTAGGTACAAACATGCCTATCGAAATAAACGAGTTTCTTGCACTTCAACCAGTTTCCCAGATTTCAATTTGATTTCCCATTGGCTAATGATGGTGTAAGCCTTTCTTCGGATTGGCCGTTGTGATTACAATGGATTGTTTTCTCGACACTCAATTGAAAACCGTTGTATTTGGGTACGTCCGTAGGTACCTGGAGACAGATAGGTAGGTTTAGGAAGTTGGTGGATAAGTAGGTAAAGAGGTAAGACGGTGGGTAGGCAAGTAAGTGGATAGGAAGGAATTTACTCCCTTCAGAATAAATTTCAGGAGGTTCTGTCCCACGGGCTTCTTTTGGAATCGTATTCCCATATCTATACGGGAGAATCCCACTAGAGAACTGTTTAAAGGATCACTTTACATGGATAACTTTTCTTAGTATCATTTACTGTCAAACTTAAAGCTTGCACGATTTATTTATCTGTTGTTTAAGGTGTGATTCCTCTTCTCTTTCCTCATATTTGTATTGTTTTGTTTAAATATGGAAAAATTTAATTTAACTGAAAAGGCGTCTTATGAGCTAAGTCTATGATGCCCTTCTCCATTCTCTCTTCCTTTAATCATTAAAAAGGCTTGTAAAGGAGGGTGGGTGGGTGAGTGATGGGGTGGAATGGTAACGAGGTAGATGTGTGGGTAATTTACCTTGGTCACACGCGGCACCGAAGTATCCCTGCTTGCATGAACACTTCATTTTACCCTCAGCGACGTTATAGGCGCAAATTCCGCCAACACCACAATCAGGATTACAATATGCTAGTTGAAAAACAATAGTGTATTGTTACCGAAAGAAAACAAAAAAAATTGTGCCTTGTTTGACCCAAAAGTTTTAGAATTAGAACGGAGTCCGACGGAACGGAAAACAACTGAGGCACCCTGCTGAGAAGAATTTGGTTAAGATTTTTTGTAAGGCGAAATACCGGGTTCAAGTCTCATAACTTCATGGATATTGTGGGCTTTGCATTCTCTATTTACATACTCTCCTGAAGGTTTCACCCCGCTTGACTTTTTAAATAAATAAGCCACATCTAGCGTAACAAAAAGTAATCTATGATTTCACATCTCTAATGAAAGTTTCACTTACACGCCTCGCAGTTAGTTTTGTCGTTATATCCATTTGGGCAAATACATTTGTTTGGTTGGCTTCCGCAGGTTCCCCCGTTCTTACAGTACGGAATACAAGTAGCTGCCAGGTGACAACGTACAAAGAAATTAGTCAACTAAAATTCTAAAAGAAAGGCATAAGGCATAAATGGTTGTCTCTTATAATATAATAGTAGAAGTTGAAAGTTGACAAATATAATTACAACATGAAGCATTGGAATTTCTGTGCTCCAAAACAGTTAAAGCACCTTGTGGAACATCTAATATATTGCCTAAAGGGGGAAAGTTGCTTAATAAACTGAAATGCTACGTCGGTGGGAGAGTATAACAGAGTAATTTGGTATTGTTAACTGAGTTGATAACGTAAATTGGCCACCGTAAAGAGTTTAAAAGCCAATATACATACTACCTGTCTGTTTCACCCCTTATTGTTTTTTTGTTTGTTTGTTTGTTTATTTATTTCCTTCTTACACGACCTACCCAGCCACAAGTCCCGTAGGGCTCAGTGGTGTAGCATCCGAGGTACTAATCGGAAGGTCGTAAGTTCAACTCCAATTGGGAGCACTCAGTGTTCTTTTTCAGCGACTATGCCTGTGTCATTTACTGAATAACATCATCTTTCACTTACATACATCTCTTCGCTCGTTTGTTTGTTATGGGATCAAAAACAAAACCTTTAAAATTCCTCTAATAAAGATCAGCAAAGAATAAATAAAAAATTTTTGTCTTACCTTTGGTACAAAGTTCTCCTGCCCAGCCATTAATACAAACACATGTATCGTTCACACATGCTGCCCCATTTGCACAGACCTTCGTACACGCAACTGTGAAAGGAAGTTTTACACTGAATCTTTATAAACTGGTTTAACTAAACTTTACGATGTCAAAAGAAATAAAATGCATTTTAATTGAAGAAAAACCTTAAAATATTACGACTGAAAACTAAAAATAACACGACTAAAAATATCCACTACAAGATGCTCAAGGGAGATTAGGAGATAAAGTTATTTCCATGATAACTACATATATATGAACGCGGTTGAAGTAAACACCAAAATTTAACCTGAGAGCATGTTTCACAGAGTCTGGCTACGAAAGGAAGCTGTTCTTAGTTTTTCCTTCGATAAAAGGCGAGTGCTTCTGACGCTCTTTACAGCTTAAGATCGAAATACTTTCCTTATTTCTGCCAAACATTTTTTCCAGATTTATTTCTGAAATTCTGATGTTCAGTAATATCTTTCTAGATGTTTATCAGCTGTCAGTTTGAAAACGTAATCAGTTGATGTTGACGAAAAATTTCCTCCTGGTCACTCCTAAGGGGGGGGGGGGGGGGGCAGCGTGGCCGAATTGTTGATGCACTGGACTTGTAATCTGGTGACTCATTGGATTCCTGCACTGTATAAAAAGCCAACTGGTCTACGCCTGCCAGTTGGGATTTGCAAGAACTTTATGTTTATTTCAGTCATTGTAAAGTGCTACAGGGTAGTGATAGAAATAGTGCTTGGCAAATAAAGTGTTATTATTATCATTATTATTATTATTATTATTATTATTATTATTATTATTATTATTATTATTACTATTATTGAAATACCGGTGTCCTACAGCTCTTGAAAGATATATTACTTACTATTTTGACAACGGTCTCCTTCCCAGCCTGAAGGGCATTTGCACTTTCCATTTTCACAGCTACCACCGTTTAAACACTCGGGCGAGCAGACCTCTGAAACAATGAAAAAAATATCATCTCTCTTTCATTTTTTACTTTCATTATTGCTTATCGTAATAGTGAGCATTTAAACGTTACTACATAATCGTTCATACGTTCTCTTCTCCGGTGGCAACTTCACGAAATATGAATGGAACTTTTGATGTAATAGGACATTTAAGATTTCCACACTTAATTTTAATGAGCTACTTTTACAAAGCTCCCTACTCAAACCCACCTTCTCTGCAACTTCTTCCGCGCCACCCATCAGGACAGACGCACGTTTTGTTAACACAAGTTCCGCCGTTGGCGCACATTGGAATGCAAAGATTGCTGTCGTCATTCTGGTAGCTTGACCTTCTTCCCGGACCGTATACGTCATCTGCAAGGCAAAGTTGATACTATTAGCTTCACTGCGAATTTTACAGTTGAATTTACGCTGGTAAAATGACGATGGATCTTGTAGAATCTTAGACTGAGGGGAAAATTTTATGGCGTGGTTAAAATTAGAGTTTATTTCCAAAAGAGCTTGAGATTCATGAAATGGTTTTATAATTACCTTTTAGGAGACTGTTTTTTTTTTCTTTTTTTTGGGCTTGGTTTACAAAAAAGTGAACTTCTACTAAATTGTTTACTTTTATTTTTATTCATCTAAAAACCTACTAAAGCATTTTGATGAAGAATGAACGTTAAACCGTGATCGATTTCGGGAAGATTATCCTCTCCCAAAAATTAGTTCTATAATCACATGGTTTAAATCTCTGACGTCAAAAAGCCAATGGCAACCAAGAAGACTTGGGTTGCTACGCTCGCGTTACCACAAAAGAAAAAATTTAATTTTTCAATTTTATGATTTCATTTACCTTTCCAAAATAACCAATTGAAAATCAACCGTGATTTCAGGATAGTAAATATTTCAAGCTAAATAGTTTAATTTGGATAAAACTTGACTCTAGAATTGGGTTACAAATGAAAGTAATCGTGGGATTTGCTTCTGGGAAGTGGAAATTCGTTTTCGTGAAAGATGACCCCATTCAAAAATTTCTATTAAAATGGGTGTCTTAACGTCCCTCTTCACACATTTTCGACACCATTTGAGTGTTAAGAATCCATCAAAAATCACACGCATAAACATGCATAAACTTGGTTTTTTAATTTTTTTTTTTGTTTTAGGAAAATCGAAGAAGTCAATCTTTTGTTGAATTTTTCCTGTCATTCAGTTACATTTTCTAATTACGAAACGTCTTTTTTCGCAATGCTGAAATATTCTAACTGCTACAAATTCGGTATCCAAATGGTTCGGCAAAGATAAATTACCCTTTAATTCGTACAATTTTCGCTGAAGAATGCGTAATATTTTGTGAAAACATTGCTGAAAGGTGTGGGAAATACGGCATTTCTAAATCAAGCAAATCCTGGCATGAGAAAACCCTCGCCAGGAGCTTTTAGAGTTGCATAACACAAATTCAACGATTTTTAAAAATGATTAAATTGGTTCACGAGGACATAAAGAAAGTGAAGGGAGTTACTTACATCGGAACGATCTTTGATTTCTCTCCAAGGCGGCAACATTGTCTACTTCGGCTTCATAAGTTTGTGGCAAATCATCTCTATAATGTAAAGATAAATTCCATTCGTGATGGTTACATGACAAAGTATATCTTTTCCTCTCAAAGATCACCCGACTAGAACTTGGGTTTTAAATACATAGTAAACCAAACCATATGGATGCCCCTACGTTTTGTGTCAAAAATAAGCAATTTGGACACATATAATAAACGGAAAATATTTCATTATTTTTTTGATAATCCTCCATAATTGTCCCGCTTGTTCCTTTTGAAAAAGCTTTTATTTTCCAGCTTATTGGTGAAGAGAACATAAAAGACGTTCATCAATTCGTTCACGTTATGTTTTAGTGAGCAACCATTCACAGAGGAGGCCACAACCATTCACAGAGGAGGCCACCCATAAGATGAGATGTTAAAGCCTCTTTTTGATCGTTCCAATTAATTCTTAAAATATTGCAGTATTAAACATATAAAATTCCCGAAAACCCGACCAGAAAATCTTCTTTGCCGCAGTATATAAGTCAGAACGCATAAACTGAAAATATAAGGCTCGAAATTCTTTTCTAAAATTAAAACTAATGGAGGTTAATGGCAAAGCTAAAGGTATTTCCGCTGCCTTTTAAAGATTTAAACTGCTGATTCCAATTTGTTTTCTTCATCTGTACTCTCTCGGGTTCGCACCTTCCTCTGATACAATTTTTTCAAGAGAACTCTGATATGTCTCACCGTCTTAACTAGCTGTAATTCTCCTGAGCTAATCTCTGGCAAATTTAGTTTCAAACTTGACAAACCGTTTTTTTTCTGAAACACAAACACGTTTACCTTAATCCATCCGCAAGTCCAACTGCGAGAAATAAAGCTAGGAATTTGAAGAAAGTCACCGGGCGAAATCGCTGTTTTTCACGCATTCTCTAATGAATATTTTCTTTTTGTTGTGCCCCCTTGAGTAAGAAATGTTCTTTTCTTTATCTTTTTTTGGTTTTTAGTTTGAATTTCCTTAGGCCTAGTTCGGGGGCTGAAATCGTACGGCCTGTAATGGTGTTGATGGTTTTTGCTAAAGTAAATTTAACTCCTATTGCTCCCTTGCTCCACCAATGAGGTTTGGGATGTGATCAATAAATGTTTTTCAAAGAATTTCCCTAGTCATGGTGATCAGCAATCTTCGACACCTTGGCTCAAAAACATTAGAAAAAGCACAAAATGAGCGGTAACCGTAGAGATCTTAGCATTGTACTCGTAAATACTGTCATAGAAGCCACTATTCTGGAAGATTTCCTCCTCCTTCACGCAGACTTCAAAACATCGATTAAATAAATATAAAGAGTAATTCATTTTGCTAATTAGACTTGGGAGAAAAATTCGAAATAAACACTCAGAAAATCTAAAATGTAAAAAAATCCGAGTCTGAAAAGCTCTTCTGATGATAAGAACCATCCCCTCAAGAAATTTTATGGGAAGAAAACTTCACAACCTACATCACGATCGCAAGAAAGAGTTTAACATCAATGCAACCGTGAAGAAGGTTATGGAAACTCTTTAATTCATCTTTAAGCCACATTTCCAAATTGTAAGCCTCTTAAACTTGATTCCTTCAATTTTTCTTCGTAAAACTCAAGGTTCAATATCGGTTTGACCACTGAAAATTCCCAAAACGCCTCGGATTTTGTTTTCTAACATGGATTCTGACTTAAAATGGCCGATGAAAAGTTTCCCTTGAAAGAATTGATAGATTTACTCCAACTCTGTAATTGTAATGGAAAGTAAAAGCTTCAGTTTAGACTAAAAAAATTTTCTACTTATCGTTCGTGGGATTTTATTCGCTTACAGCTGAGTGGAGACAAGTGGGGCACGGTAAGGAAAAAGCTCAGTCTGTTTGTTTAATCAGAACTTTCTTAAAAAAATATCACTTCTAATACCGTTTCTCATAAAAGTATTTTTGTCTTCTCTCTACAAGTAGCTATCAACCTGTACTTAGAAACAAGCTTTTCACCATGTCAGTTTGGGATAAGTCTCCAAATGTATACAACCTTAAGGAAACACAGACAATTTTGTGATTTTTAAAATATATGTTTTTTTATCGATTAATACGGACAGTCATCATATCTCAAAGAAACATGGATTGAACTAGTATTAGCCAGAAAGATAAAAGTTAGGCTCTGTGTAAATATTTTGGTCAAATCTAAGTGCCAAGATTAACCACACCGGCGGTGTTTCGGAAATCTCAAGGAGGACTCCATTCTTTATTCACCATTGTTGGTTTCGTCGTATCTTTGAGCAAAACGTTTACATAAGGGGCACGCAAACCCGGTTAGCGAGACATTAGAGTTTTTGGCCCTGAGAACTCATTAATGGGGCTGGTAGTGTTCGCATATGAACATTTCGTGTCGGTTGCCGAGATAATACTTGAAAATTGCGACTCGTTCATCACGATATACTCTAACTAAAATTTATCTTATGGACATTAACGGGGCTGCAATCCATATCCCATTGGAAGAAATCAAAATTTTCCCTCTAACCAAGTTTGTATGAACATGTCCCGAGTTCCTTTTTACAAAACACCGATTGGTTGCGAAAAGCAAGACGAAAACTCCCGGGTTACTCTCTCCCAAGTTAGAAGGGGAAGTAAGGTGTGAAGGAAAGAAGCCAGGAAGGAAGGAAGAAGAAGCGTTTAACAAGGGGAAGAAACCCCTGGATATTTCAATGCTAACTACCTCAAATTTAGTGTCACCAAGACTCAGTAAAAGCGCTACGATGTGAAATGATAATCCTTGTGAAAAAAGTTCCTCTTTTAGCCTAAAGGGGTAAAACAAATATTTCGGATAAAAATCTCGTTTCCCCACATACTTGCAAAGAACTCGCTACACATGGGAAGCACGTGCAATCTGTGCTTCATTCACGCGGTCATACTGATCGTTGTCCTTGTTGCTATATAGAACTGCTTAATATGGGTTGGTCCGATCTTCACGTCGAATACACGTGCAAAGCACTCTTTAGTCATATGACAAGAACTCAGAGTCCGAGCCGAGGCTTTCCGGTCGATGAACCGTGCGTGGGCGCAAAGCTTGATCTGTTTGACGTAATGTTTTTCCATGCTTTCTAGTCAAGAGCTGTTACATGGTAATCAGACTGATATAATGATGTCATTTCTCGCTGTGCTTCAATTAATAATATATTAATCTTACTATGGCACAGAAAGAAAAGCAGCACTCTTGATAGCTTCAAATTGAGAAACCTCAGGCGCCAAGGGGTTTTCAGGTTCGCAGGCATAGTGGAACCTGTTCATCTTTAACTATTAGCCATTTGATCTGTCGAAAAAGAGTCGACTTCTAACTTTATTTTCAATGTACCTTTGTACTGACTCAGAGGCGGCGGAGCGTTTTTAAAACGCGAGGGGGGGGTGGGAATCTTGGCTTTCACCCAGCCATGTGCGCATACCCCTACTCAAAATACTCTTTGCGTTGTTCGTTGGAACAGGCAAACATTTTTGCAATCCTCAAATTTTCGCGTGTGTCCGTGGTCGAATTGTGACTTTCATTTTTTTGGCATAATCTAAAATCGTTCAGCTCAGCATTCCATTAGGTTCCCACAGACAACATTGACTCTTATATAACTACCTAGACACGTGGTCTAGTTTCATGAAGAATTGCTGCAATTGATAAGCGAACACAGGCCGGAGCCGTTCAAGAGATAGTTTTACATCATATTTTGCCAAGCGCGATGCTAATATAACAATTTGTGAAAAGATCACGAGATTCAAGATTTTGCCAATTTTCATGCTGTATTAGCGATGTTTTCGGCTAACCCCTGCTCCGCCCCCTAGCTGGAATGCTTATCCATTGCACAGAACCAGCGCCTCCGCATTTTGTTAGGTTGTCTCGAGAATTCATCTGTACCCAATCGTACCTTATGGCAGTGATAGTAAAGTGACTCGCCTGGAAATCACCAACCAAGACGAACGAGATTATTCAACGAGAAAGCTATTATGCTTAGCTTTGTCTACTTACTTTCAATTTTAAACAAGATCACCATAACGAATCATGAAAATTCTACTCACCTCAGTTTTTTCTCTCTCTTCCCTTTCCATTTAAGCGTAAATCATTACATTCCTAAAGTTTGTGACGTCTTCCAGGAAATCACCGCGCCCTATGATTACAAAAAACTTGGAAGGAGTCAAATTATGAACCAGATGGACTTGAAAATATTCTGAAGAGATTTTTCTTTCATTTCGTTTCAAAACTTGACAACTTTTAAAAGAACGCAATCAAATAGGAAATTCCGTAAAGAAGGATGTGAAATTCATCTGTCACGAGCGAAGGCAAAGTAAAGTAAGAAACAACTGTTTTCCATTACAAATACAGTGCGTCTTCAGCCGTTGGCCTCTGATGTTAAGAGAAGTAAAACAAAATGGAAAATTCAATTCGTTTTCCATGTATCAAGTACGTCTGTGCCAATAAGGAACTCAATAACTTTCGTCCATTCGCTCCAGCGATGGGCTAACGCTCGAAACGTCAGCTTTAAAACTCTTTAGAGTGGCCAATTTACGTTATCAACTCAGTTGATAATACTTAATTACCCTATCGGAGCCAAGGTCGACATCACAGTTAGCAAAGAAAAACTAAAAAAAAAAAAAAAAGGCAAACTGCATAAAAGACGGGAAACGCGAGTGTCCAAGTCACGATTGGTTTAATTTTTTAATCTGATTGGTTGAGAAGGTGATGCGAGTTTTTTGGGCCAATCAGGGAGCAAAGCTAAGCAAACCCAAAGCAATAAATTATTACTTTCCACAATCAGTTGAAAATAACTCTAAAACTTAAATTTTATCCATGCCAACACCCTTTTTGTGGACGACATACAAATAATGCTGAAAGCTTGAACGTGTGTCCAGTTCTCGCCAGGACAAACGTAACGTCAAAGAGTTAAGCGCAGTAGAGTGCGATTGAGCTAAGTCATTTTTGAATTTTTCCAATGCGTCCAAACGCAGTTCCGGTGGTTCATCCGAGAACTGAATCAGCTTTCCACAGGGTTTCAAGACACGCAAACACTCACGTAACACTTCTGCAAATGCACCCTCTCCTTTAGGTCCTTTTAGAACTGCATCGGAAGTACCCTTATCTAGAGCCAAAGAAAATGTTTCATCCGCGAAAGGCATATTCTTTGCATCAGCTTGATGGCATGCCAGGCCAGTCAAATCAAGACTAGATTCCAGTTTTCCCTCTGTCTCGACAATCTCCTTTGCAACTAAGCCACGTTCTTCAACAATTTTTCTTAAAGTTTTTATCGCTTCATGTGAAAAGTCGATGCAATCAATGCGACAGTCACGATTTAAGTGTTCAAAGAGCTTCAAGCTGAAATCTGAGGTTCCACAACCAATCTCCAAGATTCTTGTGACAAAACTGTGACTGACAGGGGGTAGGTAAGGCTTAAGAACTTCAACGGAATCTTCAAAACGCACAAACCAATCAAAGTGTTTGTTACCTTGACGGCTGGCATAAAAGTTGTTCCAGTATGATTGATCAGACATGTCTCCAAAACATCGTAATGCAAACAAACCTGCTGAAAACAAACCACCAATGCAATTAAACTTTCACACAAGTGCTTTCCTCCATTTTAACTAAAATAATTGTACACCTTCTACACATACATGTAAGTAAGATAAAGTCAGTATTTGAGCCTATTGGCCCACACAGCCAGAGTTTGTACTTGTTTCATGTAGCGTAAAGTATCAAGGAGTATTACCACTCCCTACTGAATGGGATGTTAGTTCATCACAAGGTTACCCCCCCTCCCCCTCCCCCTCCCCCTCCCCCTGGCATTTCATCAGGCTTCCCTGACAATTTGCCAGTTCCCATTTCAACTCCTGAGTAGAGAGAGGCACCAAGAGAGTAAACTGTCTAGTTCAAGAACACAACACAATGATCTGCCAGGTCTTGAACCCACACCTCTTGAAGCAGAGTCCGGTCCACTGACAATCAGGAGAATTTGTCTCTGACACTACATGTAAAGTAAAGTAGGAGACGAGTGACCAAGACAGAATTTCTCCTTACAATATCAATACAATATATGCAGACAAGTAATAAGAATAAAGAATAAATATCAATCAGGGGATCATAGGCTGATCCAGTACCAAATTCTCCAAACTAACATCACAAGAACTGTGAGAAAGACCGTGAGAAAAATTACTAATAAGATCCTGGGAGTTAAAGGGTTAAAGGAAAAAAGACTTTGATGAAAACTTGCCAATATGATAGAAAGACTGCACAGAAACATGGGAATTAAAACTGACCCAACTAAAAAGTTTTTAATAAAAAAAAAAGAGAGACCTGGCAGTTCCAAGCTTCCTTTCCTGATAGAAAAAGTCAGCACAGAGAATGTGGGATCCAAGTTGGAACTGCTCATCAAGAAGATGTCAACTTTGTTTTATTTTGCGTAGGTGTGTGTGTGTTGGCAGTTTCAAGAAAACAGGAGGCTCTTTAAAGAAATAGGGATTCTACTGTGGCTTTCAAGTTGATCTTGAAAAGGTTTTTGTTGTTAGCATTTCACTTCTTGGATTTCCTGAAAGTCTAATCTCTTGTCAAAAAAATGTTCGAATCATTTGCATGAGTAAAGTTGGTTTATAGGGAAGGGTCATCAGCATGCTACAAGGAGAACAATCTTTTCCTGAAAAAATTCACCCAAGTTATAGTCTCCAACATAAAATCTAATGAAATCACTCAAGAAAGTTTAAAGTCACAATATTTAAGAAACTCAATTTCTACATCAGTGAAAGACTACGCTTATTGAGGCAGCTTCTTCCACAGCTTTTTTTCTGTCACAGTGAGGAAATATGATCGGATTTCACCTATTTTTCAGGCCTGAGGGAAGTTGACCAGAAGTTGAATTACAAAGACAAATACCTAGGGTCTCCTCTCCCCCTCAAGCTTAACATAGATAGGTACTTAACTATGCAATGTCACAGAGTCAAGTAACAGCCATTTCCCAGTATTGACCAATGACCATGACTAGTAAGTATCAAACGGTAATTGTTCAAAATAATTTTAAAACCCGCCCAGCGTTTTGTCCACTCCTGCAAATCATTCGTTCATCACAAACGATGTGTCACGTCATTTGGTCACGCCAAGAAATTATATTTTTCATTTTGTTCACCTCCTTTGTAAATTAAGCCTCACCTTTTTCCATGTCATTTAAATCAATTTTTGTTCTAGTTCCTGAAACAAAAAATCTCCTCCAGTGTGCGAGCAGACTCATTCCCACCTCCGCAACAATAGAGATCTGGGATGAGATCGCGGCGAAGGACGAAAAAACTTGAGCTAGAGGTATTTTACCTCCAAATGGCAATTGAGGTGAGACGCTTTGGAAAGCTCTTAAAAGAATACCGATGTTTCCTATTGATATATCTAGTTCAGATGCTGTGTTTATGAATAATTTGCCTTTCGATTGCTACCACTTAAATGTTTGCGCTGTTGGCTGATTCGACCACGTTGTTGACCACATTACGGCGTCACGCATGTCAGCAGTCCAAACCAAATGTTTGTGCGCTGCGCATCTTAACTGTTATGGCGGATGGGAGTTTCAAGAAGTAAACTTAAAATTTTGAGGAACATGGCGTGGAGATCGCACGGGGAAAGTAACAGTGACCTGCTCGATCAGCTCAAAAGTACGGAGATATATGATTTATCTTGCTTGGTGTTGAATTTAACTTTTTTTCTTCCCTTGATTTTAGTCCATGAAGTGTTGAAAAGCAAAAGGGTCGAAGAGGCTCTGAGACGAGTTGACAGGAAACATTATTGTCGAAATCGAGCATTTGAAGATTCTCCACAACCAATAGGTTGGTATGATTATTTGCCACGTTAATCGACTGGAAAGAGATGTGTTTATGAATTCTGATTTTCAACGTATTTGTAACGACGCAAATATAGTAGTGAAACCTGTGGAAAATCATTTGTTTATGTTGTGTTTTACGTGACGAGTTGGATAGATTTTCCAACAGTTTGCTAGATTGCATTCGTTTTACACAACTAGAGAGACAGAGAGAGAGAGAGTTAGAGTAGAAAAATGAACACATACACAAAGGGGTTGGATTCTGAACCCTTCTTGATCAGAAAATGAAAAATTTAACGTTGACTGTATGACTCATTTTGCTCTTGTTTTGTAGGTTATCAAGCAACAATTAGTGCACCACACATGGTAAATAGTGTGTGAATAAAATAGTAATACCAGAGCCTGCAGTGCACTCTGCAACATAAATAGGAGAATATGGTAACCCATCCACCTGTTGAAATTTGGTTAAGGCATTGTAGCAATGTAGGTCTATATCAATCAAGTAAACCAGACTTTAACACTGGTAAAGTGTCTGAATTCAAACCTCAAACTAAATCATTTGAGCTAAGCTATCAACAGCGTGAATTTAAACACTTGAAAGACTGTTAAATTGGACTATCAACTGTAATGTTCTATTTACTGATTTTTTTTTTTCTTCCATAAATGCTCTTACAGTTTGATTTATCACTGGCATAGTAGTAGGAAGTTCAGTTTTGTCTGTAATGATACAATATTATTCCAAAATGATCAGCAATCATCATGGCTTTGTTTCAAATTTTGCTTCCTTTGGTTTCTGAGTGATCAATAATAACATATATGTAAGAACAATGATCAGAAATTTATGTAGTTCTGTGAAAAAGGTGTATAGATAGTCATGATCAATAAATGAGATAGCTACTTCTTGGGTATCTAGTGTTTTTAAATCAACTGATAGTTACCAGCCAGACAAAATCGGAGCTAGGTTTGGTTACTGATATTTCTACTTACTGCAAGTTACATGTAATGTTGTTACAGCATGTGTACGCACTACAACAACTTGAGGGTCATCTCAAAGAGGGCGCTTGTGCTTTAGATGTTGGTTCAGGGAGTGGCTATCTCACAGCTGCTATGGCTTATATGGTGAGTACCAATTAGTATTAACATGCTCATGTATAGTAAGAAATTGAGAATTTACTATTGTCCATCATTTTTATTTATTTGTGAAACATTACCTCCATTATTATCTGCATCACTATCATTATTGTATCAGTACTCTAGAACTGTGACTGTGGTAGTAAATTGGCAATAGAGACAACAAGACAACTTGGTTTAATCAACTCAGTTAATAATGTAAATTTTCCTCCATGAAGAGGTTCTAAAGCTGACGTGTCGGTGTTGGCCCTTGGTTAGATCTCATTCCTTCCCATTTTTTAAATAAGTAAATCAACTTTATTTGACAAGAGTATCACTTAACAGTTATTCAACTGAGAAACTAGTGGCCTCAATCCTTTGAAACTTCAGGTTGGAGAAAGTGGAAAGGTTTATGGAATTGATCATATTGATCAGCTTGTCAAAGATTCTTTGGCTAATATTAAAAGAGGGAATCCTGAACTCCTTGAAAAGGGCAGAGTCAAAATTGTCTGTAAGTGTTTCATTTTCTTGCATGAGTGTGGCTGTAGAAAATTGTGTCCAAATCCACAGTTGCTGATGGCTGCATGTCACTCCAATTGAAAATTGCATTTGTTCCATTTACTGCAGCTGGTGATGGGCGCAAAGGTTATGAACCTGGGCAACCCTACGATGCAATCCATGTGGGAGCAGCTGCAGCAGAATTACCGTCTGCTGTGAGTAGAAGATAAACTTAAATCTTAAATTTAACATGAACCCCTCTTTGGTAAATGTGGATATGTGATTTGTATACCACATTTACAGTAGTTTCCTTGACCCTTTAACTCCCTTTGTGACCAAGACAGAATTTTTCTTTGCAATATCAATACAATATCAAGCAGACAACTAATGCACAGCATTACACAGCATTCTTTGAAATAAAATAACTTTTAGTGAATGATATTCATTTATTTTCATATGTACATACATTTTTTACCCCAAGCTTCTAGAGCAGCTTAAACCAGGAGGTCGTCTTATTTGTCCTGTGGGAGCAGAAGGGCGGAATCAGGTTCTTGAACAGCATGATAAACTTGAGGATGGCCAAATTATGAAGAAGAATCTGATGGGTGTCATCTATGTCCCACTCTGTGATAAAAAACACCAGTGGCCAGGTTGTAAGTTGTCTTAAAATTTTATGGCTGTTTCTTAAACTGTTTTGATTTTTGTTCAAAGTGGATTGAATATGTCCTTTTGCGTGTATGTGTTCCAATGGACCTACAATCTTAAGATAAATTGAAAGAAATTACTGTTTTCAGTCACTGAGTTGAAGGGGAGTCAGCTGGCATAGATTTGCAAACTGCGTATGCATTTTGACATCCTTGATAGAAAACTAGTGACTTCTGGCTGAAAGGGCCTTAGCCTGTGTTGGTTTGTCAATCAAATATGAAAGTGTATACAAGCAACACTGGGTTACATGAGAGCTGTTTATTCCAGCACAGTTTATTATGATGTCTCAATTTGCTCTTCTCTTTTTCTATTTTTAGAGTTCTAAATAAAAGAAATAGGGTACAAGTGGATTTTGAAGAAAGCCAATAGCATATTTCAGGCTTTAATGCTAGTTTTGTCTGTAACTTGTTACTGTTCAAGCATTGTTATCAATGACATAAAATCTTAAACAGAAGCTCTCTTCAGTGAAAAGTTCTGCATACTTTAGTATGAAAGGTGAAAAGGAAGAATGAACAATTTCTTCAGGTGGTTTAAGCGGAGGATCTTTTAAATAGAAACCATACTAAAAAGTGGATTTTTATTACTAAGATATTTGTTATTTGTCTAGTTGTCAAGAAGTAGGTAGACATTATCATTAAAAGTTCAACAACAGCTTACACTGGTGTACACGCGTTTGAGGGATCATTGTTCATACCTTCATCTGTCAACTGAGGCTAACTTCCCCCTCTAATGTCCAAAGTTGAACCCCATACAGAGTGCTTATTGTGGTTGATAGTCATGCACTGAAGATCGTTAACTTTGCAGCCGAAGTCACGAAATCAAAACACAGGTCTTGCGATCGATCAAACATATCAGATGGAATATCACACCCTTAATGGTTTCAAAAAAAGAACAGCAGACCTTAGAAATAATGTATGAACAGAACAAAAAGGTCATATTCAAGACAGCCGTTCTGCTTCTTCGCATAATGATGAAATTAACAAATAGATTCCATGTTGCTATGCGTATGCGCAGTAATAAATAACAAACGATGTCAAAATGTGGTTAGACCAATTATTATTTATTATTAAAGAAGGAAAATCTTGTTGATGGTGACGTGATCTATGCGTCCGTCCTCCTAGAGATCATGAGAAAGAACCAATCAAAATTGTTCGGCGGACCTGAAGCTCTGCCTCTGTTTTTGTGTATGCCCCTACCTGCCAGCCAAACGTCCAAAAAGAAGCTCCACCACGTTGGTCGATTTGTGAACGGGCAAGAGATGGTTGTATGCCTCTAATGCGTCAGCATGGCTTTTCGTAGCCTAAACGCATAAGATGCAAATCGTTTCCTTAACTCGTCGGCGATAAACCGTGCATGAAAGGAAACTGAATTGTAGCGAATGGAACGTCAACGACACCTCATTCCTCAGTGCCTATTCTTCCAACGGAAATAACCCCAGTTAAGAAATGTGAGAGGATGACGGTGGCTGTTCTTTCAACGAATAAAACCGCAGAAAAGAAATGTGAAAGGTTAAAAAATACCTCTGTGTGAAGATGTTGGCTACAACTTCACTTACATGTCAAACATGACGTAAAAAGAGGCAGCGCTTGAAGCTTATCAATTCCTTCCGCCCATCAGCAACCAGTGCTCCCCAGTCCTGAGGCTCTTTCTCTGCTCCATTTGTGCTCCCACCTGTCAACCAAATGTCACAGACCAAATTTCTCCTTGCCACTCCCTTTTTACTCAAGGGAAAAGGGGCTGTGCCCCTGTTATGTGCCAGTATGGCTTTCGATGGCCCAAAACGATGAGATGCAGACATTTTCCCAAAGCTAACGGCAACAGACTACGCGTAGATCGGAACGCAATGGTACGTAATAGTGCATCGATAATAACTCTGCAGCAAAAAATTTCCAAACGCACCAGCCTCGTGGAAAAATTGTGAAGAATGGTATTTCATCTTGATTGCTATCACTTCCAGTTTTGGAGGTTGAGTTACAGTCAAAAGTCATCTTCCAATGTTGCTATGCGCGGTCATATCTATAATAGCGCATGTTTCTTTTTGAAATATTTTTGATTGGCATCTTTGGGAAAGTAGTTAGCATAATGAATAGCGTAATTTTATGAAGTAGAGTCATGTATTGCGAAAATAATAATTGGTAGTCGAAGTATTGTAAACGTATTGAAAGCAAAAGATTTAATTGTAAGTAATAGTAGTTATAGGCTGTCCACCTGATTGTATATGTAACATACAGTGAGTAGTTGTATTATTCTTGTGTTTTCTAAGTAAAAAATGTAATAATTAAAGAGATTTCATGTTTCCAAGGGTCTGTCTAATAATAAGTCACATATGACGTCAAAATGTGGTGAGAACAAAACAGTGGCTAACAGTCGCACACGAGGCACAGCTGAGTGCGTCGCTTCCACAGATCAAACGCATATGGAACACAAAGAGATATCTTCGTCAAACACAACATTGCCGATCAGATTAACAAAAAAATCACGTTTTACTGAACTTGCGGGTGAATGGTGAATCGACTATTGCAGATAAACTGACAGTAAACTAACTCCTTTGAAAAAGACTTACCACCCAGATTTTTCTACCAAACCAAAACTAATTAAAAGGTGAGGTCAATGTGTTTATTTTCCTTGTCTTCCCCTGCAATTCCGATATTCAAATGGTCCTTTACTCAATAATTTACGCGAGAAATTTTCGAAAGAGGAGCATCCGGGAAATTTGTTATTATCTTGTAAAATATATAGAGAAAGAGGCGGGATTTAGAGCGTATTTGTTTTGAATTGGCTTCAATCTTTCATTTAAGTGCTATCAAATTAATAGAATGAGAAATGGGATTAACTTTTGTGCTCGGTAATGAATTAGAGAAATGTTTTTGGTCACGTCACGAGCATGGGACACAGGAAAATTTACGAGCCCCTCTTGAGGAATGGAACTTCAGACCTCTTTGCTCTAGCACTAAGCCACTAGCTCACCATAACGAGTCTCGAAGGATTCACATTGAGGTACGCAATAAGGATCCGCAAATTCATTTTAAACAACTGCAGAAAGTACACGAGAGAGCGTGACCTCAGCTTTTCCTTGTAAATTTGATATAAATGTGAAATACACGAGAAAAGCGTTTGAGAAGCATGTCAAAAGTATGGTCCCATGCACACAATGTTTCCTCTATTTTTTGTTTAGTTCTTGAGCCTGCATGCGAAAAACGTGTTCTCACACTTCAGAGCCTTGCACGTTTTAGAGGCTTGACGACGATTTGTGATTGAGCCTGAACAAGCTGGAATTTTAACCTCGGGCCTTTTGATCACACGTGTAAATATGATTTCCTTTTTAAGAAAAAATAAAACCCAAACCGCCTTTGATGAAGGTCGCATCGGAAATACCAAATATTTGATAAACGCTACGGTGTCACAGTGAATTAATACGGCACCTGCATGAAACAACCATTCTATCTGTTTCACTCTCAGAAATTAATTACTAAAATGTTTTGAACAAAAAAACTGGAATACTTACCAAAAATCACGTAGAAAAGATATGCTTATAACGTACTTTAACTTGACTTTAATCTTTAATTGTAATTAAATTGAATCTAAAGGTTATCTCTCTGAGAGGCATAATTACCGTATTAACTCCAATAAACGTTGCGGCGTTTAATGGTGCTTTGGCTTTTTTTTTCGTTTCCGATGCGGTGTTTAATCAATGGCTGCGTTTATGCCAAGATCTTCTTCGTTAAGTCTTTGACATCAGTTACAGAGCGTAGCGGCCGACACAAGCGAAGCAAATTTCAACGACAACTATGAGTTTCGCTAATGAAGACGCACTATGAAGCGAGGATATATTTTACGGAAAAGACTTGAATCGTTTTATTAGCGTAAAACGAGGTATCCAAGTACTTATCGTAAAATAACAGTCCCGCTTGTAGGAGTTTGACCAAAACGAACTTCGAGATAAGGTGGGCAAAAGGGCGCTTTTCGATAAACACGTCTTATCGTTAGCCCAACGCAAGATAACTAACTAAAATGCGGTTCTGGGTGGAACTTAAAGATCACGTCCCTAATGGACAAACAGTAACGTCACTATTGCGGTTTGACACGTTTAACACGAAACAAACTAAAACGAATCAATGTCCGGTGGCAAAGGCGTGGCAGCCGTTACACAGAGGATCATCTACAAATATTTTCTAGAACAGCAGCATGTTTAAAGCTCCAGTGATTCCCATTTTGGAGATTGATTTGAAGGGAGTTGAAGTTAAATGCATTGTAATGAGCCCGTAATTTTTTTTCCTGTTGTTTTAATTTTTTTTCGTTGTTTTTGGCTATTTTGGTTTTATTGCTTGTCTTCTTTTATTGTTGTTCTTTTTATCCTGAATAAACGTCGCTTTCTTTGGACTGAGTGAAATTCTCATTTAAGGGCAGTGTATCCGATGCCCTAAGCGGTGTAGAAAGGTTTTCATTTGCTCAAGATCCAAATGTTAATCTCCTTCTAAGTTTTCAAGCACTACAACATTTATATCCGCTTATGTTGCTTAGAAAGCTATTGAATCACACGTAGCGCTATCTCCCGAAGTTTTAGGTATTGTTAATACAAGGCAAGACCATCAAGATGGATGAAGAGTCCTTGAAAATGTTGATTAAGTACATGAATGTCTCTTAAGTCCCTGCTTGAGTAGAAGAAATCCTTCACTTAAAATTCATCAGCCCACTTATTTTGCTTTTTTTTTCTGTCCTTGAAAATGTTTTTAAAACATAGCTTGACAAGGGCAAGGATGAAAACAAAGAAGGTATACTTTTCACGCGACGAGCCTCTTATGCAGGCGGTGATCATCTTCCACCTGTAATCCTTTCAGCTCACGCAATTTTCTCTGTATCCTGATGTAACTTGATAGAAAAATAATTTACATGCCGTGTCCACTTCAGTTTTCTTGAAAAGCAAAAAACTTCCAGCTCTGTATGGGCCTCTTTCGTGTCCACGAAAATGTAAACCAACTGGAGGATAAAAAGAGTTTTATTCTAGTGTAAAGCCCAGATCAGTCTAAGTTATATTTTTGGTACCCAGTTTCGATGAATGAATAAAAATGTTTAGTATCAAAGAACATAACGTTTCCCGTTAGATTAGAGTATACACAAAAGAACCGGAACAGATGGTTTCCTATTCAAGAATTGGTTAACCTATTTCCTTCGCTAATTCCTCATTTTAAATGCCATCGAGGTAGAATTTCAGATTCTTTACATGCTTAAACTTTAAAACTGTCACTATGGGTGTGTGTTAAAAACTTTAAGCTCATGCCGGTCGATTTTGCTTTCGTAATCCCACAAACTTTAAGTAAGGAATCGAGATCAACCCACACCAAGTGAATGAGAAATAAAGAAACAGAAAAGAAACAGAAATTGTTAGCAATCACAGAGATATCAGTCTCGAGCTGATTTTGCTGTCTTGCTCATGAAAACGTTTTCGAACTTGGGGAAATGGCAGAGAAAACTTTGCCGGAGATTGATCAAAAGCCATAATGATTAATGGGCGCTAGATCTTTGTTGACATGAAAAGACTAATCTACAAAAAATTAGGGCTAAACTGATTAAAGTTGCGTTGCATTTTTCTCGACAAAAATATTTTTTACAGACGTTTGGTGGGGTTCTATCTCACTTTAAGGCAAACCTAATTGAAACAAATTGTAACCAATAAAGATTTGCGCAAATCTATAAAGCTCAGTAATCAAATCCACTATTTTCGGTAAATCTCGTTTAGCTAATCGTATCATTTGTACAGTCCAGACAAGGTCATTGCCATTGACTGGTTAGCGAAACCTTAAGCTAGGATAAACATTTTATCACGATTTTGACAAGAATTACGTACATAAAGGGCTTGAGTCAGATATCGACAACACTCTCGCAATAACCATTGCAATGGCTGAAATTCAGTGCGTCGTTTTCACGACCTTGCTGCTTTTGAGTGCGCTCACCTGCGTTTCTGGTAAAATAGGAAAATGTGAGAAGATCAAAATACCATTGTGCCAAGGCATTGGCTACAACTTCACTTCCATGCCAAACATGTTCAACCACGACACGCAGGAAGAGGCAGCGCTTGAAGTTCATCAATTTTGGCCGCTAGTAGAGATCAAGTGTTCGGCGGACCTGAAGCTCTTCCTCTGTTCCATGTTTGCTCCAAACTGCCAGCCAAACGTCAAAAAAAGAGTTCCACCATGTCGTTCGATTTGTGAAAGGGCAAGAGATGGTTGTGCACGTTTAATGCGTCAGTATGGCTTTTCTTGGCCCAAACGCATGAGATGCAAAACGTTTCCTGAACACGGTGGCGATGAGCCGTGCATGGAAGGAAATGGAATTGTAGCGAACGGAACGTCAACGACAGCTCATCCTTTAGAGCCTGTTCCTCTAAAGAAAACAACCCCATTTAAGAAATGTGAGAAGATCAAAGTACCTTTGTGTCAGGGCATCGGCTACAACTTCACCTACATGCCAAACATCTTCAACCACGACACACAGGAAGAGGCGGCGCTTGAAGTTCACCAATTCTGGCCGCTAGTCGAGATCAAGTGTTCGGCAGACCTGAAGCTCTTTCTGTGCTCCATTTATGCTCCTATATGTCAGCCGAGCTATAGGAAAGAAATTCCCCCATGTCGATCGCTTTGCCAGAAAGCAAGGGAAGGTTGTGCCCCTCTTATGCGCCAGTACGGCTTTTCGTGGCCCAAGCGAATGAGATGCGAAAATTTTCCGAAACTCGGCCAAAAGATATGCATAGGACCAAACAGAAATTCAGCTAAAGGATCCGTAACGACACCTTTACCTTCAGTCACTGTAAAGAAATGTAGAAGGATAAAAATACCTTTCTGCCAAGGTATTGGCTACAACCGTACCTCACTACCAAACATCAAGGAGGAAGATGCCGTCTATTTCCAACAGCTCAGGCCACTATTTGGATGCAAGTGTTCTCCAAATCTGAAGCTCTTTCTTTGCTCTATGTACGCTCCTGAATGCCGACCGAATGTCACAGACCCACTTCCTCCTTGTCGCTCGACTTGCAAACAAGCGAAGAGAGGTTGTGCTCCTTTCATGCGCCTACATCACGTTCGCTGGCCAAAGAGAATGAGATGCAAAAATTTTCCAAAAGCTGGCGGCAAGAAGTCGTGCATAGACCCGAACGGGATTGTACATAAGGGTGCATAAACAATACCTCCGCGACAACATCTGCAGCCACTACCAAACACAGCGGAGAACCAAAAAGACTGACTTTTAAACCGCAAAATTTGGGTGCCATTTTCTAATATTGGCCGTCATTTATATCATCAGTCATATCTCGTCATATATTGCGTTCGATTTGTTATTTGAAAAAACAAGCCATACGGTAATGATGACGTGGATTAGCGAAAGCTGGCGATTTCGAATCTTAAATTTCATAAGCAGTTTAAAGCCTTATTTGAACTTTAAAATTGATCTTTCAAGTTCACTTCAACTCTTCTTCTATTTCCGAGAAAGATGTGCGCTCTTTCAGTCTAGCGGAGAAAAGTAAATAAATATTAATTTGTTATTGAGGTCAAAGTAATAGTTATATGAAATATAATTTTCAAATGTGATGGGCAGGTAGCCTTGTAAAGATCCTTTCCAAGTCAAGTTTAAATTACTCTATAAAAAACAAAAATATCAGTAATCTTTGAAATAAAAGTTATATTCATTGTTTTTCTTGGTCGACCAGTGCACAAAAATCTAAGTTGTGTAAAATAAGTAAATAAAGTCTTCTCTTGCTGTATCACACCCTTCCTCTCGCATTTTTTTAATTCTTAACAGAAGTGTTTTTTGTTGCCATAGCAGTTGATAACAGGTACTTTTGTTGATTCACAACAATCACTCTTGTCTAGGGCGGTTTAGCACTAATCTTCATGTGTTCGTAAACCCTTCGGTAGACATCATATCCTTGACCCAATGCGGTGGCCCATTTGAACATATCGTGCACAAGGTATGGCTTGAGCCAAGGTGCCAACTGAAAGTCGTTGTTTGCTACCTCGTGTTGATTAATTCAGCTCTGCTAAGTCTTCTCGCAATCAAAGAATATTCATTGTTCTCTTGAAAATAGCGTCATAATGTCAACGAAACGTCAACTTTTTGGTAAACTTTCTTCTTTTGTATCTCCAAATTTAAGTTTGTATTGTGGCGTTTACGCCGTTCCCCTGTTAAATAAGGCTATTGTGTTTGCGCTTGAGTTGACCCTTAAACTACAAAGATCTGATTAATTCTCTCTGGCTGCTACGCATTTCCTTGCAGAATAGTCACGAGAATCTGGTGTTAAATCAAGATAACAATTTCTACCTGATAAGTTTGAGTATTCTCATTACCTGTTTGTTAAATAATGTATGAGTGTTATAGTGAGAAGTTACATGTTAATCCGGCATTACTGGGAGTTAAAGTGTGAAGCTGAATGAGTGAAGCAAAATGGCCTGGTTACTAACTTGATCTACATGTTAAGAAGTATTTTTCACATCTTCTTAGCTGCTTCTAATTAAATCCGTGTAATGATACAGGACTCTTCCAAACACACCTTCCGTGAGCTGGGTACATCTTGTGCAAATGCTTGTCCAAGTAAACAAATAAACGCCTGAGTTGAATTTAATTCCTCTAATTTCTACTTTCATCACTATTAATATTATTATCGAACACTATCTCTGATTTAAATGTAATTTACTTTTCTTTCTTTTTACTTTGGCTTTGGAGACCGGGAAGAAAAATTTTTTCGTAGCAATATATCCATTTGGAATGAAACCAATAAAAATAAGACCAAACATTGACAAAAAATACAGAGCTACGTGAATCAAAATTTATTCCAAACATATATTATTGACAACGATATCTGAAGAGTCTGGACTCAGAGAGATGGAAAAATACATGACAGGAGGTTAAAAAAAAGAACAAAAGTTATGTTCATTCAGAAATAGTGTTTGATCTGCGTCACCCTGAAGGACTGGACATTATTTCAGCTAAAGTTAGCGAGCCTCTTTTCTTGCCTTTATATGATATTTAAAACACAATCTTTTAGATCCAGAGTTGGGTGACAAAGTTCAAACCGCATCATTTTTGCAGTGCCTTGCCTCTCATAAAATAACTAATGGAGTTCTCTTATTTTCTCCGTTGAAAGTTTAATCTAAAAAGAGCGGAGTGAAATTATTGAAATAACCTCTTCTTTGTGTCTTCGTTGTCGCAATTAAGAATTTACGAAAAAGAAATAGTCCCTCCTTTGCAGTTGTTTTTTATTTGTTTGTTAGGTTGATTTTTTTGTTGTTGTTGTGGTTGTTTGAGGAATGATATGGTTAATTCCATTTCTTCGATGTTAACCTGACTAAGAAAGCTAGGAACCATCTGGTTAAAGGTTGAGGACTGAATCAGAACACAAACGTTACAAATTAATTATTCTGTCTTGCGTGTGATTTACAAGCATTACCACATGCACTTGGCACCTGCATTTGCGTGTTTTAGCATGTAATTTGAGGCCTTTTTAACGCGCAAAGCTCAATTTGCTGAGATGACACTGACAAGATTTACTTGCCAAGTGCACATCTGCTAACGGATATTCTACAGTGATGTCATTCCATGTGGCGGCTTGTAGGAGCACACGACACGCATTTTTTTCATTTTTTTTCTCAGTTTGATATTTTTAAAGTTCTGTTTTAACCTTCAAACCGGGCTGGATCTCTTTCAAATCTTTTCTTCCCTCTAAGAAGAGCTCTTTTATCATCAAAGTTGTCGCGAAGACTGGGAACTAGTAAAACTCGTTTGGCTGTCATTTCGTCATTTCGTCTGGAGTTGGCTATTTTGCGATAAGTCTAACGACTCCGTGGCAAAGACATAATTATGTGGGTTCTAGAGCGTGTCACAACTTACAATAACATAAAATCACACTATAAAATCCTTTGATGTACTAGCAGCTCAGAGGCTGAAGAGACGTTTTCCATGGATGGTAACGCTTATTTAGAACTGACTTCAGTTAGTAATTTTATAAGTCCGCGAGAGGTCAACATTGGAATCCACATAACTTGCCTTAATCTGCTGTTCAGTTCACTATTTGTGTTTTGAGAATCCATTGTATTGGCCATTATATGACGGCTAACTATTAATTTCTTTCTGTTAAAGTTAGAAGAAAAATTTAACGGTTAACCTTTTTAAACAGTAACGGATAAAATTCGACAATTTTTACACCTAATTTGCTAAATTATTTTACCGTCTTAAGGCGAAATAACTGTTAGTCCCATTTATTTCAAATTTAAAACAGCTTTGGTTTGCGCGCGCCGATCTTAGCGTGCGCTTAAAATAATGCAGAAGTTCGTGACACGAATTTATCCTGAGTTCAATAAAATCTCGAATTCGTGTTAGGAACGACTATACAACGGTCAAAAAATGTTCTACGTCTAAATCAACATGTCTCTTTCGTCAAATTGGCATGGTCGACACTCGAATAAGTTTCGCTCATGATAAGATTAACGTTTCACTCGGGTCTCATTTTCTTACTGTTGCTAATAATCTGTTCTTGTACTGTTTGTTTATTATGCAGTTTTCCAGCCTATCCATAACCTTGTTTAACTTCCTTATCTCGAAGCGTCATTTTTAAAATTTCCATTTCAAAGATATGTCATTTCAATTCTCTTTCACCTGCTGGTCAAAGAAGCTTTCTCATTTATTAATTTTGGCCATTTTACAGCTAACAATTGATTTCTTTGCGTTAAAGTTAGCAGAAGAAAATTTCTCGGTTAACTATTTTCACTGCGAACGGATACAATTTAACAATTTTTTAGCCTAACGGCTTAATTTTTTTTTTCTTACTTTTGCTAATAATCTGTTCTTGCACTGTTTGTTTATTATGCAGTCTTGTGCAGGCTTTCTCATTTATTAATTTTAGCCATTTTACAACTAACGATTGATTTTTTTCCGTGTGCACCTGTTATGTGCCAGTATGGCTTTCGATGGCTAGCTAGCGGCAACAGACTACGCGTAATAATTAAATAGATTCCATGTTTCCGAGGTTCTGTCTAATAATAAGTCACAGATAACGAAAAATGACAAAATGACAAAATGTGGTGAGAACAAACAGTGGCAAACGAGGCACAGCTAAGCGCGTCGTTCCTACAGATCAAACGCATATGAAATACACAGAGATATCTTCGTCAAACACAACATTGCCGATCAGATTAACAAAAAATCACGTTTTGATAAAATAAGAGTAAAAAAAAGACTAATAGTATTCTGTGTCAAATTTGAATTTAGCTATGTCAGCATACTGATCGATATCCGAAATAGAACTTGTTTGACTTGCGGGTGAATGGTGAATCGACTATTGCAGATAAACTGACAATAAACTAACTCCTTTGAAAAAGACGTACCACCCAGATTTTTCAAACAAACTAAAACTAATTAAAAGGTGAGGTCAATGTGATTGTTTTCCTTGTCTTCCCCTGCAATTCCGATATTCAAATGGTCCTTTACTCAGTAATTTTTACGCGAGAAATTTTCGAAAGAGGAGAATTTGTTATTATCTCGCTAAATATGTAGAAAAAGGGTAGGATTTAGAGCGTATTTGTTTTCAATTGGCTTCAATCTTTCATTTAAGTGCTATCACATTAATAGAATGAGAAATGGGGTTAAATTTTGAGCTCGGTAATGAATTAGAGAAATATGTTTTTGGTCACGAGCATGGGAAACAGGAGAATTTATGAGTCCCTCTTGAGGAATGGAATCTCAGACCTCCTTGCTCTGGCACTAAGCCACTAGCTCACCATAACGAGTTTCGAAGGATTCACAGTGAGGTACGCGATAAGGATCCGCAAATTCATTCTAAACAACTGCAGAAAGTACAAGAGAGAGCGTGACCTCGCCTTTTACTTGTAAATTTGATATACATGTGAAATACACAAGAAAAGCGTTTGAGAAGCATGTCAAAAGTATGTTCCCATGCACACAGTGTTTCCTCTATTTTTTTGTTTAGTTCTTAAGCCTGTATGCGAAAAACGTGTTCTCACACTTCAGAGCCTTGCACGTTTTAGAGGCTTGACAACGATTTGTGATTGAGCCTGAACAAGGCGGAATTTTAAACCTTGGGCCTTTGATCACCCGCGTAAATATGATTTCCTTTTTAAGAAAAAATAAAAACCAAACCGCCCTTGATTAAGGTCGCATCGGAAACACCAAAAATTTGATAAACGCTTCGGTGTCACAGCGAATTAATACGGTATCTGCATGAAACAACCATTCTATCTGTTTCACTCTCAGAAATGAATTACAAAAATTTTTTGAATAAAAAACTGGAATACTTACCAAAAATCACGTAGAAAAGATATGCTTATAACGTACTTTAACTTTACTTTAATCTTTAATTGCAATTAAATTGAATTCAAAGATTATGTCTCTGAGAGGTATAATTACCGCATTAACTCCACTAAACGTTGCGGCATTTGATAGTGTTTTGATTTTTTTTTTTGCGTTTCCGATGCGGTGTTTAATCAATGGCTGCGTTTATGCCAAGATCTTCTCTGATAAGTCTCTGACATCAATTACAGAGGATCATCTACAAATATATTTCAGAACCGCAGCATGTTTAAAGCTCCAGTAGCTCCCATTTTGAAGATTCGTTTGAAGGGAGTTAAAGTTAAATGCATTGTAATGAGCCCGTAATTTTTTGTTGCTGTCGTTTTAATTTTTTTAGTCTTTGTTTTTGCCTATTTTGGTTTTATTGTTTGTCTTCTTTTATTGTTCTTTTAATCCTGAATAAACGTCGCTTTCTTTCGACTGAGTGAAATTCTCATTTGAGGGCGGTGTATCCCTAAGTGGTGTAGAAAGGTTTTCATTTGCTCAAGATCCAAATGTTAATCTCCTTCTAAATTTTCAAGTACTACAACATTTATATCCACTTATGTTGCTTAGAAAGCTATTGAATCAGACGTAGCGCTATCTCCCGAAGTTTTAGGTATTGTTAATACCTAAATAATCAAGATGGATGAAGAGTCCTTGAAAATGTTGATTAAGTACATGAATGTCTCTTAAGTCCCTGCTTGAGTAGAAGAAATCCTTCACTCAAAATTAATCAGCTTACTTATTTTGTTTTTGTTTACAAGGGCAAAGATGAAAACAGAGAAGGTACACTTTTGACGCGACGAGCCTCTTATGCAGGCGGTGATCATCTTCCACCTGTAATCCTTTCAGCTCACGCAATTTTCTCTTTATCTTAATGTAACTTGATAGTAAAATTATTTACATGCTGTGTCCACTTCAGTTTTCTTGAAAAGCAAAAAACTTCCTAGCTCTGTATGGGCCTCTTTCGTGTCCACGAAAATGTAAGCCAACTGGAGGGTAAAAAAGAGTTATACTCTAATGTAAAGCCCACATCAGTCTAAGTTATATTTTTGGCACTCAGTTTCGATGAATGAATAAAAATGTTTAGTATCAAAGAACATAACTTTTCCCGTTAGATTAGGGTATACACAAAAGAACCGGAACAGATGATTTCCTATTCAAGAATTGGTTAACCTATTTCCTTCGCGAATTCCTCATTTTAAATGCCATCGAGGTAGAATTTCAGATTCTTTAAATGCTTAAACTTTTAAAACTGTCACCAGGGGAGTGTGTTAAAAACTTGAAGCTCATGCCGATCGATTTTGCTTTAATAATCCCACAAACTTTAACTGAAGAATCGAGATCAACTCACACCGAGTAAATGAGAAATAGAGCAACAACAATCGTTATTGATTACTGGGACATCAGTCTCGAGCTGATTTTGCTGTTTTGCTCCTGAAAACGTTTTCGAACTTGGGGAAATGGCAGAGAAAACTTTGCCGGAGATTGATCAAAAGCCATAATGATTAATGGGCGCTAGATCTTTGTTAACATGAAATGATTAATCTACAAGAAATTAGGGCTAAACTGATTAAAGTTGCGTTGCACCTTTCTCGACAAAAAGATTTTTTACAGACGTTTGGTGGAGTTCTATCTCACTTTAAGGCAAAACTAATTGAAACAAATTGTAGCCAATAAAGATTTGCGCAAAGCTATAAAGCTCAGTAATCAAATTCACTATTTTCGGTAAATCTCGTTTAGCTAATCGTATCAGTTGTACAGTCCAGACAAGGTCATTGCCATTGACTGGTTAACGAAACCTTAAGCTTGGATAAACATTTTATCACGATTTTGACAAGAATTACGTACATAAAGGGCTTGAGTCAGATATCAACAACACTCTCACAATAACCATTGCAATGGCTGAAATTCAGTGCGTCGTTTTCACGACCTTGCTGCTTTTGAGTGCGCTCACCTGCGTTTCTGGTAAAATAGGAAAATGTGAGAAGATCAAAATACCATTGTGCCAAGGCATTGGCTACAACTTCACTTCCATGCCAAACATGTTCAACCACGACACGCAGGAAGAGGCAGCGCTTGAAGTTCATCAATTTTGGCCGCTAGTAGAGATCAAGTGTTCGGCGGACCTGAAGCTCTTCCTCTGTTCCATGTTTGCTCCAAACTGCCAGCCAAACGTCAAAAAAAGAGTTCCACCATGTCGTTCGATTTGTGAAAGGGCAAGAGATGGTTGTGCACGTTTAATGCGTCAGTATGGCTTTTCTTGGCCCAAACGCATGACATGCAAAACGTTTCCTGAACTCGGTGGCGATAAGCCGTGCATGGAAGGAAACGGAATTGTAGCGAACGGAACGTCAACGACAGCTCATCCTTTAGAGACTGTTCTTCCAAAGAAAACAACCCCATTTAAGAAATGTGAGAAGATCAAAATACCTTTGTGTCAGGGCATCGGCTACAACTTCACCTACATGCCAAACATGTTCAACCACGACACACAGGAAGAAGCGGCGCTTGAAGTTCACCAATTCTGGCCGCTAGTCGAGATCAAATGTTCGGCTGACCTGAAGCTCTTCCTGTGCTCCATTTATACTCCTATATGTCAGTGGAACTATGGGAAAGAAATTCCCCCATGTCGATCGCTTTGCCAAAAAGCAAGGGAAGGTTGTGCGCCTCTTATGCGCCAGTACGGCTTTTCGTGGCCCAAGCGATTGAGATGCGAAAATTTTCCGAAACTCGGCCATAAGATATGCATAGGACCAAACGGAAATTCAGCCAAAGGATCCGTAACGACATCTTTACCTTCAGTCGCTGTTCTTCCAACGAAAACTTTGACCGCTCCAAAGAAATGTAAAAAGATAAAAATACCTTTCTGCCAAGGTATTGGCTACAACCGTACCTCACTACCAAACATCAAGGAGGAAGATGCCGTCTATTTCCAACAGTTCAGGCCACTATTTGGAGGCAAGTGTTCTCCAAATCTGAAGCTCTTTCTTTGCTCCATGTACGCTCCTGAATGCCGACCGAATGTCACAGACCCACTTCCTCCTTGTCGCTCGACTTGCAAACAAGCGAAGAGAGGTTGTGCTCCTTTCATGCGCTTGCATCACGTTCGTTGGCCCAAGAGATTGAGATGCAAAAATTTTCCAAAAGCTGGAGGCAAGAAGTCGTGCATAGACCCGAACGGGATTGTACATAAGGGTGCATAAACAATACCTCCATAACAACATCTGCAGCTACTACCAAACAGAGCGGAGAACCAAAAAGACTGACTTTTAAACCGCAACATTTGGGCGCCATTTTCTAATATTGGACGTCATTTATATCATTAATCATACATCGTCATATTTTGCGTTAGATGTGTTATTTGAAAAAACAAGCCATACGGTAATGATGACGTGGATTACCGAAAGCTTGCAATTTTGAATCTTAAATTTCATAAGCAGTTTTAAGCCTTATTTGAACTTTAAAATTGATCGTTCAAGTTCACTTCTACTCTTCTTCTATTTCTGAGAAAGATGTGCGCTAGCGGAGAAAAGTAAATAAATATTAATTTGTATTGAGGTCAAAGTAAAAGTTATATGAAATATAATTTTCAAATGTGATGGGAAGGTTGTCTTGTAAAGATCCCTTCCATATAACAGTCAAGTTTTAATTACCCCATAAAAAACAAAAATATCAGTAATCTTTGAAATAAAAGTTATATTCATTGTTTTTCTTGGTCGACCAGTGCACAAAAATCCAATTTGTGTGAAATAAATAAATAAAGTGTTCTCTTGCTGTATCACAGAATAGAAGTGTGTTTCGGTTGCGTGAGGTTAATTCATGCCATAGCAGTTGATAACGGGTGATTTTGTTGATTCACAACAATCACTCTTGTCTAAGGCGGTTTAGCACTAATCTTCATGTGTTCGAAGACCATTCAGTAGACATCATATCCTTGACCCTATGCGGTGGCCCATTTGAACAAATCGTGCACAAGGTATGGCTTGAGCCAAGGTGCCAACCGAAGATCGTTGTTTGATACCTCGTGTTGATTAATTCAGCTCTGCTAAGTCTTCTCGCAATCAAAGAATATTCATTGTTCTCTTGAAAATAGCGTCATAATGTCAATGAAACGTCAACTTTTTGGTAAACTTTCTTCTTTTGTATCTCCAAATTTAAGTTTGTATTCCGGCTTTTACGCCGTTCCCCTGTTAAATAAGGCTATTGTGTTTGCGCTTGAGTTGACCCTTAAATTCCAATGATCTAATTCTCCCTGACTGCTACGCATTTCCTTGCAGAATAGTCACGAGAATCTGGTGTTAAATCAAGATAACAATCTCTACCTGATAAGTTTGAGTATTCTCATTACCTGTTTGTTAAATAATGTATGAGTGTTATAGTGAGAAGTTACATGTTAATCCGGCATTACTGGGAGTTAAAGTGTGAAGCTGAATGAGTGAAGCAAAATGGCCTGGTTACTAACTTGATCTACATGCTGTAGTCCAAGAAGTATTAAATCAAAGATTCTAATTAATCGGTGTAATGATACAGGACTCTTTCAAACACAGTTTCCGTGAACTGGGTAAATCTTGAGCAAATGCTTGTCCAAGCAAACAAATAAACGCCTGAGTTGAATTTAATTCCCCTAATTTCTATTTTCATCACTATTAATATTATTATCGAACACTATCTCTGATTTAAATGTAATTTACTTTTCTTTCTTTTTACTTTGGCTTTGGAGACCTGGAAGAAAATATCTTTGTAGTAATATATCCGTTTGGAATAAAACCAATAAAAATAAGAGCTCGTGTTTATTCCAAACATTGACAAAGGAGAGTTATCTATAAAAAATTTTCCTTCCTTTGCTGGCTCGTTTTCTTCGTTTTTACAGAGTGAACCTACAGTGAAGAATCAAAATCAACGCTAACAAAGTACATCAGAGATAAGACGACACAAACAGATTGTCATATAGTATTTTTGAGACAGACCGGGCGTAGTCAACGACATCTGAAGAGTCTGGACCCGGAAAGATGGAAAAATACAAGGGAGGAGGTTAAAAAAAAGAACAAAAGTTATGTTCATTCAGAAATAGTGCCTGATCTGCGACACCCTGAAGGACTGGACATTATTTCAGCTAAAGTTAGCGAGCCTCTTCTCTTTCCTTTATATGATATTTAAAACACAATCTCTTAGATCCAGAGTTGGGTGACAAAGTTCAAACCGCATCATTTTTGCAGTGCCTTACCTCTCATAAATTAACTAAAGTAGTTCTCTTATTTTCTCCCTTGAAAGTTTAATCTAAAAACAGCGGAGTGAAATTATTGAAATAACCTCTTCTTAGGGTCTTCATTGTCGTAATTAAGAATTTATAAAAAAGAAATATTCCCACCTCTGCAGTATTTTTTGTTAATTTGTTTGGTTGATTTTTTTGTCGTTGTTGTTGTTTGAGGAATGATATGGTTAATTCCATTTCTTCGATGTTAACCTGACTAAGAAAGCTATGAACCATCTGGTTAAAGGTTAAGGACTGAATCAGAACACAAACGTTGCGAGTTAATCATTCTGTCTTGCGTGTGATTTAGGGGCATTACCACATGCACTTGTCACATGCATTTGCGTGTTTTAGCATGCAATTTGAGACCTTTTTAACACGCAGAGCTCAATTTGCTGAGATGAGACTGACAAGATTTACTTGCCAAGTGCACATATGCTAATAGATGTTCTACAGTAATGTCATTCCATGTGGCGGCTTGTAGGGCACACGACACGCATTTTTTCCATCGTTTTTCTCAGTTTGATATTTTTAAAGTTCTGTTTTAACCTTCAAACCGGGCTAGATTTCTTTCAAAACTTTTTCCCTCTAAGAAGCGCTCTTTTATCATCGAAGTTGTCGCGAAGACTGGTGACTAGTAAAATTCGTCCGACTGTCATTTCGTCTGGAGTCGTGGTGTGATATCTCCAAATTCTACAATTTCTAGTTGGCTATTTTGCGATAAGTCTAGCGACCCCGTGGGAAAGACATAATTATGCGGGTTCTAGAGCATGTCACAACTTACAATAACATAAAATCACACCATAAAATCCCTTGATGTACTAGCAGCTCAGAGGCTGAAGGGACGTTTTCCATGAATGGTAACGTTTATCTAGAACTGACTTCAGCAAGTAATTTTTTTAAGTCAGCAAGACATTGGAATCCACATCACTTGCCTTAATCTACTGTTCAGTTCACTATTTGTGTTTTGAGAATCCCGAGGAGGCTCATTTTTACGAAGTAAGCTGCTTTATTTCATAATGTATACTGAGTTATGGCACTTAGGGGCCACCGTAAAAAAGCTAACAATACAGAATTTTTCGAAAAAAATATATAAACTATTTTTCAGCTTACCGCTGTATTAAGTAACAGTCACAAAAAGTATAATACTTTTACATTTTGCCACGAAAAAAACTAATTCAGAAACTTGATTTTCTGCCGTAATAAACAATCAGAGTTGCCGGAACCTTTTAGTAATTACACAGCAGCACAGAACGCTAAAAGAAAATAAAGAGCAATTAGAAAAGGTTTAACAAGAGGGTCTCAAAGGGATGATGGCTTTTATGGCTGACGATTCAGATTTCAACCATTATATGACGGCTAACTATTAATTTCTTTCCGTCAAAGTTAGAAGAAGAAAAATTTAACGGTTAACCTTTTTTTAGCAGTAACGGATACAATTCGTCAATTTTCGTCAATTGCTAAATTACTTTGCCGTCTTAAGGCGAAATAACTGTTAGTCCCACTTGTTTCGAATTTGAAACAGCTTTGGTTTGCGCGCGCCGACCTTAGCGTGCGCTTAAAACAATTCACAAGTTAATGACTCGAATTTATCCTGAGTTCAATAAAATCTCGTATTCGTGTTAGGAATGACTACAGGACGGGCACAAAATGTTCGACGTCTAAATCAACATGTCTCTTTCGTCAAATTGGCATGGTCGACACTCGAATAAGTTTCGCTCATGAAAAGATTAACGTTTCACTCGGGTCTCATTTTCTTACTGTTGCTAATAATCTGTTCTTGTTTTGTTTGTTTATTATGCAGTCTTCCAGCCTATCCATAACCTTGTTTAACTTCCTCTATCTCGAAGTGTCATTTTCAAAATTTCCATTTCAAAGATATGTCATTTCATTGCTCTTTCACCTGCTGGTCAAAGAAGCTTTCTCATTTATTAATTTTGGCCATTTTACAACTAACGATTGATTTTTTTTCAGTTAAAGTTAGCAGAGGAAAATTTCTCGGTTAACTATTTTCACTACTAACGATACAACTTCACGATTTTTTAGTCTAACGGCTTCGTCGTTTTTTCTGTTTTACGGCTATTGGTTAACCCCGTTGAGATCCTCTAGTGCTGAGGTTGAAAAACTTTCCTGTGGCGAAAAGGTTACGACATTAGAAAAGAAAGAAGCAGAAAGATATCACGCTCGTTAACTTGAATATAACCCTTAAGTTAATGCCAATAATTACCAAATAACCAGTGAACCAGAATAAGTTTTGTGGTGCTTTAAACATCCCCATCTAGAGCTATTATAGGAGCTGAGATTCACTGGCCTGAGTGCAGCCGTCTCCTCCATCGAGACATCGGGTAGCGGGAGCAGAGCTCGGGCTTAATTATTACCATCCCGATTTGAGCACTAATAGGTCTTGGTCTTAATAGTACAGTGTACGCGTCATCCTTGTAATAAGACAGTTTAATGCCTGTGTAAGTGGAACGCGTCATGTGCGCGCGCTGTTGTCGCGTATTTCGCCAATTTAAATGTTGTTTTTTATGAAAACGTATTACCAATGCCTAGTTACTTTCTCAAATTTTGTTGAACTTTTTACAATTGGTAACAGGACTTCGTGTCGTCCAATTCTGTCGGTAATCTTACTTGCGATTACCATTATTAATCGCCATCTTTCGAAGCAAAAACCATATCTTATTGGCCTTCCAATTAACTGCCTCGCCCCTGATACAACTCTTTACATTCCTAATGTTACATAATAAAACTACCTCGTGACATTCCTAATGTTACATAATAAAACTACCTCGTGTGTTACGTAATAAAAATACCTCGTGCAGTTCTTCCTGCTTCAGTTCTTTCATTTTCATCCCCTTACAACTTTGAATTGTTTCTTTCATTGATCCATCTGGTCATAATTTTTCTTTCACAAAGCTATTTAACACGACTTATTAAAACAATCATTTACATTTATCATCCAACGAATATCTTTTCTTACGCACGATTGGTCTAAAAACATCACTTGACCCAGCTAAAACGGGGGAATATCCGAGGATACACCACAAGTAATATTCCCCAGTTTTTTAACCTTCATTCCACAACAATCAGTCTTAGTTTAGAATTTAATTTAAGTTAAGGGAGCGTTTTAGAAGAAGGAATTTGTACCAGAGAACATTGAAAAGTGAACATCCCACGCAGTAAAAGACAATCTGTCAGTACACATCTTTTTCCCACGTGTTGAAGGATGATAAATACATGAGCCCCCCTTCGGCGCAAAAACTACATATGCTGGTATATTTGTCCGCGGACATATTCTGTTCCTTGAACTGAACTCTTCGCATCTCGGAACAGATAATGTTCGCGGACAAACATCCATGCGTACTTTTGAGCCAAATAGAAGATGTTTGTTATTCATACCTCAGTGTGGGAAATTTATGAAATGGAAAGTGGGAAATTTGGACGATTTTAATTGGAGTGGAAGTCGCTTAAAGGAAATGAAGAACAAAAAAGATCATCCACTTAAAAGGACGGTGACATACCTATCCACTTGAAATCACATGAGAAACAGATTCTGTTTACATGGAACTATGCAAAATAAAACAAACTTATGCAAAAAAACAGCTCATAACATTTCTTGGCTCACTTAGCTCACTTAACAACAGGCAGAAGAAAAATTGTAGATTCGAAGAGAAGGCGGGAAAAAGATGAACCTCACCAACAAACTGCAGAATACCAACCTCACAGATTGTTGGTTGTTTCTTTTCGTATCAAATCATTTTTCAGTTCTACCTTACACTTTTTTAGTCGTCCAAATAGTGATCCTCATAATTACCTGTCCTTTCACCATCGTACTGAACGTTATGGTCATCTTTGCTGTCAAGAAAAAGAGACGACTGCAAACCACGTCCAACATAGCCCTTGCATGCCTAGCGACAACTGATACGATCGTCGGGATCTTTGCCTACCCAATTATCATATCTTATGAAATATTGATTCTGCAAGGGGAAATCTCTGGAGAAGTATGTCAACTTCAGGAAGCAGCCAGATATTTAGCGAGCGTTGCCCTCTTCTCTTCGTTCGTTCACTTGGTTTTAATGACCGCAGAACGCTACATAGCCATCAAACATACCCTCACCCACCATGGAACCATCACCAAGACACGCGTGCTAATTGCCTCTGTCGTAGCATGGATTGTCAGCGCTGTCTTACAGATCCTTGGGATAATCGACCGTAAAATTTCCATTACTGTTAACAATGTGTTCATAGTTGCATTTCTGGCGTACATCATTTTCTGCAACGTAATGGTTTACCGTGAGACTCGTCGACATGAAAGACAAATTGCAGACCAACAAGTTTCAGTGGAGGCCAGGCAAAATTTTTTAAAGGACAAAAAAGCCTTTAAAGTTACAAGGACTGTTGTTGTAATAGTAATTTTCGGTTATTTGCCTTTCATGACTTTTACAGTTTTCAGTAACACTATAGAAGTAGCAATCTCGACAAAAGTACGATATATAATTTTTAACTCAGCAATATTTTTAGCTCTCGTCAACTCTTTACTTAATCCACTCGTTTATTCAGTCAGGTTACGACAATTTCGTGTTGCTCTCATTGAAATACTTCTGAACAAAAGCCAGGCTGAAGCCGAAAAGTTTGACGATAGAAGATTTGGGTCAGTTATCGAACAAATAGGAAAGAGAAATAAAGATGTCAACCGCGTGGTGAATGCCGCTGACATCGAACTAGGAACAAACCAGGCAGGGAGACAAGTGAGGACCAATTGAATGATCCAATGAGAGCAAAATAAGCGATTCTGAGAATAATAAACATAATTAACCTTCTAACTATATACTACAAAGGCGAATAGTCCCTTTCATGCGCGCTGATTGGCTGGTTCGGAAGTGATTAGCAAGCACTATTCACCTCAGAGCGGAGAAAGAAACAAAATCGCGTGTCAACAAATTAATTTCCGATTATTTTTTGGTATATCGACAGAATATATATAAACTAAGTTCTTTTTGTTTTTGCATGGTGTTTACTAAAACAGTTGTTGACCTCCGCTTCGGTACATAATTTTTAACTATTTAGGGGCTCGATTTGCCTAGAGTCTCGGACATGGTTCTTTTCATACTTGTAACATGTGCAGAACAATAAAAAACCTAATTGGAATAGCGCTGTGGTAGAGAAATTTATAACACGAACCTTAAAAAAAAGAAAGGCCGAGTATAGAACTTGGTGATAAGTTCCTTGCATTTTCTTTGCATCATTTTTGGCAGTAAAATATCAATTTCCATCGCTTTGTGACAAGACTTGCCCTGGAGAGTCGTCTTTTTACAAAAACTAAGCGATGAGGAAATGACTTGTGAATTATTTCCTGCCCCAACATCTGCACTTCATACATTTGAACAATGTAAAACAATATGTGCCTAATTGCCTCCTGTTTGGCTATTTCCGTCTCTGTCATTCCATTTTGCAATTTTCCTCCGATAACTTTATTGCAATTTCGTTCATAATCAACCTTAATTTGGAATTGTTTTGAAATTATTCGGCTTTGAAATCTTGCATCCTTGGAGTTATTTTCTTTGTAAATTTTCATTCACGGGACAAAATTGTTGAAATTAGGCAATTCAGGAAATAAAGCTGTTTTTTTTCTCAAGAAAATTCACGTCCTCCTAAGATTTTTCCACAAAAAAATTTTCGGCCAGAGTTCGTCGAAACTGCTCAACGAAAAAAAAAAAATAGAAAGAATTCTCATGCATGTTAAAGTTTTTCCAATAACATGACGTGTGAGGCAGTGATCAGTTCCGCATGTGTAAGTTCTCCCTCTTTACAATTGCGTCAACTCAAAAGGTTTGCGATCACAAAACAAAATTTCAACTTTCAGGAAAGTTCCTCGCTAAGTTACTTTTCGAAGACTGTCGGACTGTGGGACTGACAAATTTAATCCTTAGCGACCAGATGAAGAGCATTTTGAAAAGCTGGCTGACTTTTAGTTGGATATACATGATTGTTTACATGTGATGGTACTAGAAATAAAATGATATCATATAAATTTTTAAACTACTCAAAAACCCTGAGAAGAGACGCGCCCAGCCTTTGTTTAAAAGAAGAAGAATAATAAAAGATTGCTTACATAGGCTCAGTTATCAGAGGACTGAAATAAACGTAGAAAGTATCTGTGCCAAACTCTTAATATTCCCGTTAAGGCAAGCGTGCGTCCTGGGAGCGCAGTTGAAGGGAAGTGTAGGGGAGAGGTTTAAAATGCGAAAAAAATTCAACTAGCTTAGTTATCCTCGAGTTCAAAACAGGCTAAAGCTCTCGTCACGTTAACAAGGTCAGTTTCTATAACGGCGACGTTTGGAAAGTTTCAAAACGAATGCATTTGTAATTAATGATTAGTCGATAGTGTGAGTCTTAGTTCTAAATTTTTTCATATCAGTTTTTCACGATGAGAAGTAAATCTTATGTTCTTGTAACTTTATGAATAAACACATTTCTTGTTTCAGTACAATCATTAACACGCTTGTAGCGAATAACCTGCTGTACCGATTTGTAATGGAAATATAACTACGTGGAGACCGGTTCGGTCTGTAATCATACGAGTATTAAAAAATACGAGAAAAAAAACTAGCCATTGCCGGGGTAGACGTTTTTCATGAAAAAAACTTTTAACTCGGTGAAATGCACGGCAACAGCGCGCACATAAGACGCGTACTGTCCAATTATACAAGCTCTTCACTTACCCTTAAAAAAGCCTGAATTTATTGAGAAGTACATTGTAATAAATAGCTAAATAAATGCAAGGACGTACAGAGGACTTTTTGGCCTACATGAATTGTGATTCACAATGTTCTAGTGCACCAAAAAAACAAACAATTATATTTACAGTATATTTTACATCCGCCTCCAACAACAACATATTTTTAAATTGATTTTTTAGAAAATTCAGGGCTGAACTTTGGACAACACAAAGCAGTTAAGAATTCCCCACAGAATTGGGTGGTTGAAAAAAGTCTCTTGCCATCAATCTAAAACAAAGCAAGAAAAACACATGAATAAATGAAAATGTTAATGGAAAATTGAAAACTGATACAGGAAAATAAAGATAAATGACAAACAACAAATAGATAAAAACTCGCATAAAACCGAAAAAAAATTATAATCAAAATCGAGATAAGTTTACAATAACACGGAATCAAAACATAAATTACGTATAACAGACGACAACCTTACCTACTAAAAATATACAATAGAAACAAATGAAATTTACACGACACAGATAAAACAAAAGACACAGATCAGCATATGGTAAAAATGACGCGAATTAACACAACACATGGTACAAATAACGTCGTTGACACCAAATAACATTGACACGAACAACTAAGGCGAAACAAAAGCACTAACTTTGAATACATGACACGTGATACAAACATCAAGACAATAGAGAACACAAGCATGATAAGTGTAAGAAAATGTATATAACGTAGCTGAACTTGACACAAGGTAAACGATAACGCAAAACTGCAACTAAGATAGAGAGCACAACTGAGAAGATATACGACAACAAACACACCAAACTATCAAAACACCACTAAAGGTAGCAAAATGATGACCCGTCTGAAACAAGCCATTTAAGGTGAAAAATGCCCAGATGGCAACAAAAGGCAGAGTGTATCCACAAGTTAACATCGTAGCAAGATTGAAATCACACACATCGGCCAAGTTACACACCAAAATGAACGCAAGCACGATACTTACGATTGCATAGAGCTCAAAAGACAACAGTAACATACAATACCAAAAACATAAGATAACATGGAACACAGAAAAAAGTGAAAAAACACAGTAATAGAATATGAAAAAGGACATCAGCGGACCCTAAGGACATATTTTTAAATCATGCAAGGTACAAGGACGTCTGATGGGTAAACAAGGAAGTATTCATGATAAGTATGGCATTTAGAGCGTCAGAAATAACTGTAGTCGTCTTCCAGTTGCTATTGATGGACCAACGAGTCTGTGGTTAAGCTCCTCACTTTCAATAACACAAAGAATGCTCATTTTTTAAGGTTCCCGCAAGACTTAACTAACATCATGATATTAACATGTAGGAAAAATCGACACAAGAAGAAAAAGAAACAAATATATACACAACAGCAAAGAACAGAGACTGCTTACTTCGTGGCTTCCATTCGTAACAATTGTAAAACAACTGTTTAACATTAAACCATATTAGAATGTGATGAGATGCAGCAAACAAATCAATAAGAGATACATAATTAAGTTGACTGGCCCTAGGCGAAAGAAAAGATAGATAAAAACAGAATTTTCATCACGTGATTACTAGAATAGTTCTAATTCCTACTTGAAGAACATAAAGTAATGAAAACTGCGAGTGACCATAGACACAAGGTAATGAATGACACATAACAAACAACCAAACACAATGACAACCAAGACAAGACATACGAACAACATGCACAAAAACAACGATAACGACAACGACAACAAAAACATCCAAACGTAACAAAGAACATAAAATTGTTAAAAAGGTCATTGACACTACAGACACAATACAAGGTACAATTGGAAACCAAGGGGTAAAAGTTAACGCACAGTCAAATAAACATGAATAAAGCCGAGAGAGCGTGAAAACAAAAGGAGTTTAGTTGACTGACTGAAAATAACACATCATCACAACTAGTACAACGAAGTTAAAACGAAACAACGTGCAGCTGGTGATTACAAACACTAAGCGATGAACGACACACAGAACACAGGGATATTAACATATGTAAAATTACTGACACATAACAAGAACAACGTTGAAACGCATTAAAACGAACCCATAAGAGCATGGACTTCAGTATAAAATCAACCCATTCATTTGTCAAATATCATCATAATAAAAGCTTAAATATAATAAACAGAGGCTGACACAAATAAAAGATGACTGACCCAAGCCGTAAACATAACATGACAACAAAAACACGAACACCATTACAATAAAATGAACGCGGAAAACAAGGGACACTTAGGCCAAAGAAGGCCGTGTGAACGCAACAAGGCGAACACGAAACTCAACAACAACATGAACACTACTACAATAAAATTAACACGGAAAACAATGACAACTAAGGCCAAAGAAGGCCATGTGAACGTAACACAACAGAGATTCACACAGTTACAACATTACTGTCTACTCACATGAAGTATGACGCTAAAACAAAGCCACAAACATAAACACAGTAGAAAAGAGACAAGCGATGGTACATGAAGTGTCATGAAAAATTTACAACTTAATGGAATCAGTTCAAACGAATAGAAACAAGTGTAGAGATATGACCTTGATTCACTCGTAAGGCGAACATGATTAAAGTCTTTAACCAATGGTGCTCAAGACAATGAAAGAACATGAAAATCGACAGTAGACAATGATCGTGGCACACTACACATGCGCGCAAAGCAACAAAAAAACAAAACAACCAAAGACAACTGTTGGAGACGAAACACACAAACTACTCATAAAAATCTTGGAGACAAATAGCTGGTAGACATAAACACAGTAACAGATGGAAAACAGCAGAAACAGTCAGTAAACAATAAAGACTTAGCTTTCACAAATTGAAGCATAAAACCGACATTAATTGCAACAACAACAAAAAGTAACACGGGGAGATTATAAACATGGACAGACGTAGGACTAATAAAACATGATAAGGACAAGGCAAAGAGAGAATCACGACAAACAGAAAGGAAAATCAACGGATTCAAGGCAACAAAAACTAAGCAAATATTAAGACAAAAGAAAAGCGAACCCGGTGTGAGCAAAATGCAATAGACTGACATTGGATACTACGAAGATGTTACACAAACATTCACACGGTATGATATCGCGCACACAATACAATGAGGCGTAACACAAGCATCCAACACGGGACAAAGACAATGTAACCAATACAAAACAAAACAAGTTAACCGTGAACACAGAACACAGAAGTACGAAAACAAAGCAGTAAAGAACATAAAACAACCTTGGAACACAAAACAAAGTAACTTCATATGATCTGTGCCAGGAACAAAGTAAAACAATAAAATCACGACCTGTGGCATTTTTTGATCGATTATCGCACACGTTTAGGTCAACATGACGTGACATATAAAAAAAACTAACGATAAAATAGACACATGAAGGATACATCAACACAACTTAATAATGAATACAGACGCGCACAAAAATAGTACAAACCAATACATTCATAACAGGAGATAGCATTAACAATATAAACACAGAAGCGAAACATGAATATGGAGCACAAAAACATCACTTTAATAGTTTTAATCATGACTTCTGACACCAGTAAACACTCGCACAACATAAACACCACGGTGAAAAACACAGCAACGTATATAGGTATATAGGCTGATGGCATAAAACATCAGTAACGACATTAACACCATAAAGCGACATGTTTGACAATTATGAAACCCCACGCTTGAAGAAGAAAGGGAGAACTGAGAAATAAGAACAAAAAAAAAAGTTACGAAACACAAACGATTGCGGATCAGCATATTAGAAATAGAGGTATAAAACATATACCTCGCAACCAGCTAAAAAACAAATATGGGTAAAACATCACATAAATTGGGTTAAAGCAGCAACTTGTACAGACGTGAAACTAAAAAATGACACTGGCAAGAGACATGGAAGACACAAGAGACATGGAAGACGTAAGGCCAAGCAACAGGGCGTGATGACGGAAGAAACAAATACAAAACAACAAGTAGGTAACAGACAAGTACACAATGGATTACAATTATCCTGACAACATAGGATAGGCATAGTACACTGTTGTGGATTGGGCATGAGAAACACAAACATTGACGAAAAACGAGCGTAATGACACACTAATTAAATATGCATTGACACCAAACTGTTTAAAGGGAAACACACAATGGAGCATCAAATAGATATAAAACAATCACCCCAACTGACAGACGGTGTTCGTTTACCTACACTTAAATCACAACACAGCCGTGTACACAAACACCTACATACACACAGTGATCTTACTGAAGGATACAACACATCACTGACAATACGGAAACAAACAACGCTTTTCACTCTTCTACATAAGACAACTTAACAAATAACGCCTTCGTATTACACAAGATGGTAAAAACGCATTTAAGTCTATATAGTGGTGAGCTTTGTGTTGAACGCCGTGATCAATTGCCCGAGAAAAACTATCTGCATGACTCTGAGTGAGAATCGTGTGCAACATGTAGTATTTGTTAGCAACAGTGGTCATATGATCATATTCTGAACCCTGACCTCAAAATGTAAAAGTTTTTAAAAGTTTAAATTTAGTTGATGAATGTGGTAGTTATATCAGTTTCAATCTCACAAGTGCTTCTCGCTGCTGGCAAACTGAATTTTTTTTAAGTGATAGCGTTGCTCGAAGCCTTTTCGACACGAATTATGGCATAGGGTTGTTTCACCCTCTTCGACACCTAAGATCTTCAAAAATCAACATTTTTTGACGAAGTGTGATTAAAATAAAAATGATCACCATCATTAATTTTTTTTTTTAACCAAATAGGCAAAAACTCCTCCTCAGGCAATTTCTCGCGGGCGTCTCAGTTCGCGTCAGAATAAGTAAGAAGTGTTATACGTATCTGCGTTTCCACAGCATTTCAGCGTTTTGTCAACTGTACATTAGCCGACCAGACATAACTGTCCGTGTTTACGTCAGTCGTCCGAGATGTCAAGTTAGTCCAAGCCGTTTGTCAGAGACTGATGAGAAGTCGTCAGGGCTTTGTTCATTGGTTCTTCCCAAGAGTCTTTGTGGTGAATCTCTGCTATTTGTTTCATCCGTCGGTTACAGTATGTTACGTCATAAGGTTAAAAAAGGTCGTTACCTTCAAAGAAAAGCAAAGGAGTTTAGAGGTTGAAGAGGTAGTGGTATATCTGTTAAAGCAAAGTCTGAAGTTAGGCGATAAATCGTTACTTGAGCGTGAATTGATGAATTCATCTTGAAATCATAGATTTTGGCTGCAATATGGAGTGTAACGGATGTTTCTTTGGATATTCACGGGAAAAGTAAAGAAAAGCACGAATAATTATAAATGTCTTAATAAATAATGAAGCCTTGACTCTGCTCTGGAAAAGCCAGGGAAAAGTCCCGGAAATGGTCGGACATTGTACAATTTAGCAGATGGCGTGACAGCTTTAGCTCAGCTCTATGCTTTGTACTCTAACCAATGACGACGCGCGTTGTATTTGAACTTTACTATAATAATTTTTGGCTGAAAAGAAAAAATCCTCATCCGCATTCAGGAACTTCAATTAATATTTAGCATACTTCAGAATTTTACTTCACTTTCGTCAGGTTATTCATTTGTTATTTACTTTAAATGGGAAAGTATTGCTGAAATAAAGTCTAGTGTGATACTTAAGTCTAAGCAAAAGGAATTAGAGCCTTTTGTACGTAATGGTTTCTTTGCAAACCTCCATTTCGAGGGTCCATACAAGCACAATATGAAAGCCCCGACAAAGAGGAATTAGGGTGATCTATTTTTCCGCCTTATGCCGACCGTCGTCTTCGCAGCTCTGACCACCTTGAAAAGTCCAAAATCTTCTTCTATCGTTGTTGGGAATCTGTCTTCTCATCGTGAATGCTCATCCTCAGCCGAAAATGTGAAAAGCGAAAATGATTTCTGTCAAGAAATATGAGCAAAATTCCTTGAATATAAAATGAAAGACAACAGAGTCTTAAGTGCAACTCGTACGGACAAGATTGTTCCTCTTTTCAATTATATCTAAGTACTTTAATGGTGACCAAGCGGACTCCGCAGCAGTCAAGGAAAATATTGTAAGAATTTAGATTTATGCCATTCCTTCGTTACATTCTCTTAACCACTTTTCTGTGAAAACTGTCTAAATCGTTGTATTTATTTTGGTATAGGATGAGTTCGACACATTGAACAAAAGACTCTTCTAACTTTGGGGCTGTTGCAGGTTAGACTTAAGCTTAGCTAAAGTACGTTCAACTCTCAAGAAGTAAAAATGTATATAATACATCTGCCATATTAGAATTCTATTAGTGCCAAGGCCACTTACCAGTTAAGTCTAAAATTTTAATCGAGTCTACTCGGCTGCTTGGTTTGTCCTGCTCAATATTTAAATGGAACATAAACCACAGAATATTTTCCATCCCGGTAAATTTTGCGAAGGAATTCTTTACCATAATACCAGATTTACGGAGGTCCTAAAATACTTTACACTCCTACAGAAGAAACAAAGCATTACGATTTTCTTTATTAAAGTTTGCCACACCTTTCTGAGCTAATTTACATACAAAGTTGACGTCACATAAATAAGCCAATCACAGTGTCAATCTATCCAACATAAAACCTAAGTTTATTTCGTGTTCTCTAATAATGAGAGTGAGATGAACTTCAGGTACATGTCAATGTGCTGTTAATAAAGCTGATGGATATTGATTACCATGGTGACAAGTTCTTTGACATGTACTTGTTCAACCTGTTCATACCACCAGTTTTTTTTTTTATTGTTTTCGGCACGCTCCAAAAGTCTTTAACCATATAAGTTAACGCCGTTTCACGCTATGAACAAAAAAAATATCGTTTAAATAACTCGTCATGTTATGATCCCTTAAAATCAAGGAAAACACTGAGGCACCGCATTATGATAAGCCCGAGATGGTGAAATTAATGGACGACGAGAAAATTGTAAGTTTAATGTCACCATTTCATGTAAATAAACCCAAAGCACATTTATTTAACTCTTTCCTTCTCTACTCGGAGAAAAACCTACGGCGTGTGGTATGAGAGAGAGTATATCAATTACTGCCTTAACTCAGAATATTTACAGATGGATGTAGAACGAAACCAAATTTGTGCTTTATGTACAAAATGTATGTTAACTTCTAAGAAATTGCATAGCTAAAGCAAAATAAGAGTTCACTGGTAAAATTATCTACATAAAAAAGCATCTATTTAGGATTCAATCGTTCAAATACTTGTAAACGATAAATATTCTAGTTACAAAGAGAATTATCATAATGCCTTAACGCACTGTTTTTTTGTTTTTTTTTTGTTACTTTGTTACCCCATCTTGAATCCTCCAAGTGGAGAAAAGGTTCGTGAAGAAAATAACTTATTCCAGAAGGGAAAATAAAAAAAAATGACAGCCCGAAATGCAAGCAAGTTCCCTTTCGAAAACAAAAGCATTGACAGTTGATATCTTTCTTCATTCGAAAACCTTTATTTTAAATTTCCATCTTTCTCGTAATTCAACAGCAGTATCTTCCGACTGTGCTGATCCTAGCAGTATGCAAGAGGGGTGATATTTCACTTCCTCTCCGCGTAGAAAACAAATGAGACATCGACCATTTTCCTAAATCCCGTAAAAAAACCAAATGGTCTGGTCTGTTGCATCTCATTTGTTAATATGGTGTTTCTGAAATTCAAAAATTTGGTCCTTTTCTTCCATTTTCAATGGGAATTGAAACATTGTAACTTTTGCAATTGCAATCCGGAAATAAAATCTTAGAGTGAAATACTTAGTTTTTAAGAATGATTTCCTATGGCATAATGGGTGCGACTCATTCATACAGTGGATGTATCACTTGCATCTTACTAAATGCAGACATCAATGTCGTCATGGTAACGGGGTTTCTTGATACTGCATCTCGACGACATTTTTTTCAAAAGGGTTTTTTTTAAGACCAATTTATGAACATTGCCAAGGTTTAATTCACCCCATTATTTTTTATTTCATCATTTACCTTTTTTTAACAGAGAGAAAAATAGGTTTAACGAGAAGTTGGTTTTTAATGAAAAAATTTATCGGCATGTTTTTCTGCACGCTTAATTTACGTGCAGACAATCTCTGCATCCAGTGTCTTGATATGTTTCTGAATTTTCCTTGATTTAAATATGCAGCTGAAATCTGATGTACGTTAAACAGTTAAATTGCACGTTCGTTTGTAGATACAAATTTATCTCTTCGAGTCGATAATATTGTCGACTTAAATCCACGCACGGCCATGTAATATCCTTAACATATTTTTCACAAAAACCTTTACATACGCCTTATGATATCCATATATTCATGTCAAGAATGAAAGTATAAGGCTTATCATATAATTTACACGTTTTTCTTGAGCAGCATTTGCTGGATACAAGAAACAATCTCACATATCGTAGTTCTTATTGTGCGACAAGCAGCGTTCGTACACAAAAACATTTGTTCTCTCGCCAGCAAGTGGCATCTAATATTCTTGCCTGTACGATGGCAGTGTTTGAGTTGAAGACTCGCTTATTGGGGGGGATTTTTTTGTGCAAGTTAACGCGCTTTTGCTTTGGTGGTGTTTTGACCAATTATTTTTTGAAGAGCATTTTTGTAACCACTTGCGAACATTTTTCTGTCTGCCACGACAGATAAAAAGAAGGGTCATGCATGTGGTCCACTTGACCAGGTAATGAAATACTTCCTATTATGAAGTCTATAATTACACTTCGGTCCATTGCAATTGTTTCAAATAACTTCAAGATCTAATAATCATGATAATTAAACATGTCCAAGGCATTTCCCCTTGAACATCTCTAAATGACCATCTGTACCAGTTCATCTTTGTATTTGTTAATCCGAAAATAGGAAAATACTTTAGAGACAACTTTTGATTACCAAATTAACACACTCAAGAATCAAGTGGAAATGAAGAAAAAAATCAACAAATATCAAAACAATTCTTAGCCCATCTCACTTTCTTGTCACGCTCATTCTTCGGCTACCATCAAAACTCCATACTAAGTTTTCATCGATACACTTAAAAATCTATCAAATCGCAAATGTTATGGCGTTAAAAGGGCAGGTTTGCGTGCATGAAATTCAGTCTGTTAACAGACATTTTTTAGTGAAAAATTTACCAAAATGTCAAGGGGCATCTCAATTAAAGTCAACAATTTACAACATTAATCATGTTAACGGCGCGCAAGGCATGTTATTACAGACCCTAGTAAAGGATCACTCAACCGTGAGATGCACGTTTTATTTTTTTTAATTCCGAAATGGTGCCAGGAACCTCTTTAAAGGTTCGCGCCTTTTCTTGACAGGCCGTGCCTGCCACCGGCGTTTTTCAGGTTTGTGAGTTAGGTCATATTACGCAATTACTAATTATCAGGTGGTACTATTGACTTTCACACAAAACATTAACACCAGCCAATCAGGCTTCAGTTTCTGTCGCCATGACGATCGCCGAAGGGACCAGATTGAGTCTCAATTATGACATCAATCAAGTGGCATGGGATTACTCACTGATCAAGAACGAGGCGTGTGGTAAATCACCTCCCGCCGAAATTCACCCCGACCGCCGAAGATTGGAAGATTTTAAACAAAGTCAGCCATCCATGCCAGTTCCTTTGGGTGAGTACTTAAAATCCGCAATGTGAAGGAGACAAAGGAGAACGAGGCGCCCGTAGAGTAGTTTAGATGGAAGAAACGAGCGACACTCCCTTCTATCAGGATGAGGGGATTTCATCACACATTATTTCGCCCTACCTCTTTGACAAGTCAGCCTTGCACTTAAACTTACAGCCTTTGGCGGAGGATCCAAAGATTGGAGATCTAAAAAAACATGCAACGCCTTCGGAGCTACGGTCACCCGATCTGGGTTTGCTTAAGCTTGGTTCACCCGAACTGGAGAAAATGATCATGTCTTTGCAGGGAAATGTGACAAGCGTCTCGAATGTTAGCTCGCTCTTTAACTCAAACGTTCACGCACCGGTCAACGCAGATCACGATCACGAACCATATTCACGTGGGTTCACCGATGCGTTGCAAGACCTACACGATCGACAGATTAGCAGAGAGTCTTCTCTTATAGATTTAGCGGACAACGCTGCGGAGTCTACGGATCCATTTTTAGGGCACACTACCGTGAGAAATGCATCCTTTTTGACGACAGTACCGGCGGCTACGATAAGAACTTCAACGGAGTCTGTCGTGTATTCTTCAAACTCTTCGCGCGTGGATGCTAGTGATTTCTTTGCGAGCAACGGAGGGTCTTTTTCTGCCCCAGTAAAAGGAGGCACAATTTATCCTTATAATGCCTCAGGTGTACCGGGCTACACGACGTTGTATTCGTATCCATCAGAAAATCCTCCATATTCCGCTTATCAAGATTTTAATCTTGAGAACACCGCCAATTTGCGTGCTTTTGCGTCTTATAATAACGCGCTTGCTCAAGAAAAAACGGAATTGTCTGGGTACAAATTGGAAAATCAAGGGCAGATAGTTTCCGATCATGGATCTTTGCAACCAATTGATCTGGAAGTTCAAGAGATCGTGAAACGAGAGCGGAAAAAGCAACGGAACAGAATCGCTTCTTCTAAGTGTAGGAAGAGGAAACTGGAACGCGAGGCGAGGTTGGAAACACGGGTCAAAGAGTTAAAAGAGAGGAATATTGAATTAAACGCGGTAGCCAATGCGCTTAAACAGCAAGTCTGTGATTTGAAGCAAAGAGTCATGGATCATGTTAATGAAGGCTGCCAAATTATGCTAGCTCACCAATCCCAAATGTAACCAACAGGTATCTTCAGTCATTCCAAGGTACGTGTGTAAATTAACAATTGTTGATAAGCATGTTTGACAAGCGTAAAATCGCAACCACTTCAACTAAACAAATTGCACGGGTGACTTTGTTACGTTTGGTGTAAGGAGAGAACAGAGTTGATCTGTATCTATTCGCCTTTTAACACAAAATTTTCAAGATAATTCACATACATCTCTAGTTATATTTGTTCTCGTATCGTAAGTTTGCCTTGCCAGGTAACGTAGTTAATTTGAGAATTACCTCATCAAAGAAGAATACATAAAACTCATTGTAAATAAGCCACTTTATCAAAAGACCGGTTTAGTTTTCATCTAAGAACGGTTGAAGACCTCATTTTAATAGAGAAGTTTAGCTTAAACAGATATTTATCCCCGGGATAACTTGTATATAGTTGCGATCCGCAACGGTTTAAGATTTAACGCTTTTGCGCATGCGCAAAACAGAACATTACAGGCTTCGCTGTCACGATGGCTGGAAGGAGTGGGAATGCTTTCTCAGTCTCAAATTTTGACTCATCTCCAAAGGAGTTTGAAGAATATTAATGCACGCTCAGTTTCTGTTACAACAGAATTCTCTTCTTCCGATAAAGACATGTTATCTAATACGAGGATTTTTTCTCATTCGAAGAGCGCGTAGTCAACCAATAAACAGACTTAATACGTGTTATTTATCATAAGAATCTTTTCCCTTCTTTGAGCCAGGTTGTTGGAAAAAACTGCCGAGCCATTCTTAGTCTCCGTAGCTTTTTGCAGTTTCCTTTTTGCATTGCGATTCTTTAACTTGTGCGTAACCAAACTAACTCAAGTTTCGCGTCTCTCTCGACATTGTTTCTTTAATTTTAAGTTTCCAGAAACGCTTCTCTTTGAATTTTGGGATTTGAAGATTCAGGAAAAACTATTATGGTCTTGACATGACTAAAATTGAATTCTTGAGATACAAGCTTAATTACCGTAAGTTATGATGTAATCCTCAGCCACTCGAAGAAGAGATTTCACCTGAGAAATTTACCAAAAAATTGTCTACTACACAAAATGTTACATAATGGTTTTTCTCCTGGAAACTGCAATATTAGTAGCTCTAGGACTAACAATGCCACGGCAGTTTTTATTGTCTGCTGACATTTACTTCATTAAGATTTCACGTGGGCTCAAAAATTTGCACATAATTTATTTTTGCTACGATTGTAAATATATTTCCAAGGTTTATTTTTTTGTGTTGGTTTAATTATTAGTAAATAGCAAAGCTATTTGAGTATTTTAACTTCTTTTTTGCCGACACTTTCCTTTTTGGGAAAGACTGGTGTTGAAACATTGACTCAAGTGAGTTACTAAATGTATAAAAAAACTCTTATGAGCAATAAATCATTGTAACAAAAGTCTAACGTAAGAGAACAAACTATGATAAGGAGTTCTACATGAACGCCTCATTCCAGAAGTAATCCCTTTCAAGCTATTTTTTGACGAAGGCATCTTTCGATTTGTCTCGAATTTACCATCATGCATTGTTCCCCACCAAAATTGATCTCGTTTCTTGGTTCTCTCTTCTTTCCGTTTGGTTCGGAAACGAGAAGGGGCCTGGGAACGAGGCTACAACTAAACATTCTAGCTAACAGACACTAAGTCTAAAGATAATTTGAAAAGGGATGTATTTCTCCTTATTAAGGAAAATATACAGGGAAATTATTCTCTTAGCTGATTTTCTTTTGCCGATTCTAACTTGTTTCATAGGGCAACAAGGCATTTATTCAAAACTTAGCGAGGTCACCGCAATAAATGAACTGAACACCTACTTTCATGCAAAGCAGTTGCTATAAATTTGACATTGCAATTGGTGTATAAGCCTGGAAACAAGTGAGAATTGTAAAGGAAATTAAAGTAGACCAGTTATTGCTTAAATCTCGAATTTTGCTTTATCAATGGCGGAGTCTCTTTGGTAGTTTCTTAAAGGTGCCTACCACAAGTCACTGAGAACTTGCAGGCGAAGACGAAACTGAAGAAATTTCCGTAATTTTTAAGAACTGAGTCCAACCAGATCAGTTGTTTTTAATGACAGCCTTCACTTTGATGGAATCGTAAAAAGTCGATCACGGGAATACCGTTAATAAGAACGATTTCGATACTCAATGCAAGACTACTCTCAGTTCGTTAACTGAATACACACGTTTAGAGAAGAAGGAATAGTATCATTTACGCATATTTATTCACGAATCTTCAACTTATTAAAATTTCCTCCTTGAAATATTAAATATTCGTTAATTCCCATATTAAAGCACAATTGTAAGATTTAAGCTGCAATAAATATCACACATTTATCTTTAACTTCCGTTTCTCTGAATGAAGTCGGAGGAGGAAAAGTTCACAGACTGAATCCCTCTAAACAGGGCCTATTGAAAAAAACTCCCTCCCAAGTAAAAAGTATTTACCGAGGCGGAGGTGGCTAGTGGTGGATATTTAACGAGCCGCGAACCGAAAATAGAGCATTTATTTTGATGTATTAGCGATTACTCCATGAAAAGTGCGCCCGAACAACTTTTATTCACGTGTTACGATGCATCAAGAAACGAACGAGTAAACACAGCGAACGAGTGAGTTTTTTAATGTATCACAGCGAGCGAATAAAAATCGTTCAAACAATTTCCAAGGTAAGATGTTTTTATTTCATACATGCTGAGATTCTGCACATTTCAATTGAAAGATTTGAAGCCACCGACTGTGAAAATACATCGTTCACCTAATCGAAGACACGAACAACAATACTTCACAGTGTAGTTCGCAGTATGTATTAATTTATAATACGTTTACTCAGAGGCAACTCCTAAAAGCAACTGCTCTAAGAGAACAGAACCTATGTATCTGTTGGCGCAAAAATTGCTCGCGCTCCGAATATAATCGCAACTCTAGTTGTGACCGTAATCTGCTACCGCAACAATTTAAAATTGCGCGTGAACTACGCAATCAGACGCAATAAAAAGCTGTGCACGCGGACTGCGCAATTTAAAGCTGCGCACACGAGCTACGCGATGGAAAGCTGCGCGCGCGGGTTTTACCATTTAAAGCCTGGTTAACAAGTAAGACGTAAAAGCAAACGCAAACCGCGCTAACCACGCAACATAAAGCTGCATGCGCGATATATCCAATTAAGGACTGCATGCGTAAATTATGCAATTCAAAACTGTGGCAGGAACTACGTAATGAAATCTACGCGCGCGATTAACGCTGCACGCACAAACCACGCAACAATCGCTGCGCACGTGAGCTATGCAATTTAATATTGCACGCGTAAGCTACGCAACATAAAACTTTGCGCGTGAACTACACAATCTAAACTGCACGCGCGAACTACGCAACATAAAGCTTTGCATGTGAACTACGTAATTCAGAAGTGCACGAACAAACTACATAATTAAAAGCTCAGCACGCTATTAAGGCTACACACGCGATTTAGGCAACATTAATCTGCATGCCCTTTTTTTTTTACTTAATATATTATTAAAGCTAACTTAAACGAAAGTATCTTCCTGTATTACAAGTTCTTTAGTAGGTTTGCAGCCAAGTTCTCACGGTGTTATTCGTGATTTAATGCTGTTTACTCGGATTAGTCCACATAAGCAATAGTAAAGTGGACGTGTTTTTGAATAAGAGAACACCAAGTCATTAAACCAGAACAAAACCTGGTGGTGGGGGAATAGGAGGTGATTTTAACTTCAACAGAGAGTTATAAAACGAATTTCTACCTCAACCACAACGACAATTGAACTTATGAAAAAACGATAAAGTAAAGCTAAAACTTGGCGTATATCAGGATCGACCGGACAGCTAGGAAGGGTTATTTTCTCTAAGTTAGACAGGTCTATATTTCAGAATAGTTGAGCTAAAAAAGGACATATGATTACCAATCGGCTTACGACAAAAATCCTTCTTAAAATATTGATTTAATTCTTTTAAAAACTATATTCATATTCATTAATATTTAATATTCAAGATTCTCGTGCTCTTAAGTGAGAGATTTTCTTTCTTAAAAAGTAATATTCTGTCAAAAAATAGTTTATTTTAAATCCTACTTTAGCTTCAACATCAAGACATTTAACATTAAAGGAGAGATTACCAGTTATATCTTTAATGACTCATTTGTTTTCAATGTTAATTTCATAGAGCCACTATAGTTCTTCAACATAGCTATATTGGCCCTGGAAAGTTTTCTTTCTTTTGGTAGAAATTTTGGTTTTAATAGAAATTAAATGACCCAGTTTACAGCATTTGATTTTTGTGCAATTTTTCACAGCAGAGTATTTCACTACGGTTTTTCCATGGCTATGCCCAAGGTAAATATCCCACTTACACGAAACTTAAGTTCTATTTCACACCTTTTTAAGCCGCGAAATCGATGGTCGCTTTATCTAATATCACATGTCCAGTTCATCTCACAGCATTCACCTGGAATACGCTTAACCTTCAGTGAGGGATTGATGCACCCACGCGGCACCGGAGGAGGGCCTGGGCACTGTTTATCGTGAAGGAAGCCATTTCTACATTCCATGACCACTACACATGACGCATCAGTGAGTTTCTCTCCGTGCGATAATTTTAGGCCATCATATTTACAACTTTTATCTGTGGAAGGTAAAATTTGATTGTAACAATACTTCGTATAAAATAGGTGAGGCGTACAGTCAACGACAAGGGCTGGTTTTTGACCATTCAAATTACTTCACCTTCACCCGTACATATTTTTCGACCGCTTATTGTAGCATTAGGATAATTTTCTTCCTCTTCGGCGAGTAAAGTGATTACTTACGTAAAGAATACCAAGCACATATAAGCGTAAAGTTAAGGGACAAATTTTTTTCTCGTAGCTATCATAAATGTTTTAGTAACTCTATTATAACACATTTATTTTGGCTTTTTTCCTAATTTTATGTATTTTAAAAGCTTAAGCTAACTCCTCGACCAACATAGATGCAATGCACCCAGAGCTGAACGCAGTCACTAGCTGAATACTCGTGTCTCCCTGTGCTAGATTCGATTAACATGACGTGCTTCTTAAAGATCTCAAAGGTCCCTTGTAATATTTTCGTTTGCAGTTGTAATAAAATGAGTTGGATCTTTACGATATTCAAAAATTTCAGCTTTAGTTAACTTCGCACTGTTTTAAATTTTCCCTTAAAGACACATTTGTTGAAACAATTTCCGCTAAGATCATTTTCCAGTAACAACATAGATGGTTCTTCCCTCTCGAATGACCGTCTAAAACACTCCATATTTTTGCATCGCTCTGGAGTATATCGATTTATTTTCCCCTTAATTTTACGCTTATTTGTGCCTGGCATCCTTTAAGTGAGTAATCACTATACCTACCAAAGAGAAAGAAAATTATCCTGATGCAACGATCAGCGACAAAAAGAAATTGGGATGTTAAGTAAAATAACGTTTCCTAAGTCCTTTGAATGGAGGGAGAGACAAGCACCACGGTAACTACCAGGTAAAAAAAAATTGGCGTCCCAAGACTTTTGTAAATGGGCTAAAGGTGAATATTAGTAATATCAGTAAGGTATCGACTTAATTTCCAACTACCTGAACAAACCCAAAGTTTCTTGCAGCATTTTCCAGGCACACTAATAGTCTTCAACTTGGGTCGCGCACAGTCCTTGGGTTTTTGTGGTATTTTTGGGCAGTATTCCATGTGTAACTGACCATTATAACAGCTCAAAACTCCCGTACATAATGGATCACTCAACTTGTAACCGTGCTTGATAACACGATTATTGAAAGTACAGTGTCTTGCTGTATTCAAAGAGATAAAAACCAAACAGTAAGTAACCATACACTTAACTATTCGCTCTTTGAGCTAACGAATGAATATAAAAGTAGGTTTGCAAAAGAATAGCGGGAATTACATTCGAGCACCTTCACTTTTTGAAATGAGTGAAACTTAAAACGGCGAGTGCGACGTAACAACATAGCCGCTCCCAGTAAAAATTTCGTTTTGCCGGCATGGTAGTTTCATTCACAAACAAGGTCAAGTAAAAGAAAATTACACGAAAAATTTCAATGTTCTGAGCTTTTAGGCTTGGTTTCCTCAAATTCCAGGGTAGCTGATTACATCTGCTTCGAGAATTCTTTGAAACTTGTGTGGGTAGTGTGGAGATGCCACATAGCCGCCCTTGAAATTTATATTGCCTGTGTGACATTTTCATTAAAATAGAGCGGAAAAAAATACTTATATTCTCCTCGTCTATCCTTAGATTTTTCTAATTTTCATTATATTTGGTTATGGTTTGTCATGTGTAAAAGTTTGATTAATTGTTTGTTCTTCTCCTTAATTATGCTGAACTATTAGAAACATTGTTTTTTTTTTTCCTTCCTTGTAAACAGTAGAGGATGAGAAAGACACAATGATGAAAGCCCGATGAAGGTTTTTTAAAAGGTTAAAAGCACAGTAGAAACAAGGTTCAGTCGGGATAGTTTAACCCTTTACACCCTAACATCAGTATGCACAACCTCCATACTGTCATCTATACATTTCCGAAGGTGCTGACAAGGAGAATTTGTTTAACAATCAAGAGCTTCTTTAGCTGGTGATCATTTCCTTTATTCTCATGATCTTAAATGAATGATTCAGCAGTGTTACTGTCAGGAGAAACTAGATGCTGGTCACTCTTAGGGTTTAAAGGGTTAACTTCTACAGAAATAATAATGTCATTTCTTTTCCATCATTTATATAAAACAAGTCTATCACCTTTGCATTTCCATTTCATTGTACAGCATTCTCCTTTTCTGTGTCTTACCACCAGTCGAGGCTTGGTGCAATCATTTGGTTTAGTTGGAATTCCCGGACATTTTTTCACAGTAGCTATGCCATCTTTGCACGTGACAACTCCTCCACAAAGCTCACCACTCCACTGTTCATTGTTTTTCAGCGTAAGATTCCCGTATTCACAATGGAACACTGAAAAATAGAGATAAATAACTATGTGATTCCTCCATGTGTGGGAATATCCACTATGTTCATGAATTAATCTAACTAGAGCACACTGGAACAACGGGAGACATCTCAATGAGAACTCATCCGGAATGACGAATATTTTAGAGCGCTATTCGACCGAGTGTCGTGAAACCAAAACTTAAGTGTACAAAACAGTCAAAAGAAAGTAAAACACCTCTAAGAGCAAATATGAACTTAAAAAAAAACTAGTCAAACAACCTTAAGCGCGGGAAAACGCGGGCGACCAAGTCGTGATTGGTGTCAGTTTTGCATCTGATTGGTTGAGAGAGTGGCGCAAGTTTTCTGGGCCAATCACAAAGCGAAGTAAACCAAAACTAAAGTAACTCCTGATTACTTTCAACACTCAATCTAAAATTACTCAAATCCATTTTGCTCTGTGATTGGTTTTGAAGAAACACGTGACCCTCTCAACCAGCACTGCGCGAAAATAGAGACTAAACGCCACTTTCGCTTCCCGTGCCGATGTTATGTGTTATTTTGAGTTTTCATTGCCTCCTAATGATATTTTCCTAACTAACTTTATCCATTGTGATTCCCAAAGTTTACGATTTGATTTAAAACACCTGGGTCCGGTTGTATAAAGGCCAGATAACACTATCCAACGGATAAAACGCTATCCGGCGGATAAGTGTTAAGTAAACGTACAGTGCTATCCACCGGATAGAGATTTATCCAGTGGTTAGCGTTATCCATGCTTCAAACAACCGGGGCCTGAAGGAAATATGCTTCAGGGCCCAGTTTCTGCTTAGTTGTTTCTAAAAAATCTAAATAAGGGATATCTACCTCGGTTCTTCTCGATTTCTCCTCTCTTTTGCCCCTTACTGACAAGCCCAAGTTGAGAGAATACGAAATGTGGATGAGGGATTGGTACAGGTTCGCAGAGCTCCTTGCTGTAACAGGCCACACCAAAACAATGTCCATCAATCAAAAGCGCAACGTCACACGTGTGCTTACTGCAACACCGCTGAAGGCAAGCGTGCATGCTCGGGGTCTCACCCAGAGTATCAAAATGTCCAGCTCTAGTGCTGCCTTTTAAGGAATGGCCAGAAAAAATCTTGTCCGTATGACACATCTGTGATGAACCTGAACAATAAAATGGACATTTATAAGTGTAGGGATACGACAACAATTCCTGAGCATTCAAAACTGGGTTTACTCGTTTTACTCTCTTGTTATTTTTCTACGAAAAATTGCGAAGTGTATCGGGGTCTTAGGGTAATCGAGGCTTGGAAAATGAAATTATTTTGAACAGGAGCTTTGAGATACCACTTTGAAGGCAACATGCGAAGAAGTGTAGTGGAATCGATTCTTACAAGAATTGCTGTTTTAACAGCTTGACCCCTTAGAGTGATTAGCGTCTAATTTCCCCTTACAGTATCACCGAGTCAAACTTTAGGGTTTCGAGACTAGAAGAAATAACAACCAACTAAAGAAGCTCTTGATTGTGAAACATATTCTCCCTGTCAACACCTTGGGAAACGTATGGAGAATATGCATATTGATGTTCAGGTGTAAACGAATAACATAACGAAACCATTTTGAGACGCTTTCACTGATCCTCTCTAAATATCTTCTCGTTAGGTTAAATTTTATATTGTACCTTTATTGACAGTCTTTTTGTGCACGACTTTTGAAAGTTTTTTTGCCACCTGTGGATGCACGACATGGGATGTCATATGCTTGCCGTGCACTCTCTTTCTTGCCAAGTGTTTCACATGAGAAACTCCAACGGATGCTTTCTTCACGCTCTTTTTCCGCACTCCCTCTTGTTTACGAACAAGGTCTACTTGTTTAGCTTGAGGTTTTGATCTTCCTTCATCTTTTGTTTTCTCATTAGGAAACGTTGTATTCCTTAGAAGTTTCGAAGCACTTTCATTTACCATGTTTTTAGCTTTGTCTTCTATCGTAACTGAAGTTTCATTCGAAGAATTTCTAGGAATATTTTGATGTAAACTCGTTCCATTTTGTGGCAGCTCTGTTTGGTTTCCTTTCACTGTACTCTCTTTATGGTAAACCTTTTGGTCATCACTTTCCTGAACTAAGGCAGCCGATGAGCCCGAGTCTTGGGCTGAAGTTTCTTCGTGATTCCCTGTTTCCAGTTTTTCAAGTTGTTCCGCGTGTCTGGATTCTTCTAGCACCATTTTGATCAAGTTTCTTGGCTTAGATCGGTGCACACTCACAGCAGGTTTTTTCTCTTCTGATTCGATGAGTTTAGTCTGTCCTCGGTTCATGTCACTGCTTCCTTCGATTTCATCCCTGTTTGCTGAAGCGTCGTCATCACCACCTCCTCCAGAAACGGGTTCTCTGCTAAATAATTTTTCATACGATTTAGTGTTAAGCATAGTTTAACCAAACCACTGTTAAGCAAATTTGTTCGTTTGAGCTATCGCTTGGTGATATTCTTGAAAAAAAATTACACTTTCTGTGTAAGGACACCAATAAAGAATACCAACAGACTGACTGGCTATCTTTCTAACTGTCTGACTGTCTGACTGTCTGACCGTCTAACTGACTGACTGACTGACTGACTAACAGACAGACCTGCTGATGATTAGCTGGCTGATTACCAGGCTCTCTGACTGACCGACTAACGGACGGATGGACAACCATGTGGAATTCTTGTTCCGTTCACGCACGTGGCGCTCTCGAAATTGCTGTTCCTAGCGGTATACAGGAAGCGTGTCACATATGGACCCAGTTACGGCCAAACTCGCCGTAGAGTCTCTGTGGCTCAGTGAAAGACCATCTGAGCACTGGATCCGAGGGTCTGTGGTTCGGTTCCACATGGAGACTCTTTGTGCTAACACCCGTAAAAAGACGAAAAAAAAAAACTTTTTCTGAACTACTTAATGGCTGACGGACCAACTGAAATACGGACTGACTGACTGGCTGGCTGGCTACTCAGGCTATTACGTAACAAACATCAATCAACTGAGTTAAGCTTCACCTTGCATAAAAACTTTGATTTCTGCCCTCAGCACTTCCACTTTCGCCAGCACTGCGTTCACTGTCTTCAGAAGAACCTGAAGACCAACCTGCTTCATCCAAACCGCTTTCGTCATCATCGTCATCATCAATGCTCTCGTGCTGCTGCTGTTGCCGCTGCTCTTCTGACATCGCATTCTTCTGATCAATCTCATCTTTCTTACGAAGACCCGAAGAGTAAGAGCTTCTGACACCGGTCCTCGAGTTCTGATCGTTTTCTTCATAGTCCTCATCTTCATCGTCGAATCCCTCATCTGCAAGTTCGTCATCATCGTCACTCGCTTTATCGTCGTCGTCCTGTACATCAGAACGTTTTGCTCGTTGATATTCCATAGGATCGTCATATATCAAATTGTCCTCTGGGTAGCTTGTGATAATGTCTGGAGCAATGTCGCCTATAAAAAGCAATGTCTGAGTTATCATCTTTTGTTTCAGTCATGTTGTGGTAGAATTAAGAAACTAGCAGCACCTAGAACTGAAGTGAATCGGCTACTCAACAGTAACGTAATTTTATTGGTCTCCTCTAACAAACACATGCTGAAGAAAGCGAGGTCATGATCCAAACCCAGACTTTCGAGGGCTCATCCTTCATTTCAATATAATTCTTTCAATGATGACCTCCTTTTTAGTCACCTTTACAAATTATTCCACCTTTCCTATATTCAAATGCTTATTAAAAATCATTTTCATTTTTCAAGGGGAAACAGGACGTTTCAGGTTTACATGATTCCCATCTTGATTAATGGTGTTGGCTATGAAGTATCATCTTCACCACGAAGTAAAACCACTGTCGCCCTCTTCACTCTAAGATGTGCGATATTTTCAAAGGCACTTACCTTTTACATACAAAGGGAAGAAAACAATCAGAGCCTAAAGAAAGAAATGGGGAGAAAGCTTAGGGCTGATAACTAATATCTACAATACAACAACTCTGTGTCTCCACTAGCCTCCCATAGCCCGAGTGACAGATAACATTGAAACACTAAGAATTGTATCTACAATAAATTCGCGGAGGTACACAACCCCCCACATTTGAGTCGCGCACCGTCTCCTCACGCAAAACTATTAGTATTACTACTCAATTACGCATGTGCAAAATCTGAGAGAAATCGTAAGGCCAAAATATACAATAATTTAACTTCTGACTCGTTAAAAAAAAAGATAGCGCTGCAATAGATTATGTTAATTTATCAAAGTTAATTCTCCCTCAGTACTGCGTATTCTACAGTCGACTGCGTCAGTCCTTTTTGCTCGGACCCGCTCGTTCCACCGCCCAGGCTCGACTAATGACCGTAAAACTTTCTTTCAGCTATCACATAGAAGCTCTGTCAGCCTTGTCTAGCGAGCGCCTGCATCGGAATAAAGACGTCCGCTAACGAAGATTAAAAAAACTCTCCCCCTCCTTTTTTCCAGATTCCTCCTCTTCACCTCCATTTGACACAAAGCTACATGGAGATAATCGATTCGGATCAATTTCGATGTATTTATAATCAAATTCACAGCAAAGACGAACGAAAGATTTTAACCTTTACTTTGGCTCAGCTCAGGTCCTTGTATAAATTCAATATCTGCATGATCTTCTATTCGTAACAAACGTAGATACTTTCACATCATCACATCATTGCTCAAAAGGTGATAGCAAACGTTAAATTTTTGTCGCATCTCGATCCGGTCGCAAGAACAAGCACATTAGCGTAATTTATGTAAAAACGCCATAATGTTGTACTGGATAACAATGCATTTAAAACTGGCGCAGTCTCGACTACTACAACGTTACCAGAGTTGTAATGAGGTCAAACTGATGCCTTTAAGAAGAAACAATGAACTAATTTAGGAAAAGTGAACTTGACTCACCGTCACGATCCAAGACCCAAAGTGGTTTGCGATGGCAGACATCTTGGGCTGATAAAAACTAACTTACAGTCTCACCTAAATAACGGATAAATCAACAGCAGCTTCATCGGAAAAAAAAAAGGAAATCGTAAACGTAAATGCTAGGCGTTTCCGATGAGCTAAACAATATCAAATTTAATTTTGTAAACAATACAAGACCAAAAATGATTGCAAGATCAAACGCTCGAAAATCATATTTCTGCTATTGCGCACGCGTCTCTACCATTTGAAAGGTCGCAACACCGGTTGAACCTGGTAGGCAACAGGTACTTGAACAATGACTGTCATGTATAAACCAAACATAATGTAGTGTGAACAAATATCAAAAATGGAAAGTTTATGGACTCCTCTAATTTGGGGAAAAAATAAATGTAAATTAACTGGCATGAAATTCTGAACTGTCAGTTGTCATTCAGTTAAAGGAGTTTTTGATGTAATCAGGGTATCTATAATACTGGTCTGACAGAGTTTACAGAAAGCGTGAAATTTTGGAATATTCTGACCATTCATTTCAACGGTTATTAACCGCTAACATATTGTGATTTACAATGATCTAGCCGTACCCTCCCCACCCCCTGGGAGAAAGAGAAGAGAGGGTATCCTACCTAGAGAGGGGAGGGCACGGTTACACGTAGGCTACCAGCAGAAAAGTTAAAGTGCTGGACAATGGATCGAGGGGCATGGGTTCGAGCCGTAGCCAATTTAACAAGAAGATTTCACAACGCTTCTCTTTTTCGGGTTTGAAAGACGTTGCTGTTTTCACGAAAACCCTTGGTCTGATCTCTCACATTCAAACGACACTTTAGTTTTGTCCTCTTCAAAATATTCAGTTTTCAAACGTTCGTAATGGCCAGCAATTTCTTAACATCTCCACTATCAGGAACATGTTAAAACCAAATACGCTCTCAGTGACCGATTTGACCAGATACGCGACAACACAGTAGTGCTGGAAGAATTTTCCTTGCAGGGAAGATGTTCGCTAACTTCTGACCTCAACTTCAGGATTGCCAGGTTGCGCTTAAATATAAAGTTAACAACTTAAAATGAAATAAATTACAAAATAATTTAAGTACAATTTTCCCCCTTTCAAAGAAGATGGTCGCGCACACAGCCCAGGACGAGCCCTTACTCCCTTATCTACGCCTCCCCCTCCCGCCCTAAATGCGGAAGACCAATCGTAGACGAAATATTAGCAGACAGTCACGCAAACATGTGGACAGACAGGGACTTTGACGAGCGGACCACGAAATAAACAGATAGTCTAAAGTTTCGCGTATTGCAGATGGATGGTAGTTTTAACTTTATTTTGAAGAAAGATTTCCCTCAAGTAAAAACCCGTATAACATTTCCTAGCAGTATGACAATTAAATTAAAAAAAAATATCTAAAATTTAAATATAAACATATTAAAAGATATGAGACATCTTTCACCAAGCTGTATTTGATATCCTTGTTATTATACGACACCAAGAGAATAAAGCCTACCCTTCTGAAAATACTTTTTCTCTTGTGACATGTACATACAAAAATGTGTTTCTAAGCACTTGTGGCTTATCTTTCCATAAATTTAAATAACTTGTACTATTTATTTACTTATTTATTTCATCATTTTCACACAGTGTTAGTAGATTAGTTTATTTATATCTTAGTTTTGGTCAGGCAGATGTTCATAAATGGGCATACTCGCTATAACATACACTTTAAATATGCTTTCAATTTAAAACATTTACAAATTCAAATTGAATAAAAAGGTTTTGATAAGAGATGGATAGTACATGAGGTGTATAACCTATTGACCTCATTAGTCAGACCCAGATTGGGAAATGAGCCTAAATTGGGGGAGAACCCACTGTAAGAACAGTGGAAATTGAACCTAATAACCTTAGTCTTGACACAAAATTATAGTTGTGCCAATGTTTAAGTTGACTAAATACATTTTGCTGCAGTGAAAACTGGCCAAGATATAACAGCAACCAATCCTGCAGGCCCTACGTGCATGTACGCTACATCAAAGTGTACTTTTTCTATTTACATAACTGTCTACTCCAAATCAAATGGTAAAACTGTAAGGTGAGGTTAAGAGACAGCTTACCAACCCAGAGACCCACATGGCTGTACTTGTCAGGGTGTTCCACGGTCAAACTGTGAATTATCCTACACCTGAATCTGAATCAGTTGAAAGATCCCCTACCAACACAACAGAGGACCTCACTGAATCTTCAGGCATAAAACTGCGTTGAGTCCAATTTGTAAGGCCACAAGATCCAAACTTTTCCTTTTCTAGATGTTCCTTAGTTACAAGAACTGGTTCAATTTCTATGGTATGCTTGTGAAAATGTTTCTGAATTCCTGATGCCATTTTCTCTGAGTACTTAGCATAAGAGTACAAGGCTCCCCCAAGGGTATTCAGGGAAACTCCGATGAGTGTTAACGGTGTGGCAGCCACTCCACCAAATGTATAAAATCCAATGATGGTCGTCAAGACACCTTTAACAACGCCTACGAGGCTAGCAAGAAAAAAGAGTAAGTTTCCTAGGGTATTTTTCTATCTGGAGCACCAATCAGAAGAGTACCATTTTACCACTTAACCAATCATAATATAATTAGAAATGTTCAACCAAAAAAAAACAAAAGGAATTTATACAGAGACCCAACGACAACTGAACACAAATAAATTTAACCAAGTTGCAATTGGTTTTAATCTTGGATCACATTAGAGTTGGTTACACAAGTTTTTTTTTTATAACCAATGACAGAGGGCAGCAATGAAAAACCAATGCAATCCTGGATTATTTTTGAGACTCAATTGTTATACTGCCCCCTCCCTCCCCTTCCCCACCACCACCCTTCTCTCTTTAACCCTTCAACTCACAGGATCTGGTTGTTAATTCTCATTTCTGGCTGCTAAACATTTCCTTGTAAATAAGTTACAAGAAGTTTGGTGTCAGATGGAGATAACAACTTCAACCTGATAAGTTTGAATATTCTCATGACCTGTTTGCTGGATGATGTTTAGATATTATAGGGAGAAGTAACTTCTGGGAATTAAAGGGTTAACCTGAAAAGCAAGTATGTGGTACTTCAACTTCTATTTCCAAGTAGCAAATTAAAGTAATTTTTCAAAGAAAAATATTTTTCTGTAAATTTCATGTATGTGTTGCCCCTGAAGAAAAGGGATTGTGATTATTAAAATTCTGACATACATTATTGAAGTTAGTGGCAAATATCATGACGACAAAAGTAACCAGTCACTTTTGACAAACCAGACACAGTAAAACATTCAACTTAAATAAAGCTTTTACAGCTCTGGTGATGACACGAAAAACAGTCATTTTTAGGGCTTTTAAAGGATTTTTCATCTTCACCTGGACAATAAAAATTACAGTATAAAATCACCTAAAATGTCAAAAAGTGCTCAAGTGCTGTCAGTGGACTGGTTACTAAAAAAAATTCATCACCAAAAGCAAAATTTTAAATGCAGTTTGGAATAAATCAGTGAGGTTTAGTATTTCAAAATCTACCAAATTGCACAAGTCCAAAGGGCAAATGAAATTTGTAGTTCTTGAAAAAATTACAATGGGTCTTAGGCTCATCATCATCCCCAACTTTGTTACAAACTGTTGGGTTAAGTCCTCAGGAGTTTTGTGCATTGCATTCAGTTTTGTACTTTTCAATACTTTCTTTTTTCCTTAGGGCTGAGACCTCAAGACTTTTAGCCGCTTGTTTGTGCTTTGCTTGGTTTTTTTTTTCCTAGCACTTTCCCTCAAACACTGAATTGTTTTGATGTGTTTTCTCTACTCTACTGTCAATCAATTTACTTTCAACTTACTACACTGTTTGAAATTAATTGACAAGTTCTTAGCAAAAGAACACACCAAAAGTTTTTCAATAAAAATTGTTATCAATAAAAATTGTCATAACAAGAAGAGCAAAGCCAGCTCTGATTTGAAGTATCAGAAGTTTCAGGACACCAAGGATTAAGAAATTGGGATTCTACTCAAATGTGTGCAACACTCTAACATTCACACACATTTGGATTATTGAACATGTGCAAAAGTAAGCATCAAAATAATAATAGATGTTTTACCTTGTTGTCAATGCTGTGTTCATTGTTGTGCATAAAAATAGAGAATAACTCAAGATACAGCCCATCCCAACATCAAGCAAAAGTGCAGCCTGGAAAATAGAAACAAAAATGTTATGGTTATAACCATTTTAAAAGTAATCAAGGGTTTACCATGATAAGGACATCTTCACATTCACTATTTACAAGGCTGACTCAAGTTTGCAAGGCAAATTCACTTTCATTTTCAATTCTCAGTTTCTTTTTTGTTAGAGTTAGCATTTTTAACACTCTTTGTGCCATAGGGCTCTTTTTTCACTTTCAACAGCTTCTGTAATAATAATAATGTAAATGCCTATTCTGAGACAAACCTGAAATTCAACAACGTAGTATCCATCAAACTTAAGAGCTGCCTGCAGCTCTTTATTGCACAATGTGTAAATGAGCAGAAGAGGAATACAGTTGATACTGTTTGTGTGAAGTACAGTCAGGGCTGATAGACCCTTTTCCGAGCCTGTCTTTTGGATGTATGTAAGATAAAAAGACTGGCAAATCACACTTAGCAGAGCAGAGGCATAGGCAAAGGCTGAAAACTCTAGATCTCCAAATCCTGAAGGAAAAAAAAAACAAAAAACAAAAAACATTAGCATAGAGTCTGACCTTCAAAACCTTCTAACATTGCCAATTTTTGTTGTAAACTTTTGTTGTTGTTTTCTTTCTTTTCAATTTTCTTGTTGTAATTTGAACATTAATCTGTTATATTCACCATCATAGTGGACAACATATTCTGCAGTATGAGCTTGGGGATAAAATATTTCTCTCAATTATTGGGCAGTTTTTTCACCATCGCATCATACATGACTTGTGTTTTTTAAAATGTAAACAAAAAAATTAAAGCTTCCTCAAAATGAAACAGTTCTCACCTGCTGTAATACAACCAATTACAACAAGCATAACAGAAGTAACAATCATAAGGGATGGCTTCTTTTTCAACATAAAACAAGCAAACAACAAACTTGTCAGAGGGAGAAGTCTTCGTAAAACATTGTACCTTAAA